TTATCGAGATTTATCAAAGGGACTAATTGTTTTAAATGATATCTACATTTATCCACTACTACTAACAATATCTCAACCGTTCTGTTCTATTTGTACTAACTTATAATTACTTTGTACTTTGCTGCGCGGTGATTATGAGGTGGTTTTAAATCTGGTACATGACTAAAAACACACTAAAGTTGATAAATTCATAACTTATTTTCTGACGTTCATTCACAAAGAAGCTTATAATATGCCTAAGAATCTGGCTTGTCCAAACAAACCAATTTCATACTTATATGAATCTCTCAAGGAATTACTATTTAGTCATATGCAGTGTGCTGGCTTTCAATGAAGAGAGACCGAGATTTCATAAAATGATGTGACGAAATGATCAGAAATCTAAAAAAACCTTATACTTGAACTCCAGAAACAGACCGCTGAAGATGGCACAGGTATTCAGTGTTTGACAACGCTTTTACCAGTAACATCTAATATAACTCGTACCCACCAAGAGAAATCAAAAAACAGAATCGAGGAGATCAGAAGTTGTATTTGACGATTGCCAGTATATCGGAATTGTCTGATCTAGTCTGGTTAGCGATTGAAGCAGATGTTGCGCACGGCGTTCCCACACGTGATCTGGTGCGGATGCATTACCGAGTGCCTTCAGCTAGGTGAGTCCACTGAAACTAATATAGTCAGCATCCGATATCGAAAACTTACAGAGCTATTTATTTTGGGGACTTATTTACCGCTACACCGCGAAGTGCAGTTTTATACATTATATTGCGCGCTTTACGAACTGGAAGTTTAGTCCTAACGTGATTTGCATTCCTCAAACTTTCGCAAAAACGGTATCATTTTTAATCTAAAGGATCTATACTGAGCTTAAAGTTCGGTACATTACTCTTCTTTATGAGTTTTCCCCAAATTAATCCTTGGCTGTAGTTTTGCCTTAGCTAACTATTCAGTTTTTCAGTTTTTCACATCAAAGGTAGTTTTAATTTATCCTAGCCTTGTGTACTATCCATTTTATCTTTTCTCGGTGTACTGTTTTTTGTGTTACGGTCGCAAACGTTTGCTAGCTTCTGTTAAACAATCTACGTCACTATGGCCATGAGGGATTCGTGTGAGCGACGTGGCCGCTGTTTTGCTGTTACCTCTGATATGCAGTGTGACATATGCAAAGGCTGGTCCCACGAAGCATGCACAAATCTTATGATACATGCTTACAACTGACTTTTTAAGTCGGATGGTATGTGGGTATTGCTGAGCAACATCATCATTCTCTTGACAGGTTTGCGAAAACGGCGGTCAGCGATCCTAAAAAAATGTAGTCCTAAAACGGGTAAACATATAAAGACGCTCATTGAAGAAAAGAAGAGGGACCCGACAACGGTAGTATTGATGGGGCATGGATTGACACTAGAGAGGACATGATGAAGCTCAACACCATCATAGCATCAACGGTGCTAGACCCACTCAGAAAACTTGGGTCTCTCAGCACAGGGTCCCTCAGTGAAACAATGGCCCCCAAAACTCTGTAGGCGATCAGACCTCGTCAACAAAGTTTAAAAAATCGATCGTCACCGTTTAAGAAGAAGAACATCCCAGGTATTGTGATGAAATTAACTGGCGATTTGGCCGTATAGTCTACCTTTAAGATTTTCCAGCCGGTCAGAAAAGAGTGCAGGAATCTAAAACGCTCTTCAACCACCAAGCAAAATGGTTCTCAACCCGAATATACTTGAAAACGTGAGAAAAAGTATCATGGTTGGCGATGATTCTCTCATAATCATGAACGTTAAAGACAGCCCTGACCTTCCTTCAAGTCCTCAGGACAAAAAATGCTAGGTTGCTCTGGAAAGAGTTAAACAGGGAATGTAAGAATACTGCCTAACATACCGTATTCTTAGTGCAATTTTATCAGGAACATTCCTAAGGTATCTTGCGAGAAGTATTTTCGTGGAAGAAATATCATCGTGCAAGGCGTACCACAAAACGTGAACCCTGACTACACAAACTCTTATATTCGGCAATGGAAGTTCACCAAACAGTCCTTGAAGCTCAAAAACATATTGACTCGACAATTGGTGTGACAAGCCAAGAAGGATTGGGATTCTAGACCCCATCTGATGAAAATAATCCCCCATCTTTCCATATGGTGGCTGCAACTCTCAAAGCATCTAGTGCTAAAAGACGCTGGTTGCCTATTGGGATCCATATGCACCAGAATAGGCCATACGATATCATGATCAAGCACAAATCTAGTTGGAGCTGACTACTACACTTATGGACTGTTTAGATCATTAGAAAAAACGTAAAAAGGACAGGGGCTTCCAATTCAAAAAACCTGTTTAGGTAGGTTACTTTTAGATTCACCTAATGCTCATAATGATAAACAGGATGGGGAAGCTCAAGCGTTTCAAATTGAAAGTATAGACTGCTTATATACGAACGCCGCGAGTTTACTGAATAAAATGGATGAGCTGTGTGAACTCAGCAATGCTAATAATACTTATCTGATAGGAATATCTGAAACATGGATGTTTTTTCATCTTACGGACCAGAAGCTAGCAACATCCAGGATGTCTTTGTTATGTAATGAGAGAAAAACAGAAATGGGAGCGGAGTGGCCTTATACTTATGACCTTGCCTGGAGGTACATCAAGTCCACAACCAATAGTTTATCAATCTTGATAAATTCATATGGTGCTCAGTAAGATTGTCTACCACCTCGAGGTGTCTAGTTGTAGTCAACACTGGTTGTTTTTCCAAACAAACACCAAATTCTGACTTCATAATACAAGCATTAAGAAAGGTGTTTAATCGACAAGGAGTTCCCATGGTGTTAGTGACTGATAATAATTCCAGTTTTGTTGCGGATGCAGTTTCTACCTGGTTGAATGGTATAGGGTGTAGACATCTGTTCACTGCTCCCAGGTACCCTTGTCCTAATGGTCAGGCAGATAATTTCGCCAGGACATTGAAGACTGTTACTGATTCTATTTCTGCTTCAACATTTAATGAACTGGAGAGGGCAGTAGATACATTTCTACTGCAACATAGAAATGCTAAACATTCTGTGACGAAAAGGCTGCATCAAAGCTGTTAAAAGGGAGAATTCCTCGTTTAAATATGAAGTGTTTAAACTCTTCAGAAGTTACATATTATCGTGGAAATGGTCCAGTCAGCCACGTGGATTACGGTGAAGAATATTGGAAATCTATGGTGCGAATCCTAGATATCAGTGATTTATGTACACACAATCAACATGCTGATCAAATACAATCCGAGGACTCAGGCGAGTCCGTTCCAATGTCGGTTGTTAATTCTAATAAGAATGAGTGCATTATAGATCATCCAGAGTCTACATCCAGTACACAGTTGGACAGACACATGATAAACTTAAGGAGACGTACAATCGATAACAGGAGTTTAGGTTCTCACTTAAGCTCTGGTAGTTGTGGTACTTGTACTAACTGACGATTCCTATGTACTTGATTGCGCGCTGATTAAGAAATCCAAATATAATACATTCGTTTGGGCTCATCTAGCTCTACCTGACTTAAATTACACTATTTCGGAAATTCTTAGTTAGCACATTAATTCGAATACTTCTAATTATCATACATCCCCCCTCAGCTTGACTATATTGAGATGAAAAATCGGAACAACTATGACCAGAGATATTGAGGAACTCCGTATTTACTTCTAAGAATGTCACTGAAACACGAAGAACAAATATCCTATGGATTCTAGTCAGCACGCACAAACATAATAGAGAAATAAACCAAATAAGTACATCTCATCCAAAATGTTATCAACTAAACCAAACACTTTTGTCTATTACTTCTTGGAAATCAGTTCCATAAAAATAATAAAGTGTTGAACTATATATATATATATATATATATATATATATATATATATATATATATATATATATATATATATATATATATATATATATATATATATATATATCGTCTTTATTTTAATTTCATTAGCTTAATTCTTCCGTTACTTGCCTACAAATGAATACTTACTCAAACTTTTCCCATCTTCAAAAAACATGATGAAAGTCTCAAATACAGACTACTTATCTAAATAATGATCGAATCCCTAATCATTTATAGTTAAGGACAAAACATAAATACTGTTACAAATAAAAACGCTTTACCACGATATCATCAAGAATACTTAAACATTCCATATACTGAAATATTTTAGGTCAAATCGTTTTCACACATCTATATCTTAAATAATTAAGATGTTCACTAGATCGTCACATCTATAAAACCCTTTTTCATTGAACATAAAATTAAATTCAGAAGGGGATTTTTTGGATATTACAGTAATTCTAATAGTTGTTCTCATCAGTCAATTAATTTTTATTTATTTATTGTTTAAACACATAGATATTGGTACAAGGGGGCACCAGATACACATGCGCCACACAAATCTTATTTGATTTGTATGTGGACTGTGATATTACCCGGGTGCTCAGACCGAAGCAGGTGGTTTTCTTAGGGAGCCACACCCAGGGTCTTCGACCTAAAGGTTTGACCCACAAAGCAGTGGAGCATCGTAAGAAGATGCAGTCTCATGGTAGCCGGTGACCAACGATTGGTTCATACGCCATTTGTTCCCTCACGATACTTGAGCTAATGTGCACTATTGGTTTGGAATGAGGGTTTTCCAACTCCCCTAGGTGGACTCTCCATGTCCACCAACCCGGTTGAAGCTCCGGACATTCGCTTTTCGTCCGCTCAATTTCATAAACAACAGTAATGTCACAAGAAGGCAGTGAATAGGACTTCTCTGGCAGAAGCTATACACGCGTGGCCATGTGAGAGCATTTCGAGAGAGAGAGAGCGGACTCTTCCCACTGTCGGCTGTACCAGGGCATTTGGGGGTTAGTCAATCGGAAAACCTCGAAGCAATGGACAACCATTTAGTCCTACTGTTACATCCTTGTAATTTGGACTTAGTATTGTACAAATCAAATATCTTTTACCAGAAAAAAAAGTTTATTTTTTATTCATCGATTAAAATAATTCCTCAAACTAAACATAAAAATAACATGAAATAGTGATTAAATGATTGTTCTTTAATTGAGGTGAAGAATAAATTTAGCAAAATAGATGACAAAAGACAAAATTACGAATTCAATGTGTAGTTTGTTTGTTCGTAGGAAAGTGTGCATAGATATGTAGAATGTATAAATGTAATGGAAATACACAATAAATAAAAATGATTACGAAAACTACAATTATAATCAAAATAAATAAATTCTAGGTAATAATTTATAAATGAATAAATTGAATAGAATTGTTATCAATAATGTTGGGAAACCAGTTGATCTCTAAAAAAAGAAAAAGAATGTATATAAGAAGAAAAAAATAGACCAAATTTAATTCATATTCCAGTATATCATTAGTGTTATTATTAATCAAAGAAACCTTTCCATTCTGACGAAAAAATACACAACAGAATTTCAGAGTACAATCAGTGGAGAAGATTTGTAGCTCAGGTGGATGATTTTGGTGGAGTTTTGTTCTCTGAACTGGATGATTTGGTCGTGGAGCTTTTATCGTTCTTCTGACACGTACTTCAAACACTTCAATTCTACGTGAAGTTTGTGCTGATGATGTCACTCAGAAGAACGATGAAAGCTCCACAATCAAACCATCCAGCTCAGAGAACAAACCTCTACCAAAAAAAGTACAATCAGTTCACATCTCACTAACCTCTAACCTCATGTTTATAGGATTCATGAATACCAGATATCTTTTAAAGATTTAAATTTTCCAGGAAGGTAATCTTATATACATATATATACGACAAGAATTGCGCCAAGCAGGTTAACGAATCAAACTATTTTATGTTTCAGTAACGAGGTTGTAAAGATTTCTGAGTATTTTTTTATTGAGATCATGAGTCGATCAATGCTGAACCACCATTGAAAACCTGGTAACACTGGATGGTCGTTTTGTCATAGCATTCACGATCCTGTACATCGGGTTTGAATCTAGGACCTTTGGTATCGCGCTCGAACGTTTGAATTCTAGACAACTGAGCCGGCATCCAACAACGTTAATGTCTAACTTCAACTAATCCACGATATTGCATAACCATCTTCTATTGTCTTTGGTAGATACTTGTCTCTAAACGACACAGCTCAACTCCACTGGTCACAGCTTTTCACTGGAACTACTAGAATTACTTCTCGAATCTAGTCACTAATGAGCACTCCGTAATTATTTGGTAATAATAAATAAAACAAAAAGACTTTTGCAACTACAAAGAAGGGAGAGTAGCTGAGGCTCCTCATATATTTCTAGATCCTGCTACTCTCACTAGAAAAGACGACCTTACTATCAATCCGACTTGGATCATCTATCCAAGCTACCATGTCTTATGTTAATCCTATCCCATACTATTAACATACATGCAAATTCAACTTTATCCTTTCACATTACTAGTGTCACATCTTTTATCCGTCAACATGCACACAGAAAATTGCGCAAACATGTCTCACCTTGACCGGAGTGACATGACATTGTCAGACCTGTTTTTTGATGGATCGTACTGAATGTCTTTGCTTTGCTTCTTTGCATTATTTAAAATTGGGCTGCTATATATATAGGCGGTATTTTATTACACCATAATATGATGGGAAGAATATGTGTTTTGGATCCTAGCATGGTCCTGTTTACAGGTTTTGGTTCTCTTGGAAGCAGGCATTGGAATTCTTATCTCAATGGATAATTGCTATACTGAATTAGGCCTTTTATCATGTTCAAATAAGATTAGCAACGGTACTCTCCACCATGTTCATCTTTCATAATTGGTTTCTTGTCACAAATAAGTAGATAGAACAGTAATATAAAGCTCAGTGGTCTAGAGGTAAGCGTTAACGTAGGTCCTGGGTTCGAATCTAATAGTGGATGCGCACTGCTGAGGAGTCTCATACTAGAATGAAGTGCTTCCAGGTTTTCAATGGTGTTTTAACATTGATCAGTTCATGATTTCGATAAAATCAAATATCCTCACAACCACATACTAATAATAATAAGACAATAATTATTGTCTTATTATTAATTTATTATTATTAATTTATAATGTAATGAGGAATTTTAAAACTTACACATCCAGCATTTGTCTTGTCATTTGTTGCTGTATAATCAACACCTCCGACGGAAAACGTAACACTTCCATCATTTAAAGAAGATGTAAAACTGGTCAATGCATTTTGGATAACAGTTGTGGTATCAGATGCTGCAATCAAATCTACAGTTATACTACCTATAATGCGTTTATTAAAGTAAAAGAAATGACAAGAATAATATCTGATTCATCTTAAAAATATATATGCCGCAACATAATATCTTAAACATTTCCATGAACCAACAGATTTTTATGCTCGTGTAAGGAAGATAACTTTATGGCAAACATGATTTACACGAGTGTTTCAGTTTGGTGGAATTTACTGCAGTGCAGAAGTTGTTCACCATCTACTATACATATATATATCATAGAGTCGAAGAAGGTTCTATAATGTTCTTCTATCCGCACTGTCAAATGCTTTCTCATAGTCAAAGAAGTTGATGTATAGTGACGAGTTCCATTCAATTGATAACTAAACAATAATCCGTAGCGTCACGATTTAGTTTGTGCACTACCGACCTTTACGAAACCCACTCTGATATCTAAGTTTGACGTCTACTGAGCATTTCACCCGGTACAGCAACACTCTGTTGAATACCTTTCCTATTACTGACAGTAGTGTGATGACTATAGATCTCACAATTACTCAGATCTTTCTTCGGTATATATATTATATATATAGTTACTGGTACAGTAGAAACATTAACAAAAAGATTGATTTCGCAGAATCATTGATTCCATTCCTTTAAAAATAAACGTCTTTCTTGAGTAAATATGGTATATTATCAAATTACAGTGCAAAATTACCAAATTTCATGAGGAAAAAACAATTAGTTTGCTTCTGTTTGGCGATTGATTTTAATTAGAAATCTTGAGAGCTGAATATGAAATCAATCTCCAAAAGTTAATTTTCTGAAGCAAACGAAAGAAAATTTTATTGCATTAAACAATTTACTATGACTTTAGATAGTCTTTTATCATAGTTCCTGAAGCACGTTGTTCACCCACTGATTCATGTTTCTTATCATGTTTAGTCATTTACGGTTCTAAATTAAATCTCTCAGTTGAAATTTGCGATAGGACACAACATATATAGATTACTAAGTAGCCACTAGTTCCATGTATTCTAGTTCTTAATTTTAAGCATATTCTGATTCCGAAATTAGAAATGATACAGTTAGTCTAAGTGACTTAGTATTGTGCTTCATTTTGCACAGTATAAATTAACTGTAGTTAATATGTAGGGTATCCTAGAAAAAGGTTTCGTGATGATCAATAAGGTGTAAAATTAATGCTTTTCATAATAATTTAAACCTAAATCATCCACTGTCATATCCTTAGTGATATCAGCCTTAAATACCTGAGTGGTGAAGTCTTCAGAAAGTCTGAAGTATTGATGTTTAAACTATAGTAAATCTTTCTTTTCTATAACTAGATCCATCTTAAAATCCTCATTATGTGCTCGATTATCACTATTTTTACATATTTATGGTGATATATCATAACATTCAAATTGTTTTAATGAATATTTAGTGTTAAATTCTTTATAGTGTATTATTAATTGAATTCTAAGTTCGTATGTTATTGAGTGTGTGTTCATCAGTATCCGTCGAAGAGCACACTAATGACTGCATAAACAATTTGAAGAACTATGCAGTAATAAACTCACTGTCACCATGTATAACATAAGTTTATTATCAGTATTATTATCACCCTGTAAAAATAAGTATATATATTTGCGATTGTACAGCTTTGAAAATGAATTCGCCGAAAAGAGAACTCTTCGCTGAACTAATCTTTCTTTCTTATTTAATGTCATAATTGGTGTATTCCGTTTATCAAAAATATGTGTCCAATGGGTTTATTCATTTCGGTTGTATATATGAATTACTTCGCGTAAACATTATCTTCTTCAAAATCATTAACGAAGTAAATCGAACAAGATTTAAGACATATTTCTTTGTCTGAATTGTGTAGAACTATATTATGTTGCCAAAACAATAATAATCTAAATATCTACTTCAAAGTGCTAGGGCCAAATTTCTGAAAATAATGCTGACTACCAAAATCATCATTAGTAATATGATTATATCTTTATAATGTACTAAAGATCTTTTGGATTAGTTATATAGGGTACTAGGTATTATACTGCAGTAGAAGTAACGTTGTATAAATGTAAAAATATACGAGGTCCTTATGAGATTCAATACAATGTTTAAACCCGGAATGACCGAAATTTTATCTATTTATTCAAACATAATGCCAAACCAAGCCATGTTATTTACAAAATATTCATCAATCGTCTCAGATTTTGTTGTTCCTTCATTTCCATATCGACCACTCTCTGTTCTCATTCTCTTCTCTTCAATCTTCTCAAACTTCTACCTCCAGGCATTCCACTTTCGATTGGCGACACATACTACTTATATCTGTAGACATCAGTACCATACACCAAATAACAACTTCAACATTATTTCATGAAACATTTAGATATGTCAGTATGATGTGGTTCTACCTTTATATTCCAAAAGCAGATATGAAAGGTCTAGTTCATTATTTAAGTAACAAATATAAAATCCAAATTCATTTGGTGTTATTTTATTTGTATCTTCCCACAATCAGGTGGCTATCAGGAATCAGTAGCTAAGTGGATCACTCAATGGCGTTTAAAACGAACGGCACTGGGTTCGAGTCCTAGAGTGAACATCAACTCTGGGATGCAGGTACATCCAGCTGACGAGTCTCAAGTAGGACGAAACGCGCTTTGTCCTGCATTCCACGGTTAGCCATCATCCACCTTTGCTTAAAAGACTTGTGACTTAAGGCAATATCGAGGCAATCCATAGAGGATGCACATATGCCAACATGATATTGATCAATTACAGTCCTAAATAACAGTCGGAAGATATAAGTAAAACAACATCAAGTGAATTTAAACTTCACCCCATTGTACAAGCAAGTGGCTTTCAGGAATCAGTAGTTAAGTGGATCACTCAATGGCGTTTAAAGCGAAGGGTAGTGGGTTCGAGTCCCAGAGTGAACATCAACTCTGGGATGCAGGTACATCCAGCTGACGAGTCCTAAATAGGACGAAACGTGCTTTGTCCTAGATTCCACTGCTAGCCACTATCCATCTTTACTTAAAATATAAAATTTTATCAAATATTTAATAAATCAATATTCTTACCTTTACTTAATGTTATATTTTCAAATAATATATTAGGATAACGCATTAATAATTCAGATTGTATAGCAGCTTTAAATTCATCAACATATAGCAACATATTTTCATAATTACCATTAACTTTAAATCGAAATGGTTTTATTACTTTTTTAGTTGGTTCAGTATAATTTTCTGGATTAACATAAATTCTCAATTTGGTTATTGGTAAATCATATTGTAATTGTCTTGTTATACTGTCGTTTAAATAAGCATTAGCACTAATACAATATGTATATACCCAAGATAACTGAAATCCATTAATAGTCCATGTGAAATTATTATTTGTCTTAGATGAATCATATAATAATGAAGAAGAAGAAGAATTTATTGGAATATTTTTTGGTTTCCTACTATTTGGACAAATATCACCAGTGAATTTCCATATTAAATTCTTAAATAAAGAATTATAAATAGAAAAAGGTTTGTGGATATATAATTAGGGTTTTAATATCTACTACATAAACTCACTTTCATTAAACTGCTATTGTGAAGGAGAAAAGACTAAAAAGATGTTTCGTTCTCGTATGGAACTTCTTAAGAAGGTCAATCAAAAAATGATACTAGGGATCGAACCCAGGATCTTTTTGAGTGAGCAGACATGAGATATCTAAAGGTTTGTATTTCTACATACTCACAATGAGGCCTGAAAGTCTTGAGTTTGATCCCTGACGGGGTAATAGATGCTCATTATTAAATAATCCCCTACTAAGACAAAACAGCTATCCACTGTCAATCGCTTTTTAATGATTACTTTACTAAGGTCAGTTGGTGAAGTGCATCATGAAAACATATAACATGTATTTTAGTTATATTTGTGACCTAATATTTCTTTGTACATCATTAAAATATCTTCCGAATTAAACATTCCTATACTTCAATCATAATGATAAGTCAATATAGCCAATAAAGTGGAGTTGTGTAACCCTAAAGTTCTCGGTTCGATCATGTCACAACTAACAAATAATAAATATTATTGGTTAAGTCAATTTCATTTGTATATTTATTTGATCATTAGACCACTCGTTAGGGGTAACTTAGTTCCACTCACTTTTGTATGTAAATATGAGATTTTATCTTCTAATATGACTACTCAATGGTTGCTTTTCTTTAACATGATTCGAAATTAAGAATAGATTTACTTAATCAATCTATTAGTTTGACTACCTTAGATATTCTAGTAATTGTATTGGCCAGTTGTGAATTTATGTGGCATTATTGATTTACACTGTTGTCAACGTGTCTTAGATTAGAACGGTAATACGTACTTTAACCTTTTTCTAATAAATACTCTAGAAAATTTCAAAGTATCTCAATAATAGCAATGTGATGTTTCTTCCTAACTGAACCAATCATGTTACTCATACAGTAAATGACTATAATTCGAATTCATATTGTAACTTACTCGCCAATTAATCATTTCAACTGGAGCACCAGTTTGTTTGTCAATAATAATCATTTGAATGGTAAAGCTTTGATTGACAGATAATTTGATAATTGAATTATCAGAATTAGATGGAATTGGACGAATAAGTAGACTTAGCTGTTTTTGTGTTACAGGAAAAGTTACAGATGTATTTAATCTGGTTGAGTCATTTGGTGAAATCACCTGTAAATATAAATATTGATATTAAATATTATCTGGAAATAACACAAATAAGATTAAATTGACGTATTTTAAAAACGAATTCTTTTGGATTTAGACAAGCATCATCTATGTGAACATAAAATTACTAATGAAGTGATTTGTTTCTATATTGATTACTTCATGGAGACAAGTTATCATTGCTACTACCATTTTTTTACAGTACAGTTGAAACAAGACTGAATAACTAAGTTTGCAAGTCATTCTAGTCAATGACAAAGGATTAGTAAACAGCCTAATTAGCAACCTTACACAAATTTACATGGTGTGTTAGTCGAAAAACAATTGAATTCGAATAGTTTTGTTTTGTCTTCATTAAATTATCAGTTTTTCATTGATAGGGTGAAGATTATTAATCAGTTTGTTAGGTCTAAACTATTTGTAGTAGATAAACGAAATTATACTACAATGGAACTAATAATCCTAGATTTTAATAATATTCCAGTTATAATCTTTATTAAGACGGTGTATAAATGTTGGGCGAATATAGGTAGTGTTCGACTTAATCCTCCTTCCGTTTTGCACTCGTCAACAAAGTGTACTTGCAGCTTTCAGGGAAATAATGCTCCCTAATGGATTCTAATGCTTGTCAGACGATTTCAAAGTCTGAGACATTACTAATAAGCTGTATGAATGAAGTGTTTTCACTGATTAATCACTTATTAATGGGCACAGGTATATTTTGTCCAATTCTTAGTACTGATCGAATTCCATAGACCAAGTTTATAAGTGTAATTCTTCATAATACAAATGATAAATAGTGATGCGAGAAGCTAATGTCAACTTATTTCATTTTGGGGTCCGATGCTAAATGTTTAGTAAAGAATTATTTACTATTTATTTCAACATGAACTTTTCAAGCTTCCAATGAGAACATATGGTTTATAAAATCATTTTCAGTATGAGGTTATGAAAATTGTTGATTACATTGTGATCGTGAACCAATCAATTTCAGGCCACTATTAAAAACCTGGAAGGACTGGACAGACGTTTCGTTCTAGTGCAGAACTCCTCAACAATACGCATTCATGACCCCGTACGCCGTACAGGGACCGAGGACCTTAGACCTCGATCAGACGCTTAACCTCTGGACCACTGACTCGGCATCCAACGTTGTTAATATCCAAGACAGCTACACACCGAAGACAATAGAAGATGGTCACGCAATGTATGGGATTGATTGAAGTTATACACTGACGCCGTTGGATGCCAACTCAATAGTCTAGATGCTGAGCGTTCACGTGCGAGATTGAAGATCCGAGGTTCGTGGATGAACATCGCTGAGGAGTCCTACACTAAGACGAAGTGAATATCAAGTGCTTCCAGGTTTTCATTTTTGTTCTAACTTAGATTGGTTCATTATTTTAATGGAATTCATGAAAATTATTCAAACCCAGGAAATAGACACCTTGTTGAAATACGTTCATTTTACACAATTGTAAGATTTGTATTTAAACCTAAAAAACATACTTGTAATCATATCACCTATTATTCTTATTACATCCTTTGACATTAAGATACTATTGCTCTCAGTTAGCTGATATATTTTATTTATTGGACTAGTCATCTGTTGATTATGAAGAGCTCTTACTTGAATTGTATTTAATGATTTAAATTTAACTACATAGTTTATTTGGAGCACTTGAATTCTTTCAGAGGATTTCATAAATTTTCCAGTGGAAAGAATAGCTATCAGTTTAGGGGTTGTAGAGATTGTTAAGTTTTTGATTAAGGTCATGAACTGATTGATGTTAGACCGCCATTGAAAACCTGGAAGCACTGGACGGCCATTTCGTCCTATTGTGGGATTCCTGAGCAGTGCGCATCCACGATCCCGCTCGCGAGATTCGAACTCATGGCCTTCAGTCTCGCGCGTGAATGCTTAACCTACTGGACTACTGAGTCTAACATCAATCGGTTCATGTTCTCAATCAAAAAGAAAGAATAACCTTAACCAGCATTCTCTTATTAAGATTTATACAAATATTAGCATGCATTTTGTAGCATTTTAAAGTAGTATTTAATATGAAACTCAATTAGTTGTATCCATCACTTATGTATCCCATATTTCTCCGTCTCAACACATTTTCCATGTGTTATTCTTTATATCATTGAAACAAGTGTCATAACTATAAGGATGTTGTCATATTTAATTAAAGATCACAACCATTAGATAAACTTTAACAGAATTACCTTTACTATGGGAAATGAAGTTCACTAGATTCATTTATTATAAAACAGTGTTTGTGCATTGTATGATAGTTGCAAATCAGGTAAGATCTATTGTTAGCTGTCCTTAGTTTTCTTTGTTCCTTTAGCTGATCTCAATTTTTGTAAATTTCTTAGCTAAATATTTTCAGTACTAGAGTTACACATTTGTTTTATTTGTTATTAAACAATAATATCAGACAAGGTTTTTTTCTTTTGACTTCAGGAGAATTAAAACGGTAACTTTAATTCAATTGGATTTACTTTAATATTCTATCATCTAACAAAAAATAATGATTTCTGTTAAAATATGAAAACAATATTTCCTGTCATATTTATGTATATATACTACTTATATTGATTGAAGTTATACATTAACTCCGTTAGATGCCGGTTCAGCGGTCTAGAGGTTAGGCGTTCACGTGCGAGACCGAAGATCCTGGGTTCGAATTATATGTGCAGGATCGTGGATGCGCATTGCTGAGGAGCCGCATACCATGACGAAACGGCCGTTCAGTGCTTCCAGGTTTCCAATGGTTGTCTAATATCAATCAATTCATGATCTCAATCATAAATTAAAATTGATAAAAAAACATTTCATTGATAACAGAGATATTTAATAACTTACCGAAACAAAGAGATCAGCCTGACCAGATTCCGAAAATATCAAATTGGAAATTAATGCTGTTCCAGTTGTAGGATCTGGAAAATTTGTTTTTGGTACTTTTACAGGTGACACTGTAGCATTTGGTTGCAATATTTCATATGCCCAAATACTTGAATTTGAACCTAATGGTTTTACAATATTTCCCTAAAACAATATTATCCAAAAGAAAATTATCATATTATTATAATATTCACATGTTGTGATAGATGGTAAAACGGGAAAATCCATAAAACTACATCGACAATTATAGCGGAACTTCTGAAACTGTTTGTTGGTGAACTATTATTTATTAGTTTTACTATGTAATGATTAACTTATTGATTTGTAATACTTTTATGTTGCCTTATTTACAAGCTTTTGACATGTTTCCATTTTTTAAATTATCGTTAATTAATTATTCACTTCTCACTCTATCCTCTAACATTTCAGCTTGGTTATGGGTAAACAGTGACTTTTATTTACTGTGTAATGTGGTCTAGTAGCTCTCTCTCTCAGTATATATATAAAAATTGATGTGTGCTTGAAATACATAAACAGAGAGTTGCCTGCTTGAAGTGTTCCTACTTCGAACTGAGTACTGTGTCGGATGGAAACCTTGTGTTCAAGATCCATAGGTACTAATAACTATCTCGATCCCTACTCAAGGTAAATTGTTGTTGATCATAGTCTATAACTGGTCATAGCTAATGTCGTTGATTTATGAGCGATAAATATGCTCGGATTAGAGGAATATAAAATTGAATAGAATAGAATCTTATCTCAATTAAATGAAAATATAAGAAGACTTAAGGACATAAGAAAAACGATACTTAATGAATTATTTCGTTTCTTTTAAATTAATCGCTTTTCAAGTTGCTTAAGAGATTATTACAGAATTATACTATTTTTGTTCATTTTATTTCATCTCATTATGTATGGTTGCATTTTTGACAATAATCGACAACTAAATAAATTATCAAACGAAGCTAATAGACTCTAAATGTTATTTGTTTGAAGTACAAATCTAATCTTTACTGTTAGGTGAAATTCGGTGAAAGGATATACTGTGTAAGCAACTGCTCTATTGAATAAATTCCATTTTTCTATTGTTCACTATAAGATTTATACTTATTATGTTAAACTAGTGATTGTATTAGAAATACTCCAATTCTTAATCTTCATGGACTAGGTTTTAATTTGACTACAACTAATATAGTTTTATCAACTCATTAATAAAGGAATTATGGCCTAGTGACAATTGCTCAAACTAACAATTGGTCACTGAATTGAAATAAAGACACAAATATTTAATCAATCACTAATGTATCTAATCAATTGTGTCTTTTTAAAGTTTAGTTATACGAAAGACCAAAGACATATGATTTGAAATGATAACGTTTTGCGTAAACGTAAAGAAGTGTAGATCAATTTCAATACACAATAGTATAGTATAATATGAATAATAAAACTGTGGTTTGTTGCTAATTTTGAATTCATTTATAATTTCTATATGTTAAAAAAATGAATGAATTAATTCACACAAAGTCAATAACTCTGACAAAAATCATACCGAAGAGTCCAGTGTACTAATTTCTATCATGAATGGAACTCCTTCAACAACTGAAGTATATCCTGTAGGTACTACAATTTTAACTTGACTCTTTACTGGTATTTGAATAGCTTCAGGAATTTGTTGTGAAGTTGTTGAATCTGAAACTTGAGCAGCCCATAATGCACTACCGGATAATGGTGTAGGTTTTTGAATTGTTACACTGACAACTGTTGTATTGATAACTAATAAAACAATATTAAACTTTTATTCCAGTTTTCAGTATAATTATCAGTATTTATGCACATATATGTCGATAATATTTATCAAAGTATATTCAAATACTCACTGTCATTTTATCTGAGTTCGTTAATCTGACATGAAAGATTACAATGTCCTAATTGTTATTAAGTTTATGGTACAACATTTTGTTTCTACAATATTCTAAAGTATTTGCATGAATATATTCAAACTTTAATCTAGATATATCCACTCATACTTCAGGCCAAAATCCAAGACATGTTATCCTAAATCTGATTGCTTCGTCCATAAATTATAGTCTTAACATATTACTTTATCTCTGCATCCATTCATGCTTACTTTCAAGCAAGAACGAAATGATTTATAGAGTGCGATGAAAGTGTGTTGTTTCGTTGCATTTTCTTCAGTTATACGGAAACTTGTAAATTTACGTAATTTGAAATTTCCACAAATAACACATCTGTCGTCAAACACAGGCTGTCCTGGTTGAACGTATAATAATTGTATTAACTTTAAAAGTCTCTAATGCTCACTTAATTTAAAGGCAGTTTTCGACGTAAATTTATATCGGCTGGCAAATCACTGAGACTGAAAGTATGAAGCACAGATTTACGTCTTAGTTTCAGGCTTCTCAAAGGTGAAATCCCAAGTTTGACAATCTGCACAGTACCAAAAATTCCAAAACTAGAATAAATGAGTAGATCAGTCTTCAGTAGTTCTGAATGGTTCTCCAATCGGTATCATTCCATAAGTAAAACTACCAGCAAATTAAACAACCTATCTAAAGCTTATTAACCGTTTTTCTTTTCATTTACAAATTATCATTGTGTCGGTCGAGTGATTTACTTGGACAAATATATTAACCCGAAAAATGAACTGTCATGATTATCTATACATGTATAAAGTTTTAATTAAAGTAGCTAAATCAGTGTATGATAGCATGGTTAAATGAATTCAAAGTTCTCAGAATAAATTTAAATTACCTGATTCTAATAATCCTGTTTGTATTAATGTTACAACGTTGGAAGATATTTCCTCAACTTTTGTCAAACCAGATGTAACATTTGGTGTTACGTCTGTTGATAAGTTTTGACTAGGTGGTGTTGAAATTTCTAATTCAACAAAAACACCAGATGCAGATCGACGTCGACGACGTCCTGAATTTGTACTGGACTCAGATACCACCTTGACTATCCGGATATTCTTTGCAGGTATCTAAGGAAATAGAGTGTGATTCCATTTAAACATGGAAAAATGAAGGTTATGTCAAAATATAAGTCTTTTGTACCAAGTTAGATAATAAGTTATGATATTTCATAACATGTTAGACCCTAAAGATAAATATGTTCACGTCATTTTGTTTATAAAATGAAAAAAATACATACATTATCTTTACGAAACCCTAGTCAAATGAATGTGATCTGTCATCCTAACTAGATACATATACAAAATCACTTTCTAAATTATGTATACATTACAACTCAGTAATCGTATTTCAGGTAGGCAGCACGTTTTTTTCAAATTAACTAAAAATGTAATTAGTATTTGAAACATAGCCCCCTGATCGGTAGCTATTTATGTAACGTTATGAGTAAGTACTTGAGGTATTTGCTTTTTGATCTTCTGACATACATGAATAAATGCATGGTATAATTATAAACCTCAGTGAAGTAGGATGGTTACTTTTTGAGAAAAATAGTCAGTTTTGGATAAGATGCTATAAGAATAATATGAATTATCATAAGTTTTCACATTAAATATCATCATAGAAATGTAGGAAGTGAACAAGCTAAGAAGCATGGTTGAGACATAAATACCACTTACAATGGAAAGCTGGATGTAAGAAATATCTTCCATGAGGAACAAATGATGTAAAAAGTATAAAATGGCACTTCCGAATGCTCTAAACCATTAAGTGAATTTTTTTATTCAGTAAGACATTTGTATTTCCAGTGTCTTTGATCAGATTATTCGACTGACGCATGTATAGGAAAAGTATAAATATACTAATCTGGTAAATTAAATGTTACATTTTCTAATTTCTTCTCTCGTTTGTTGTTCAGCTTTGAATTAAATCTAATAAATCTGAGTCAGTTAAAATATATATTATTGATTGTTCAGTCAACCGAACAAGCATTCGAATCTGACGATACATTCCTTATCACTTATTCACTAAGTCAAGATATATGTGAAGATTAACGATTAATACAAATGATCCATTATGAACTAGTTTTCTTAACGGTAGTGAAGTTGAAGAGAATAGTGTAGTTAGCGGATTTAGCAGAAGTATCCTATCGACCACTTTCACCTTGAATGGAGAACATGATGACAATATTCCAAGTCTTGTTAACAGAAGATTAAATGATGCACTAAAAATGTTTTTACAGACAAAATCAACATCACTCAGTTATTATGTGCATTTTTACAGTTCTGTGATTTTCAGATCAAAAATGCTTAATGAAATGTTTAACATATCATCTCAAGCTAATTTGTTTTAATGAAATAGTTGAGGACAAGTTAAATAAAATCCACATTTGGTTTAGATCAAGAGAAGTCTGACATTACCGACAGTTCGTAAGATACTTGTATTCTTAGAAAACTACATTTCTAGAATCACAGCAGTAATGGAACAATATTAAGAAGAATAATTAAAACTCTAAACAGGACATTTGCTACCCGTTCTATAACCCCCTTATAATCAAAACCCGGAATATAAAGGAAAACATCTCATATTTACCAATTCAACCGCTCCTTTGGAGCAAATTACTTACGGGTGTACGATTTCGTAAGTCTTCTCATAGAGTTTTCCTAAAAATTATCTTATTCGGCTTAGCTAAAGAACAAATGTAGGTCGACCAAGAACTCTATACCTTCTTGCTTAGTAAATACACGAGATCAAGTAGAAATAAATAATGCATTAAGAGTAATACAGAGTATTCCATTAAATTTGACAAATTTTTAAGCATACAGTGGTATATGTCTTAAGAAATCGTATCCCTATACTTAAGAGAAATTTATATGACAGCTCCATTTGTCTTGAGAAAGTTATGGTGAATTATCGTCCCCTCCCTTTTATTTATCGATAAATATCCCAGTTTTCTTTTTGGTCTTTTTGCCCTCACATAATTTTGACATTCATCTCTTCCTTTTAATGCAAATTTTTTTAGTAACCGACTTCTCATTGGAAGTTGTATCAGCTCCCGAATTCGATAATATATAATCTATGGATCTTATGCCTATATAACCGATTCATTCATTTGTTTGATAGTGCCTTTGTACAGTAGTCAATTTATTCATCTTTTAATTTCGTCATAGCTAATATTCTATATAGATTATTCACAGTGCTAGTATGATTGTGAACTAGAAAGCACTGAACAGCTATTTATTTTATTATGGAATTTGTCAGACCCACCAAGGATCGAACTGAGAACTTCCAAATCTCACAATGAATCCCTAGCCAACAAACTACTGATACAATGTCCAAAAGCAAATTTCAATCAAATTACGATGCATAAATTCACTTGGTATTGTTTACTTATTTTACTTGGGTTACTTAGGACTACAATTGGGAAGTCTCTTATTGGTGTATGTGCATACTATGTATATTGCCTCGATATTGCTTTATAAACAAAGATGGATAATGGCTAGCAGTAGAATCCAGTTTGACTCGCGTTTCTTCCTATTCGGGACTCGTCAGCTGAATGTACCTGCTAAACGGTACCGAGTTTGAGACCCGGAGTTAACACCAGCTGATGAGTCCCAAACGGGATGAAACGCGTGTCCTGAATTCCATCTAAACTACGATGTAGGCTGACGATCGAACAATACTGTTACTGAGAAATGTTTCAGTAGTATACCAAATACGATCAATTTGTGGCACATTCCACTTACGAATTAAACCAGTCCACACAAAACTCCTTCAAATAACAACTTAATTTACTTTATTTATCATTCATAACTATTCTCATAAGCGTTTGTAGAGTTTGCGATATCATTGTAGTGAACAAGAATGCGGGTGGAAACAGTCGAACGTATTTGACACGAAATTATAGAGCACCTTACTAAAATCTGAGAACCATATAGTAAATAGTTAATTTGCAAAATATCGATCCACCGTCTCAAACTTGACTGTTCCATTTGTAAATTAGAACATATATAAGCGAACAATTGTTTTCAATTAGATCGTCATCAGGCTTTATTCTAATATACATGAATATTTATACGAAAATGTTAAAGCAGTCAAGGTAATGTATGTAGGAGGCGGGAACGAACTCCGTTAGGAAATGATGGAGGTATACGATAGATCACTCGAAATGATTCCGATTTATCTACAGTATGACCGTTATCAATAAGATGTGCCAAGATAAAACTGCGTATTGTTTTTATCTGGCCCTTTATAAACCACGTTGGTAGATGTTCACTCATTCGTTGATTAAGTTGCCTAGTCGTACGTCCGATATAGCTATCTCCACAGGAGCAGCTGAATTTGTAAATGCACACTGAGGCCAACTCAGGTAACTTATCCTTTGTTTGAGTAGACATCGCTGGTCGACTAGAGACAAAACTTTTTTTTATCGTATTTTATTATTCTTACCTACTATCAGTACACCTGTCTTCATACTATGAACTTTTATTTTTACCTATTATGTGTGGTGACCTATTCTATTTCATTGTGATTATTGACCCAAATTACCTTGACTGCTTTAACATTTTCGTATAAATATTCATGTATATTAGAATAAAGCCTGATGACGATCTAATTGAAAACAATTGTTCGATTACATGAGTTGTTCTAATTTTCACAATGGGAACCATTTGTAAATAACAGTTTATTGTCTCAGATTTCATTGTTCATGCATTTTTATACCAATTTTGTTCCGTTTCCGTTCTTTCCTCCACGATCTTCTACTAAAATACATCCTATACCTGACCACAGTTATATACTACTTATGTGGATATAAGTAACCCACAACACATTATTATTACTATTATATTAAAACATACATATTAGCATGGAATCAAAATGAAAAAACTAATTGAAAAGAAATATGCTTTCAATCTTTAATCATCTTTTGCCTAGTGCTTGAATAAGAAATTTTTCATTACCAAATGACTCTAATAAACAAATAATGTTAGAATAAAATAAAATATTTATACTTACACCTAAGTAATTAGCTAAATTGTTTACAACTTCTGATCCATAAAATTGATCAATAGTCATAGCGGGTAAACCAAATGCTACCTTTATTAATTGAGATAATTTAATTGTAATAATATCTTCACCTTTTATAATAACATATAACATTTGAGCTGAATCATCAAAATAATTTGAACCAGCTGGATCAGTTATTACATTTGGCATAAATTCATTTAATGTTTTAGGTGCTTGTAGTACAGTTTGACCCTAAAATAGAATACAAAGACAGAATAATCACCTGATATATACATATATATAAGTGTATTGTTTGTGTTTTGAGGACATTATAGGTTATGAAATGAAGTTTTCAAATATAATAGTTGGATTTGTGTATATTTAGCAGTGGCTCAACAATAAAACTACTATGATTACAGTGAAAACGAGTTATTCATTCTGCAGTTATTGATTTCTTCAAATTTAACCAGCCGAAGAAATGTAGTCAAAAACCTACATCATTCCTTGATGCATCAAATATGAGACAATTCTGTTTGTTCGATGATAGATTTAGCAGCCTCAAACTCGTTTGCCACTGCTAGCCACTATTCATTTTTTCTTGAAAATGCTTGTAAATTGGTGGCAATATCGAGGTAATCCGCATAAGATGTATATATGCTGAAAGGGATTGATCAGTTCCAGTCTTGAATATCAACAGGAACATTCAATTAACCACTACATATAAATTATACTTCCTGTAATTCTGAGATGATATCTTTGCTCAGGGACAAAAGTAAGATATTGATTACTGTAAGCTATTAAACAGCACCGGTTTTCTATGAACCTGTTAATTGAGTTTCAAATATTTATGAGGAACAACCGTTTGGTATACTATAAACATGCAAACTGGAAGAATATCGTAAACCTTTACACTTTGCACTAAAATATAAAAACTCTCACTTCTGTTGTTACTCTTCAATAAAGGTAATACTTGTATTTCCTTTACATATTAAGATATCTGTTTGCTATAGAAAAGTACCGAGTACAGATCACTTTTTTAAAGAAAAGCAAACATAATGTACTGATTCACATGTAATTAGGTGTGGTAAAACCTTACATTTGTTGTGGGGGTAGTGAGAGGTCAAATGAAAAAAAAAACATTAGAAAAACACTTTCGCCTTATTTAACTTACTACTTAAATAATAATAAACAGTTAGTGATTGATACACGAAATAAAATTTTGCGAATCACTAAATACATTATCAATCATATAAAATCATAACTTACTAAATTATTTGTTATAGCATTTTTTGCTTTCATATACACTCCATTCACATAAACATCAAGTCTTCCAGCGGTGAAATAATCAATTCCAAGACGTACAGCATAATCCGGATCAGCTTGTGGTAAACGTAAACGTAATTCTTGTGGAGGTGTACTAGTCATATACATAACAAAATTTTTTTGACGTGCAACAATAGACATAAATGTACTCATACGTTTTAAACATGCATAACTTGAGCATACTCCATGATCACTTGGACCATTTATTAAATCTATGTAATTTGCCTTATGAATAAATTAAAATAGTAATAATAATAATAATAATAATAATAATAATTACCAAACGTATTTTGAAGTATTGAAATAAAAAGAAAACTAGAAGCTGTGATGTACTACCAAGTCAATCACAATCATGAAAGTATGTTTTGATATTTCGTTTAGAATTCTAGAAACAGTTTCTATTAGTCTATAGATGTTATACAGAAAGTTAATTTGGGTAGAAATTGGTCTAGAGCTTTCAAGATTTTATGTTCTGAATCATAGGTAGACGATTTTAATTTACATAATAATAATAGTACTTGATCATTGATATTTTTATCTACAGGAATATTTTAGTGGCCCTAAATCTGACTTCATTTGGATCGTATGAATGATTACTATTGAAATACACATGTCGTCTATCCTCGTATATAATTATCGACTTAATTTGCGTTAGTGAATAACGGAGTTAAATAAGTCAAATACGAGAGCAGATTTTTGAGTAGGTATATTTCGTACAATCGTTGGTTGGAAAGCGAAGCAAAACGAAGGAGAGTGAGCCAACTCGATTTAGTCAAGTATGAATGCATACTTATGGCCGAACAAAATAAGTCACAGACACATACCTAGTAGGGTGAGTAATTAGCACACATGCGGATCATAAAAAACAGTCAGGATTAATAAGGGAATAAGTGACAGGGTAAAAATGTGGCTTGAGAATAATGAATAGATTGATCTGTCCAGAGGCTACAATAACCTAATTGGGCTTGACGTAGTACCCGCCCCCACAATATTGCAGTTAATTATGACAGAAACCTAACCAAATGGATTTACCGAATGGGAATATAAATGTAGTTTGAAATGAAAATAACCTTAAACGATTCGTGAAATAAAACAAATTGTGAAATTTTCCGCTCAACGCAAAGAGAAGGGAATATTCAGGGAACACATCGATACTCAATAATATACAATATCCAACCTTGGCATTGATGCCCAAACAATATCATTGTTACAACTGAGTTCAAACCGTTAAATATATTTCAGAACATTTTCTCGAGTTTATTTTGTTCAGCAAATCGCATTATTGTTCATAAATCTATAAACTGATACCACGATCTAGAGGTATTCTGCAGTCTTAAAATAAATCGAAATGTGAATAGTATTGTTATGTAACTAATAAAAACCTTTTTATGACAGTGATAATTTAAGTAAATGCATTTTTCATAGAGATCATGAAATGATCTAAGTTTAGCGACCAGTGATAATAAAAAAATATAAATTATTCGAAGCTGGCTCAGTAGTCTAAAGATTAATTGTCAGGAACCTGAAAATGGTAGGTTTGATCTCAGGTGTTGAAGTCGTGAATGGATAGTTTTAAGGATTTCCGGACTAGAAACAAACATCTGTACAGTTCCAGGTTTTAACCAGTTGTCTAACTTAGATCAGTTTATAGTTCAAATGAAATTCAAAAATCTCTGCGCATCCGTACAGACGACTATCATGTGTTCTCTAGTGACCAGATTGAAGAGAAAATTTGAAGAGTTCTATTGAGAAGCTATCACCAGTGGAACTAAACTGTTTCAGGTATGAGGATGATACTCAATGAAGATAATAGAATATGGTTACCCGATAAAGTGTACTGATTAAGGCTAGAGATTAATACCATGTGACTCCGGTTCAGTGGTCTTAGGTTCAACTACCGGCTGGTGAGGTTGTAGACGTGCGCTACTGAGGAGTTCCATGCAATCATGAAACGGCAGTCCAGGTTATTAATAGTTGTCCAACTTAGATTGCTTCGGGACTTTAATAAGATAATAACTCGATTCATTGTAACATTATACACAAACAACTTATAACCCAAAAACATCTGCTTATCTGTTGATCTTATTATTATCATTATGTTTGTGACTATTCAAAGTGTTATTACACTACCCTATCAGACTAAAATTCTAATAACTCATGATAAAAATAACTTGAAACATACAGATAAACCATCAGTTGCAAATGCGATCGGTGAGAGTCTACGTTCCAATGCATCTGGATCCATTGATTCAATCAGTAATACTTTATGGTCTAATGCTTTACTGCATTTGTATGCTTGCATTTTAGGCATATAAATACATGAATTATCACGAATAATACCTAAAGAGAAAGATTAACAATGTGATATTATTAGTAATATTAATAATTATATGAAAACTACTGGACATCATATTACTTTTCTCGTAACGCAAAGATTAGTATTATACAGAATATTAAGGTGTATATGGCGGGTATAGATAGTATGTAACACCAATCAGAAGTGGAATGCCTGGCAGCAGAAGGTTGAAAAGTTCCAATTGAAGATAACATTAATGTAAACAGAGAGTAATTTTAGTAAAAAACAGGAGTAAAGGAACGATGAAGCCTGAAAGAGACAATTGATGGAAGATGTGCAAATAAAATATTTAATGTATGGTTTTCATATTTTACCAAGATACTCTGTATTTTGCATTAAACAATAAGTTAGTTGTCCGCACTTGAATTCTCGTTCGTTACAATACTATTCAGTTCTGGATAACCGACACATACCATTCATATTTCGCTGTTTGAATTAATAAAGAATTTGTTCTAAGGACCTTGCTTTCTAGCAGACTGATGATTACGGTATTCACATATCACGACCCTTAAAGATTGCATAAAGTTTATTCATATACATCTGCCTGTAAGATAACACTAACCCAGCGTATAACCTACTGATAATGATATTAATATGGTCTAATCCTTTTTTTAAAGAAAACCAGCTGAAATTATAACAAAATATTTCTACAATTTATTCTTTTATTACTTAAACTATGAAGTAAGAAGAAGAATGGAAGATGGTCGCGCAATCTCGTGGATTGGTTGCGGTTATACATTAACACCATTGGATGCCGACTCAGTGGTCCAGTAGGTTAAGCATTCACGCGCGAGACTGAAGGCCCTGGGTCCTGATCTCGCGAGCGGGATCGTGGATGCGCACTGCTCGGGAGTCCCACAATAGAACGAAACGGCCATCCAGTGCTTCCAGGTTTTCAATGGCGGTCTAACATCAATCGCTTAATGATCTCAATTAAAAACTTAATAATCTCCACACCCCCTATACTGATAAGAAGAATACTGTTAGTAAACAACATTTTTGATGACTTAAGCTGTAAAGAAATATGTATTCAATTGTTTATGGTCACTTTTTTTACTATGGAAAGTAAATTCGTTCATACCATACCAATGACCTATAGGGAGCCAGTCAGATTCGAGGTAGTATTTATTGTACAAAGTTCAAAACTCAGTGAAGAAAAGCTTACATTTTAATTTGATCTGAATTTTTAAAAAATGGCTATATCTAGTTATTAATGTGTTAATCAGACGTTAATCTTGACATGATTCACGGCATAGTTAATGGATTTTGTGTAACGAAAAATCTACTCTCCTATTGTAAAATTAAATTTTAAACTTAACCCCAGAAATTCGAGTTTCTGACCCTAACATAGTAGCACTATAATTTATGCGCCAATCAATCAGAATGAGGACAGCGCCTTTTTAATCTAGTCATGAAGATCATTCATCAGTATTACTATCAATCAATCTTGCTTTCTGGTTGATTCCAGTTCATAGTGAAAACTTTAAAAATACAAATCTCATTTCCTAACCTCAAAAGCTAATACCTAACCCTAATACTTTGCTGATGTGATTGTTTATCTAATCTAATTTTATTAAATTTTATAATGAACAGCACTAAACGCTGTTTACTGACTGCTTGATAAGTTGCTCAAAATCATCAGTATAATATAGTTCTATCATTGTTTTAACATAATTCTTTAAAACTTAAACAAGGATATAGGTGTATAAAAATCCCCATAATATTAAAAGACAGATATATGAACGAATAATATTCTTTTCAGTTACTTTTCCGAATGATGAAAATTAATAGCTTAGATCTTTTATATTGTGGCTTACGCAAAGTCAAGAAAAGGATAGAGATCATAATCCTTCAAGTCTTACTCCAAGTGCAAAATCTCTAGATCACGAAGTTGGAACCCCATGAACTATATTTTCAAAATTAATTAATTTGTGACACAGGATCTTCCTATACTAATGCTATCTACGATCCTAATTTCTTTTCTCAAAAGTAAGATCTTTGTCCTCATAAATCACTGATTATATCTTACTAATTTTAAATAACATATAAACGGTATATTCATAGACAACTACCTTTGTTAGGCCATTGTATTGTAGGATTAATAGATGTTCCATCAACTTTAGTTAACATCCTTGAAGGTATACGATTATCACCAACACCATACAAAGGATTGAGATTATATTGCCATTCTGATTGTGGTACTATAACACTAGGTTGACCAAATAACCCACCATCTTTATCAATAACAAGAACCTTTTTTAAGCCATCACATTCCATATCATTGCATTTATCAAATCGGACGTTACTTCATGTATAAAAACAAAAATAATTAGTAAGGAAAAAGTTATGAAATGTTAATGTAAAACCTTGTTAATGTTATTTCCCGACGAGAATTATGAATGTTAACTTTTGTGAACTATTTACGGACCAATACAATACATATATTTTTATTGTATTGTTTATTGTTAAGTCGTTAAATTATGCATAGTCATGTTCTTCCCATTATAAGCTTTATTTTAACTCATAGACTATTATTATACGATTTACTGCTCTTGAGTTATACTCAGTCTATAAATTACAGTCTCCCACATTCACAGCCACATTAGGCTAGATTTTGTACAAATGTTTTCTATTTTGAGCAACATACTGGGTTTATATACCAACCAGACAGACCACATTGTACCATAAAATATGAAACAACATTTGTTCAAGATTTAGCCAAAAGTGGCCGTGAATATGGGAAATAGTATTTGATAGACAGGGCATAATTCAACAATGGTAAATCGTATAATAATAGTTCTTAGATTAAAATAAACATCATAATAGGAGGGACATGAATATGTATAGTTTAGTTATTTAGCAATTATACAATAAAAATATACGTTTAGTATTTGTCCATAAATGGATCCCAAAAGTTACCATTCCTGATGCTTATCGGGACTTAACATGAAGTTATTCAGTTTATATCATTGCTACAAATTTTGAAAGCATAATCTAAATGAAAAAAATGTTTGGAAGAAAACGTTGTTGGGTAAAGCTGTGACAGTTGAAATTATAGTGGACGTGGAAAACACCCTCAAGGTTATGGCGTGAAAATAAAAGTGAAGTTCAAAAATTGGATTAAAAGTAATGGTTAGAGTTTTCATCATGAACTGAGATCAGCAATAATTCAAAAATTTAAATTCCAAATCTTGATCCCACACCTATCATGATAAATCATACTTTTTTATTTGTTGACTTCTGTCTGGCTACAAAGGGACAAGATTTTACGGTCCCTCAGAGATGAAATGTAGCTTTACTGGTTGTTTCATGAAGAATAGCAAACGAGAAAAGTTTTAATAACAATTTTATAGCTTACTGGAAGTTTGACTGGGGATTAAATGGTTGGTTAATGAAAAGATCCTTATTCATTAAAGTTCTCTTCCATAACAGTTACAAAGTAAGCGGGTTTGTGACCTGTGTCATATCGTATATTTAAATAAAGCGACCATTGAAGAATTAAACGTTTACATGAATCAATGTTCATTGGAATCCAAACGATAAATGTTAATTTCCGAACAATAACCTCTAAGTTCAATTCTAAATGGTCAATAGTTAATGGTAAATGTTTAGTTTAAAACTTTCTGGGTTTTGATCTATGTCTTACAGTTATTAACAATTAACTCATGATTTCAATTATTCAAATTACTACAATCTCCACAAAACCCCTTCCGATACTAATCAATATATGCTCACTAGTGACTGGCTTCTAGATGTATATCCTGGGGTTCTAGAGAGAAGCAGTGACCAGTGGAGTTCAACCGGGTCTGTTATGAGATAGGAACTCACTAATGACAATGGTGGGTGTGTCGCACAATTTCATGGACTGGTTGAGATTAGACATTAACATTGAAATAACAGATATACCATATTGATTCATTCAAGTGATAAGTGTTTATTTCATTCAAATCTCTGAAGGATCTAATTTAGACAATCAGTGAAAACCCGAAAGCACTAGACAGCCGTTTTGTCCTAGTATGAGATAATCAAGCACTGAAAATTATCATGTGCTCACTAGTGACACGCTTTGAGAGGAAATTTCTGTAGTTCTAATAAGAAGCTAAGACTAATGGAGTTCAACCATGTCGGGTGTGAGAAAGGTACTCACAGAAGACAATTGATCGATTGTAATTAGACTTACACACTATCTAAAGGTTAAGCGTTCACTCATGGAATAAAAGTCCTAGATTCGAGCCCGAAATGGCCGTCTTTGGTTCCCAGGTTTTTAACGGTTGTCATACTTAGACTGGTTCGTGATTTCAATAAAATTGAACAATTTTGACAACCTCATACTGATGATAAATATTGAATTCAAGTGAAGTACATATTTTAATTAACGCAAGTGATTAGTACAAAACTACTGATTAGATTGCATCAATGTTAATATAATATTCGTTCAATTAAAATCAGAATAATACATATGCAGACACATCATGAAGACACAGGAGTCTTCTGTTGTATCTGTGATTGAGTGTAGCCCAAATAATCAAAAAATTGTCTTAAATTGTAGAATGTACCAGTAGTTAAAATATCATAAAAACTGATGATAAATGTTTACATATATTTCTAACTTACGCTAAAAGTGGTCTATCATAATAAACAATACTATCCAAATCAACTGATATAGTTTTTGTACCTATAAAATAAGTTGGAAATACACCATCTTCATTAGGTGTAGCTGTTCTCCAAACATAATCTCTTTTTCCATTGCATATAGTACCGTAATTTGCTATTGTTAAATCTATGAATATACAGAAAATACGTTATTAAGTGGTTTTTATTTCTTTTAAATTAGTTATAAAAAACTATATAAGACCATTGTTCTATGTTTCCATGACTACACTGATAACTCAACATTCAGTGAAAACTAACCGAATTCATCAAATTTTGAAAAATGAATATCTCTAGCCGGAAACAGCGTTTTCTATATAGATTATAAGCTGAATGGGCTAAACACCATGATTTTGTCTAGAAATGAATGTAAGACTTTCAGGATGTCGATCTAACAGTTCACCTTTTCCAATACAACTTCACAATATATCTCAGCTCCGATTATTCTGTGTTGTTACATTAGCTAAATGTAATTTACAGTGTTTATTCAGCGTCGGAATAAGATATCAAAACATATTATAGCACGGAGAATTTTTGTCTAGCTATAAATGAAAGCATCTATAGATGTTTGGTACCAATGATAATATTTTTAAAGAGAACAAGAATGAAGATTTGATCAGGTTAGTGTGAACTCATTTTATTTCGTTTGATTCACAATTGATTGATCACTGGGTTGTGATCAGTGTCATATGTGTCAGGTCCTTCTTAGTGCAGACCGGATACTATCGACCATGTTGCAATTTGGCCACTAGTCTAGGTCACCCCCTCCTACCATTCTGTTTTTCCTCTCAAATATACGTTTCACGGTCCAATTATCGGAACACTTCTTATTACGTAATCTTATAATTTTTAGGAATCGTATTTCAGTGTCTATATTTTTCTAATCATTGACCTATTTCCCATAATGTAACATTGATTCAAGCCTTTATTATTCTTATCACAACCTGTACACCTATCGTCATACTACCAGTTTGTACTTTTCACTTACTATGTTTGGTCATGTAATTTATTCCACTGATAAATCAAGTTTCTGAACACCGGTAGCAATGGCTTTAGCAAACGTCAGAATATTGGAGTTTGGTTGTTTATTAATCAACTTGAAAAATTTCAAGATTTCAACTTGTTATCCCATGTCCAAGAAATATTTAGTACTTGAAGAGTTTATGAAACACGTTCAAAAACGCTAAGATATATCCTTTTTTCTATTTGACTAGTGTAGCTGGCTTGACAGATTCATGTAAATTGATAAATACAATTTGCGGTAACATGAAAGGTGTACCTGTCAATTTTTGATTGAATTACTAAACATATCGTTTTATACTGGATTAATAGTTTTGTTCCAGGTTACTTTCTGGCTAATACACTGTTAAGCCTCCTGGTGATTGTATTTACAACGTCGTCACATTGAAAATTGATTTTTTAAAATATTGGATTTCTCTTTAATGCAACCATACTTGTCATGTTGTCTTTAGATATTTTTTTACACTTACCAATGATTTTTTGTTTGTATCAGTTGTTTTCCGGTCATTCATTCAAACGAATATGACTACTGATCACAACCAATTGCATCTTTGAAGTGTACATATCAGAGTATCAAGGTGTGAATCTGTACTTATAGTCCATTTGTTTTAGATTGAATTTAAATTTAAGTCCAACTAATCCAACTGTTTTGTAGTTCAACCCATTTTCGGTGTATTTGAGCAGGTCTAAATAAGTATATTCTAAGTATCAAACTTATTTCAAACCTATACATTGTTTTTCTTTGCATGTTAAATGTTACAACTCTCCCCTGCATAGTATAATACAAGTAAGATATTTCAGAATGAAATATCTTAAAACTACCCTGACGTTAATAAGCAAAACTGTAATTACTTTTATTTTTTTTAGGTCTAGGCACACAGTAATGCAATTGTGTCCTACATAAAGAGTTTCATCTAATAAAAGAATTCTTCAATCATATTAATAGCATTTCTCTATCTCTCATCAAACATGTTTTAAATCTTGAGGAATTTAAATTATCTGCTTATATATTTAAGTAGTGTATTAAATTACTGAATTTAAAAATTTAATTACTTGACAAGTATGCTGCTCCACCGTTGGAAAAATCTTCCATCCAGCTCACTAGTTTGCCTTTCTCTGGTTCACCAGTTCCACTCATAAATTGTGCACTAGTCATACCGAGATAACCACTACCGTCAGGTGCAGTAGGTCCTAGAAGTTCCGATCCAAGTTTAACAGCATTTGTATCCGGACGGTCGTCACATGTTTGAATTCCACTACGGCCAACTAATAATGAATTATTAAATAGGAACGTTTTTTTGCTGATCTCATGACTACGTCCTCCAGGCAAACCAGTGAATGGATATATACCTGAAAATTAACAAGATCATTTTCAACAAGGATGTCATATTATATTACTAATATGATGTGATAACAAACAATTACAGATCCTTTCACAAATAACATATTTCATAAGTATTCAAGGCTGTAGATTTCTCCTAGTTTACATCACGAACTGACCTTACTCAGAACATCACTGTAAACATGGAAGGACCAAACGGTTATTTCCTTCTAGTATGATTTAAGCTGGATTTCTTGGAATCTTAATGTGAAGCTATGGGATATCAATAAAAAAATTCTACAGAACTAATTGACTAGATTCATAAATATGAATCAAGTGATTTCGACTCAGTGACTCGATAAAGTTTTGTTATAGGCAAGAACTGAAGATCTTGTATTCAAACCTCTTTCCAGAAATAGCTTTATACTGTGAAGAGGTCTATATCTTGAACGAAACACTTCGAGGGTTATGTGACCACATCAGGACTCATTCGTTCATAAAAACGTTTCTTGTTATCTTGCTAATTTAGCAAATGGTTTAAAATAAACAGAATACATTAATCAAATTATTTGAAAAAATTATTTGCATGGCAAACATTTATGCGACTTTCGTTTATAACAAAGTGGAACAATACCTCCAGCGTTATCGACTAGTTGTAAATTATTGGCTTGAATAGCTGAAGCTGTTTTCCAATATACTGGAAATTGACTAACTGAATATATTTGAGCATTAGAAATGAGGGTACAATTGTACTGTGTTTTTAACTGCATAATCCCGATTAAACACGAATGTATGATATTTTTCTCCCTATAATACAAAACAAAATATTGTCCTAATAAGCAATGCCATTATTTTATAGAAAAACTATCAGTAAAATTAATTGTTGAAATATAAAATATTATGAACTGATAAGCGTCAAACAATTGTACGTATCAGTATGACGATTTGTGGGGACTTTAGTACTTTATAGTTAAAACCACGAGATCTGTGCTAGACCATCATTGAAGACCTGGGAGCATCGGACGGCTGTTTCGTCATATTACGGGACTCCTACCCAAGTCCTTTGGTTTCACGCTCAAAACCAAAACTCCTGGAGTTCTAGTGAGAAGCCGTGATCAATGAAGTCTAATGATTGTCGGGTGTAAGACAGATATTCACCTCAAGCAATGGATGAAGAGTTGCGCAAGATCGTGGATCGATTGAAGGTAGATATTAACACCGTTTTATGCCATAACAGAGGTCTAGAAGTCAAGAGTTCACGCGAAGGACTGAAGGTCCTGGGTTCGAGTCTCGCGTGTGGAATCGTGGAGTCGCACTTCTGTGGAGTCCTATACTATGATGAGACAGGCGTCCAGTGCTTCTAGGTCTTCAATGGTGGTCTAGCTCAAATTAACTCGTGATTTCAAATGTGAAAATTATGTGTATGTTTCGCTTCTGTTTTCGTTTTTGTATGTTGTCAACAGATCAAGATATTTATGTGATATACGTTCTACACTAAACTGTTGTTAAAGTCGATAGTTCATACCAAAAATCCTGTCCTCATAATAAGTCATTTAGTGCCGAACTTTACATGATTCTTGATCACTCGACCATCCTAATTTTATATCATATAACATTCTCTGACGATCTTGGAATACTAGTTTTCTATGTTTCTTTTTATAGTTTCTTTAATATTGTTCGATATTTGCTTCTAAGAGTCAAGATTTTACACTACTCACCACTTATTTCTTTTCTTCCAAAGTTTAAAAATCTGCCAGTAGCAAATACAGTAGGACTATAATTTGTGTACTATATTTGAGCAACAGCAAGATGACCTTGAGAAAATTCACCAACATACTAGGGTCTAAAGAAAATTATACATTAGTGTAAGAAGTCAGAATCGAGATTTAGGGTTTTCATCACAAACTGATATGAGCTATATTATCAAGCATATGTATGGATGGGTATAAGACTTGCTATCTTGAATCTGATTGGTTCTTTCATAAATTCTGGTCTCCGCAAAAATACTATTTATAGTTAATAAATCTATTGCTGGTTTATAATTCTTTTCAGAATCAAGATCATATTTCTAAATTCAACGACCGTGCAATAAGTTACATTGGTTATGTGTAAGTGAAATCAAAAAATAGAATTACAATAAAACACAGAGAGTAAACGTGATCCAGGAGCGATCACGAGACCATTATGAATCCGACTTTAAAACCAGCCCAATAACTGGGTTATTTTAATCAATAAGAAAAATATCAAAAATTAAACCGTTTCGATCAAAATCAAAAGATATGAGTTATGTTTTTAAAGAAATTATACCTTCAGGTGACATGCTCTAATATTTAGACCACCTACTTTTCAACCGTACAAAATATTGCCATTAACCTTGTATTTTTGCATTAGTTTAACTGTACATAGTCACAAATTTGTTGGCTTAGATTCTATCTTACCTATCTATTGCAAAACAAATGTCAAATAAATTGGAATTCATTTGTTTTGTGTTTGAGGGATGTGAAAAATTAAGTGTATTAGGTGAAATGGTGGAGAGCTTTAGTGATTGAATATGAATAGCTGATAGTGACTGTTAAAAATTCTTATTTTGAAATAATTACAATATGAATGTATGTCAAACAGAAATTCGTTGCCCTATTCGTCCATGTCTACCTGAGCACCAGTTTGCTGTTAAGTGACACGACGTAGCTTCGTTTATATCAAAACATCTTAACAATTGTGGACATCAGTTCTGCTGAAAAAACGTCGAAATATTGGAGACAGGAAACCCGAAGAAAGCCAGAAAATTCTTATCAGTCCAGGACACAATTCAAGCATCATTCAGTAAGTACATCGAAATCAACTAAATCTTTCAACCAATAAGAAGCATCAAGAAAAAATAAAAATAAAATATTTGTAATATCCCAATGAGTAGAAAACTGGATTTTCTGACGTTTCGTGACTTAGTGTAAGTCACTTCAGACAATAATTTGGTTATTTATTCTCTGAAGAAGTGACTTACACTAAGTCACGAAACGTCAGAAAATCCAGTTTTCTACTCATTGGAATATTACAAATATATTATTTTTATTTATAACAATCAACCCAATGCTCAATTTATTCGAAATTATCAAATCAAACCTTGGTAATGACACCTACAAGAAGCATCAAGGTCAGAATTCAGATCAGGAGAAACAACGATAGAAACAAACATACAAACAACGTTCACATAATAATGGATAACAATCAATCAAATTTCTTATCATCAGAACAATCTCCTAGTCAATTGTGGAGTAATTGTTTTCGAACCATGTACTGATAATGTTGTTTAGAAGAACAATCAAATCTTCACAGCAAATCTATCCAATACAGCGATTAAAATAACATTCTCATCCTGAACTATAAATATTCTCCATTATATTACAAGGCGTTCTTTACTATAACCAAATTGAGTAAAATCATTATTATTGGAAAATAACATTTCAATCAACCTACCAAATGGTTGTAGAACTTTCACCACATGGATTACCTTGAGTATAAACACAAAGGCGTTCAGCTCCTGCAATAGAATTCCTTTGTAGAATTAAATCACTAGCTTGTTTAATATCTAATGCAGCTTCAAACAAAATATCAAGATTTTGATTATCAGTTGTTAGTTCTCCAGACCAGATTGATTCAATAAGAAGATTATGTATTAATTTATGATTTCCATCTGTTAACCATATTGCTGGAGAATTAAAATTATAAAAGTATGAAAAATACAAACAATTTATTATCATTAAATGATTAACTGTGAAGTATGAACATTCCTAAGAAAATAAGAATAGAGTGCATTATAATGCGAAAGTGCAATGTCTTACTTATCTAGTCAACACGGATGACCATGACAAATTTACTCACGAATGCCATAAACTAAATATCATTCAACATAAAAAGTGGAAACATGGACAAATATATTAGTTATTTGCATCATTCCATTGATGTTAAGGACTGCAACTGATCAGCCTCTTTTTATTCATCTGCATCCTGCGTGGATTGGCTCAAAATTACCGCTGAGTCACGAGCATTTTTAAGCAGAGATATGTAATGGCTAGATAAGGAATTTGGGACATTTGTCTCGTCGCATCCGAGACCGGCCAACTGGATACACCTTGAGTCGATGTTAACTCCGGGACTCGACCCTCGTGCCGTTTGGTTTAAACGTCATCGTGTTGTCCACTGAGCGAACGAGTCGAGATAGCCACTGGCTTTATGCAATTGGGTAAATACTGACTCAGTATTCAAAGGATGCGACCACAGGTGCCCACTCCTAATAAGTTTTGCATCAGGATTAAACATCTATTACTACTTTTTAATGTTTCTCTGGTAAAACGAAGGTAACTTACAGAAAAGAATATTCTTGAGTCATTTATTTATGAATTTCAGTATTGTCTTGAAACAAAGCTGGTACGTCAGTGTTGTGGCTTGAAGTAAATTGCAATTTCTGTTTTTGATATGGCTGTTTGCTATGACTGTGAAATACTTCTATCTGCTACTGATTCAAAGAAGCAAAGCTGCTTTGTTGATCCAAGGAAGAAAACGGGGCTGTAGAATAGGGCTGATTTATGCATTAGCCATTACTAAATATGATATCCACAATAACAGGTATGTTAGCCTATGGATACGTTTAAGTAGCGAGCGTTTTGTCCTAGTGGGGCCCTCTCAGCATTACATAACCATGATCTCACAAGTAGGGATCGGACTCAAGATATACGGTCTCAAACGTGAACGCTTAACTTGTAAACCACTGAGCCGGGATTTAATAGTAAACAGGTCTAGCTTCAATCAGTCTATGATACTGCGCCACCATCTTCCACTGTCTTCAATGAATACCTTTCTCACACCCAACATCTCAAACTCCACTGATCAGGTTTCTCACTAGAACTCCCCAAACTCTTCTCGAAGCCAGTCACTGGTAAATACATGATTGGGGTTATAGGGATTATTGTCTGATTTTGACTAATTCAGAATTTCAATAAAATTCAGTTCTCTCCATCAACCCTACACTGATGATCTAACTGAAATAAATTAGTGGTTAAGAGACAATCCAATGTGTGTATATAGTTTGCAAAATCAATAAATTAATTGACTCATTTGAGAAACATAATTCAGTGTTGAGTTATATATTTGTTTTTTAATCATTTCAATAGTGTGAACTTATTGAGGTTAGACACTAACATCATTTGATACCGGTTCAGTGATCTAGAGTCCGAACTTTCGCTTGCAAAACCGAAGTTCATAGGTATGAGTCCCTCGTGCTGGATCATGAATGTGCACTGCTGATCATTCCCATCCAACGAAGAAACGCCTGTCTAGTGCTTCCAGATGTTCAATTGTGGTCTAACTTAGATTGATCTATGATTTTAATGAAATCCGACAATCTCCACAAATCTCATACTGAAAATTTCAATATAATAAGGACATTTTGTTAAACAATACTTTGTATATGAAACGTTTTATAAGTTGAAAATCAGTTAAACACTATTGAAAATAAATATAATCAATTAAACTTGCCAGAACCCAATGTTTTATAAAAGATATTATTTTCCATATATAATCCTGTAGTTGCAAATCCTCCTAAAGCTGTTGATAAAGAATTTTCAAATAAACATGATTTTATATATGATATATTATTCATATCACCAGCACTAATAAATGCAATAGGAAAACGTGCATCTGTTACAGTATTAAAATCTTTTTGACCCATTCGATAGAAATGTACACCTAAATTAAATGAAATGTTAAAAAGAGATGTAATATGATTAATAGGGTGTGTTAAAGAGAAATAAAAACTGCACTAATCTTATTCAACAATTATCTAGTTTATTTAATAGTTGAATTCATGAATCAATTAAAGCTAGACCACTATGAGAAGCCTGGAAGCACCAGACGGCCGTTGAAAGTTAAACATCAACACCATTGGATGCCGGGACATTGGTCTAGTGGTGAGGCGCTCGCGCACGACATCCATAGTTCCTGGGTTCGAATCTAGCAAGGCGGGATCGTGGATGCGCACTGCTAAGGAGTTCCATACTAGGACGAAACGGCTGTCTAGTGCCTTCTGGTTTTCCATAGTGGTCTAGCTTTAATTGGCTCATGAATTCAAATATTAAACTACCATAATATCCACGAAAACCCTTCTCTGATTATAATTATCTCGATGATTGAAAATAACTGGAATGTTGAAAACTAATAGTGAAATAGACAAATGAAATGTAAGTATGGGGTTGTGGAAATTATTATGTTTTTGATTGAGATCATAAACCGATTAATGTTAGATCACCACTGAAAACCTGGAAGCACTGAACGGCCGTTTCGTCCTATTATGGGACTTCTCGACAGTGCACATCCACGATCCCACCCGCTGGATTCAAACCCAGGATCTTCAGGATTATCATTGGTAGTCTAACATCAATCGGTTCATGATCTCAATCAAAAATAAAATACAAATACTATTTGACCAATTAACTTTTATTTCCTGTTGATTAAATGTATATGTAAATGTTTATTATCTTCTTGCATACCTGATAATTTTAATTGCCCATATAAAATATCACCTTCGTATAGAGTTTGTGAAATCAGGATTCTTCCGCCAAATTTAGTATTGACACTTTGATCATCACCTTGGATAATAATATTTGATTTCATCAAACCAACTTCTGCGCCTAATATAAATTTGTGATCCCCGTAGGTTTGATTGTATGCTAGAATTTACATTAAAAAAGATATTAATTATATTAAAATAAGACAATAGAATTTCATACAACAAGAATGATAAGTAACTCAGGAAATATTCAACTACCATCCCTAATCAAACGGATCACTTGTGACTGCTTCCGACAAATATTTACAGATGGTTCACTAAGAATTTGTGATCAGTGAAGTTAATCAACTGTGGGACAAACAGTCACTCATCGATTAAACTTAGCGGTTGTACCATTACACCAGGAATTAATTATAATTAAAATTAAGAAATGCTGAATTCCAACTCAGTATTTAAACGATCTCATGTCTACTATTAAAGTTGCATCCTGTTTTAAATTTCATTCAGATTCATGTGTACACACTTATAATAAATGAAAAATTGGTATGAAATACTTACTGAACAGTTCTTGACTTGCGACAACTAGGCTTCGAGTCAATCTAAGACTATTATTAATTCTAAGCCCAGATAAAAAAAGAAAGTTAATTATAGGGTTAATAATCCCACCTCGTAAAAACGAGCCCAGTTACAGTTTGCTAACTATTTCTCGATTTTCGACGGTTTGATAACTGATACCAGTTAAGGATGAAATAAATATTTCAAGATATGTAGATTTGCCCACCAACACACCTTGTTTAAACACAAATTATAAATAATGACACAATTTATTTTTGTTGAAATATTTTCAGATATGAATTAACTGAAATAGTATCGTTTAGTTATCAGTTACAGTATGTCATACTTTGACACTAAACTTAAATAAACATAATATATTCAAATTGTGTTTTGTTTTGGTTCCTTGAAAGAACATATCGTTATTAAAGGTTTATCACCGACGTGTTAAACAAGCAAATTGTAGGAATTTGTTGCTGTTGTTACTGTCTATAAAGAAAATATGACTGACAGCAATATGAATGAAATTATAATCAATTTTACTTCCATGTTATCAAACTAATTATGAATGTTCATTTTTAGCTGACAGATTACCATTTCAGCAAGTGATTATCAGGAATCAGTAGCTAAAAGGATAACGCGATGGCGTTTGAAGCGAACGGTACTGTGTTCGAGTCCCCGAGCGAACATCAACTCTGAGATACAGGTTACATCCAGCTGATGAGTCACAAATAGGACGAAACGCGCGTCTTGGATTCTACTGGTAGCTACTCTCCACCTTTGCTTAATCTATTCAGTTAATCACTAGTCATTTCTATAAACTCATTGACATTTAGAAAAGTTTGTAATTGGAAAATAATATTTTCACTTTGGAAAAAGCATATCACGCTCAAGATGTATCTTGTTTACTAGATATCTCTAGACAATGTAAGATAGCGTTAGTAAGTACTTTTAAATTCTCTGTGTTGATATTTAGGAATAAAATTGATAGGTTTTGTTGCCATATGTGCATTCTGAGAGGATTGTCCCAATGTAGCCTTTAATCATAATTTCTTCATAAATTTGATATGTGGCTAGCGATGAAGTCCAGAATACTTGTTTCTTCCCATAGGATATATTGGCTGGATACATATATCTTCGTCCCAATATTGTTGTACATGTTTTAGCTTGAAACAACAACTTTTCACTCCAAAGTTCAACCCTTTGTCTACTGATGGGTTCAGAATATCACAAAATGAGAGAACGTGGTTTTAATTAAAGCCACATACTAAAATTCTGATGGTGCTCTATATTTATATAATAATTTACTAAATTAGAAATATCAATAGTTGTGTGTCATTTATACATTAAGCTTGAAGATGACTGCTTTGGATTGAAAGATTCACATCGTTTTTGCATACCATCTTAATTTTGTAATAAGAATTCTTAACTTGGTGAATACTTTTAACACAAATGAATACTACTGCATAAAACTTACCGACATGAGTATTTATTAATTTGTCTACAAGTGTGATGATCATTCGATCCGACGAAACAGAAGCAATTACACCAACTTCTGATTGTTTATAATTCATACTAGTTGTAGCGATAACTATACGATCGCCTGGCAACCAGTCTATTACTGGATCATTAAGATATAATTGATTATCTCCAGCATTAGCTGATAATTTAAGAGTAGTCCATCTTACAGTTTTGGGTACTGCATGCATACTCATTATTCCATAAACACCTGTGTGAAATCATACAAAATATATAGTCATACTACTGTATTATTAGTTAAAATAGTAAAAAATGAATTACTAAAGCTAGTAGGCAATTATATCTTAAAATGTGTGAATCATCTAGCGATCTAACTAGATGTTTCAAATATTTTACGACTTTCTCTAAAATTACCGTTGATAAAGTCATGGTACACAATACATGGAATCAATTGATTACATGTCGACCTAAAATTAAGGTAAACTTTAAAACACTAATATGTGAACGTTGTTAGTGTTGGGAAGTTTCGAAATATCCCTCTAGAGGGTCAGAAAATTTCAGGAAGTGTTTTATTCAATCGGTGTTAAATAAAGAAGCTTCTCAGAATGTGAGGAGTCACGTGTCACGTTTTGACTGGATATTTATCTACGTCATTGTTATCTTTGAGAGGCTTTCAGGAATTTCTAGAAGTCAAAGATCAGGTCTAACTGTAAATACACTCTATTTTCTGTACATGAATTAACACTGGAGTGAAGCTCTCACTCACGCCTTCTCTTGATTGATTCAGTCAAAGTGTAGAAGTAGTCCTGATATATTTTGATTGTTTGTACATTAACCTGTTTCAGATAAGTTGTAGTATTACCAAAGCCGACTTATTCATCGCATATAAAATCAAACCCATACCCAGAAAGTTTGGTATAGACATAGGACTATTTATAGTTACTCTCATATATGTCTACCTGTGTACTTATACTTTCAATAAAAGGTACGTCGAAATAATGAAAATTCCTGTTTGTGGAAAACTTTGAAAATATGTCGAGGAATTCGTCACATACTGTCTTATAAGTGTACACCATTAATATAGATTATCTACCAAATCATAATACAGCGTTTTAACAAATATATAAGGACGAAAACAATATATTATGAAGTTTCGCAGGAGCAAAACGTTTTACAACAAATCTAGCGATACATTATCATGCCTGTCTAGTATTGTCAAACAGTTATGGGCCATTTCTGATCTCATTTTGTACCCCTTGGTCAATAGGAAATCGCTACCAAAAATTGAGTTTCAATCCCCCTAATCCTTTTGATTATTTATGAGGATGTAACTGAGCCATAAAAAACAGTATCTGTTAAATCTACATCTCAAAAAATCGCCAACCTAATATCTGCGTGATTGTTTGCCTGAACAGTTCGAAATCGTTTTTGGAACTAATATTGCGTGAACTCAGTGTCAGCATTTGATGTGGTGGCAAAAAGGACAGATTTCTTGTACTAAATTGGGTCCAGTTCGACTAAGTCGTAGTTATTTGAGCAGTTGTATGATCTAGTCCATGCTACGAGTATTTAGCCTAGATTTCCTATATAGGACCAATGAACTCCTGGTAAGTAGTGACATCACAATCACAAGGTATCAGTTAAGATCACTACTTAATGACTCATAGACAAGATTGCCGTTCTCCCACTCTCAGTCAATCACCCGATTATCAAAATAGAAGGCGACAGAGCAGGACGATAACTTCTAGCTGTACAATCCAATTTTTTACTTGATAAATGTCATAGTACATAGTGAATACTTTGACCTACATCAACATGAATAAGATATTACAATACGGTTATAACCAGGCGATAAATGGAAAATAATTAAAAGATAGGTTTGTAATTAATTAAAAAGAACTTCGAGAAAGACAAAACATACAACAATATTTTATGAGACTCCTCGTCAGTGCGCATCCACTATCGCGCTCACGGGATTCGAACCCAGGACGTTCGGTCTTGCGTAAGCGGGACCTTGGATGTGAGTGAGTTGTAAAATGTTCATACAGACATAATAATAATACAAAGATAAAGATGAATGAAACTATCTGTTAATAAATTAATTGAAGGGGTATGACAAAATTAAACGCCAACAGACTTAAGTATGGTTGAGGCGCTATAATACAATAAAACTATACACAATAATTCCTGGTAGAACAGCTCTGAAAATTTAACTTTAATCAATATTTATTCACTCCCCGCCTTATAGCAGTAACATTCTAAAATTTTCATTTTTTTCAAGTTAGAAAATGTTTAATTATTGTTTAACGTTCTCATTTTTCCTATTACTATATGGTGTAATCAAATAAAAACTTTCAACATCGGGACATCTCAGATGACATAACATGCGAGTACAAAAGCCAAGAACGAACAAACTAACCGTGGCATACAGGTTTTCACACCGAGTCATTAGTACTTGGAACCTGTTACCCGAAGTAGTGGTGTCCGCACCTTCAATTGACTCATTCAAGAGAAGACTGAACACTCATAGAAGCATACTAAAAAAGTAATAACATAGGCCGTAGGCCTTCTGTCCTTACTACACAAATCTGATATGTAATAAAAAAACGTAATATTAAATCAATGAGAAAAAATGCAATTCTTTTACTAACCAATTGATTTAGGTCCAATTACTGGTCCATCTAAACTCATAAATTCATCAGATATAGTACCAAGTAAAGTTAATTCAAGTGTTGCATTTATCAATGGTTTTTCAAGAAGTGATCCAGCTAAAAATTGACCTCCAATAATTAACATTTGTTTAAATGCTAATTTATAGAATCGTTGATCTTGACTTGTTCCTGAATCGACTTCAAGTGTTCCATATATTGTAATATTATTCATTTTTATATTAATTGATGTATCAAGTACCAACCACGTACCTTTAGGAATCATAAGCTATTGTTATTGTTAATTTTGAAAAAATACAGGGGAAAAGTATAGCTAATTAAGAATAGTACGATATTTACAATTTGTCATAAATTTATTTCAGTTGAAGCATCATTCGAAACTACCAAACATTGGATAGATTTTTCGTCGTAGCGTAGTACCCTCAACAGTATGTATCGACAGTTTCACAGTGGATCGAACTCAGGATCTTCAGGTCTTGTGATGAACGCTTGACGAACAGAACCAATGGACCGTTTTCCGATGAAACAATTCGAACTTTAATCAGTTTGTTACACAACCTACTTCAGTAGTTCATATTTTTTTAAATTAAATGTCAAATAAGATCATTCTGTGACAAATCTTACCTACGAATCAATTCAATCTCTTCAAAATACCTTCAAATAAATCATATTTTCAATTTATTATACGTTTTCACTGATTTATAACACATCAGCTGGGAGTCCATAATTATCAGATATAAACATTTATTGTTTAACAAATAATCCCAAACTTTCGGATAGCTTCATAGAAATATCAATGAAAAGTTGTAACTTGCTAAGTCGACTATACTGAATATAAGGCAGTGATTCTGTAGAAAGTCCATTGAACTGTTTTATTATTTATCCATTTGCTGTAATTTGGACATTTAATTCACAATGTAAAATTGTGTGTGAGTTTGATTGAGCTCATGTCTTCACAACAATCTTTACCTATCCTCTCATTGGTAGGAAACACAGATAATCAATAATTTATCCACAATCGATTAACACTCATAAATATTTTTGATTGAGACCATGAATAGATGAATGTTAGACCACCATTAAAAACCTGGAAGCACTGGACGGCCATCTCGTCCTAGTATGGGACTTCTGAGAAGTGCTCACTCACGATCCCCCAAGCGGGTTTCGAACCCAGGACCTTCGGCCTCGTGCGCGAATGCTTAACCTCTAGGCCATAAATAGTATCATGAGCGATAATACTGTATTAATGTGTACGTTAGAGATAAACGGAAAGAGATTTTCAAAATAATTTGTTTATCATTTTAGTTCTCGTATCATGTTCACAGCCGATCATGAAATTAATTGCTTGTTAGAAATGTAAATTTTCGAAGTGGAATTCATATGTGATTAGTTACCATTTCTGTGTTGATTCATTAACGTTGTATACAAATATTATTATATTTGGTTAGATGTGAAGTTATTTAAGTACTTGAATTCATCAGTTTCTTTGCGAATCTTCCGAGATGATTTCCAAACTTTAAACGATAATCGACAAACTAGAAGATATTGTTGGATATTATACACTTTTATATATATTCTAAGATTCAACTATTATTACGAAATGTAATACTTCTTGTAAAACGAAAAGATTGGATTGGTTGAGGTTAGACATTAACGCCACTGGATGCCGAATCAGTGGTCCAGTAGGTTAAGCGTTCGCGCACGAGACTGAAGGCCCTGGGTCCGGATCCCGCGAGCGAGATCATGGATGCGCACTGCTGAGGAGTCTCACAACGGGACGAAACGGCTGTCCAGTGCTTCCTGGCTTTCAATGGTGGTCTAACATCGATCGGTTCATGTTCTCAATCAAAAAACGAAAAGAATTTGATTATATACACTGAGGAGTAATTTGTAATATTTTTACCGAGCTTCCATTTACTGGCTGAGGTCCAAGCACATCTCCCCATGTATTATTCTTTGACCAATATAATGCATCCACTGGTCGAGATGTATCCAATACACTTACAGAACTCGAACTTGGAACAATGCAATCAGTAAAGAAGCATTTATAAAATGACACCCATAAACGATAGCTGTTGAATAATGATGGATTAACTGGGGCTTTCACTGAAGCGTTTAAAAAAGAATAAATGGAAAATAAATTATCAAAGGCAATACATAAAATTTATTCTTCATAACTTACTATGATTACACTCGATAATATAGATTTTTACGATATTTGCTCATCCTTTATTTAATGAATGTATCAGTATACAAATATATACATCACTCAATTCATTCATTGTAGAAATTCCTTGAATAGGATTGTTTGACGTTTAACCCTTATCGATAGAATTACACATAAACATAGGGCTGATTAGCCACTTTTGTGAAGTAATTCACAGGAAACTATATTTTTAGCTTACTTAGCTGCTGATGTATGTTCCCAAATATCGTTTGTATTTTGAAGAAGGTCAATATGGTTTGTAGGCCTTAAACACATGTTATTTAGCTAAATAATGAAACGCATAACTGTTGGACACTGAAAACCGTTTACTACATTATTATACTTTCTAATCAATAAACTTAATTTCTCTAATAACCTAGAAACTGTCTAATATTACCGAGAACAGTGAAATACAAGAGTAAATTATCAAAAAATTAGATGAGATTTAACTGCTGTTTAACCGAAATACCAGAAAACGTTTTTTGTGGAATTGCGAAACTCAAACAGAATCTACATGTATACAAATCGATGAAGAATTAAAGTCAGATAGTGCGTTTTTATAAGTATATAGCTATGAATTTTTATCGATCATCCCCTGGAAAACTAGTACACCCTTCAATTTTCCATATCTCTATGTTTACCCAAAGTTTCTGCTCTGATTGGGTAGACTAGAATGTTCTACATTCCTTAGCATGTCAAGAGAACCACGAAGGCTCCATAAGCTCTCTTAAATGAGTCATAGCATGCAATTATACAGCCTATAATTCAACTTAGCGAAATTTCATTGAATAAAATGTGTATGAAAGAAAATTATAAACCGAGCATTTATCAGGGTTTATGCCTGTTTTCAAAGAAAAATAAAAAAACCAGGACCGATCGTGAGTGCGCACTGATGAGGTGTCCCACAATAGGACTAAACTGCCGTCCAGTGCTTCCAGGTTTTTCATGGTATTCTAGCTTCGATTGACTCATGATCTCAACTATTGAAAAATAAATATATTAATCTATGTCCATTGTACTGTCTTTATTCTCTCAACAAAATCATTTCTGTATAAAAGAAAAATATATTTGAAATAAAAACACACTAAAACTACAAAATTCACAATGAGTAAGAAGTAATTACCTAAATATTCAATATATTTCCCAGTTTCATTATAAAACACTTCACCATTATCATGTACAGATGGATCCAAAGGTTCAGCTATTGGTTGTTTAGGTGTTTGACCAGAGAGAACTTGAACCCTATCTGGTTTAATATCCATGCCCATATGACGGATTATAACATAGTCGGATTGCTTTTAATGAACATATAGTATGAAATGAAATATGATAAAGTGAGAATGTATACTTTTTTAATTTATTCATTCTTAGTACACTCCTATTTACTTGGTAGTTGTAATTAAATCTTAGTACAGTTTATTAAACTATAGTAATCAATTAAACAAATAATGTTTAATATTCTAAAGAGTAGTATGGCTATTTTAAAGCATATCTGTGATTATTCTCTTCAAAATAATAATTAGTCCAATTGAAAATCAGACAACGATAACAACAGTCTATCACAAAGTAATCAAACGCTAAAAAATGACAAGTTCAAAATGGTTCCTTAAGCAGAATATGTTTTAATCGATAAGAAAATAGCCATTTTGTTGATTATTCATTTACTAGTATAGAGAATTTGTAAAGTTCAGGTGAGAAGCTGTAACTACAGGAATTCAACCCACAGGGAATAGATGTAGGGTTGCTCAAGATCATGGATTGGCTAAAGTCAGACATTAACAGTGTCAGAGACCACCACAGCGATCTAGGTGTTAAGCGTTCGTATGGGAGATCGAATGTGTTGGGTTCGATTCTCGCGTGTGGATTCATAAGCGCCCACTATTGAGAAGTCCGATACTTGGAAGAATCAGCTATTCAGTGCTTCCAGGTCTTCAATAGTGGTTCAGTTAAGACCAGTTCGTGATTGCATCTGGGATTAATAATTAGATCCATGAGGTACAGGGAAAAAGAATTAATACTGATTGCTTGTAAGTAATAGTTATGATATAAAACTTTCACAGTGACCACAAATGTATGTGCAACAGCACTATCTTACACCACGCTTGATGGTTAAGATGAAAACTGATTATTTCAACACCTCTGTGTGTTTGAATTAGTGGTGACAGAATAATGTATCAGCGAAGTACTAATGATAATAAGTTTCTGATACAGTGGGCCAATCAGAAGTCATCAAATAAGAAAGCTACGCAGTTTCAATTAAAAATCTCCTTAATGACCAGGAGATCTAAATGGCCAAGAAATGATTTCATTTCCTAAAGAGATGACACATATAAATGAGTATTTGTGCTTCTGATTTGACTTTTGCCAATGAACGTTTATCTTCACTCTTGGTCACCTCATTCAATAGCTTTTCGGAGCTTGCACATGTGAAGTTTGTGTATCAGTATCAGTCTCGGACACCTCGTGTCATAATAGTGTCTACGTAGGCAAACTCTAATTTTAGGACATTCTGCCAATAGGTTTTAAATATCGGACGTCAAAACAGCATTTAACAGTGTTTAATTTGTCCCATAGTTTTGTGGACTGTAAGTAATTTAAAAATAACCTGTCCATGTTTTAAAGCCATTCTCAGGATGATATTTTGATCAATAATTATCATACGTAATGAGTCAGTGGTCGACAGTTTATTAATTCCACTAATATCTTTTTAAATGAAGCGTCCTCACAACAACATGTGAATATAAGAAATTAAATTAATCTTAAGACATGATAATAAATTATCTCTACACCAGATCGCAAATTAATTGGAATTGCGACTGTGCTAATGAACACTGATGCAGCGGTTTTACTTGTTAAATGTTAACCACAAGATCTGATAGTACAAACAGTTGGGGAGAACCATACTAGGAAGAATTAATTGTTCCATGGTCACTAGATTTGAGTGGTGTCCCAACTGACATCAGTCGGTGACAAATACAGCCTACAAATTAAACTACTCTCTACAAAATCCATTCGGTTTAACAGCATTTATTTCTAAAAGTAAAATTGCAGATTTATAGAAATATCAAGCTGCTTTAAAGTAATAAATATTTTGTACCATGAACTTTTATATCTTTCTAAAAACCAAATATGTTAAAGCTTCATCTACGAGTTGATTTACCCTGAAATTTTCCAGGTAACCAATATAACTAAAGTTGGTAAACGATGATCTCGCGTCCCAATTGACAATATAAGTTCTGTTATTTACTAACGTAGTCATCCACCCTTGTTTGTCAGTAAGAGCTTCAGATTTGAAGGGCACTTCTTCTGTCCCACCGTCAAGTAGTGTAACAGTCATATTGCTTCCCATAAGTACTGGTGGATTTGTTTGATCAACAGCATACCTTAATGCTGTAACATCAGGTAGGCAACGAACACCTGGAACTGCGCCTTGACCAAAAGCACTCCCAAGATCACCAGCTCCTGGAGCACTTGGACCACATTTGTCAGTAGGTAAATGATTTGCTTTGCCTACGACCAAAGATCCAGGAAGTTTTGGAACATTTGGAATACCATCTGTCAATGATCCATCTACATCACGAAGACTGAAATCACCATGCCATCGAAATTCAGCTCGATTATTGGTATCCTCCCATTTTATATCTCTACAGTAAGAAGAATGAAATTATAAGAAAGATATTGAATAATCAGTTTAATATCAATTTACGGGACATGTTTATATTGACCGTTATTGCGAAATTGGAATATATTCAAATTTACAAAGAGAGAGACGATATTTAGATCAAAAATAGGAATATTGAGATGGTATTTTTGCTAGAGTATGTTACATTTTGATGAAAAATGTTAAAATAAAAATTAAGACGTTGGAGATGTTATCACCAGCCGACGTTGTAAATGGTTACTTATATGGATAATTTAGTTGAAAATATCAAAGAAACAGCAGATATTAAATTACTAAAAATTATCGCTATCTCTGTGTATTATAAAATAGTTTTATCGGCTATAAGTGATCTCAATAAAATATTTTGGTTTCCAATTAAGATCATGAACTGATTTATGTTAGACCAGTATTGAAAACCTGAAAGCACTGGACAGTCGTTTTGTCTTCTCTTAAGACTCGTCAGCAGCGCGCACCCACGATGCCCGCTCACGGGATTCGAACTCATAGCTTTCGGCCTCGCGCACGAACGCTTAACCTCTAGACAACTGAGCCGACATCCAACGATGTTAATGTCTAACGTCAACCAATCCACGAAATGTGAGACCACCTTCCATTGTACCGAGGAAGATACCTGTCTCTTACTGACATAGATTAGCTCCACTGGACGCGGCTTCCCACTAGAACTGCAAGACTTCCCTGACGAGGCTAGTCACTAGTGAGCACACTGTTGGGTGCCGGGTGTGATCTAGAGGTTACGTGTTCGCGTGCGAGACCGAAGGCCCTGGGTCCGGATCTCGCGAGCAGGATCGTGGATGCGCACTGCTCAGGAGTCCCACAATAGAACGTAACAGACGTCCAGTGCTTCCAGGTTTTCAATGGTGGTCTAACATCAATCAGTTCATGATCTCAATCAAAAACTTAATAATCTCGACAACCCCATACTGAAAACACTTTGGATTGCGTTTACAATTATTTCATTTTAACTATAAAACATAATACTGATAATCACCGGAAAAGAGTTTATTTTCATCACCTAGAAATGTAAAATACAATATGACTGACACAGTAATCTGATCATATAATGGATAGATAACAGAATACCTACTTGTTTGCTGAATAGTTTATGGGATACATGTATAATCATTGAATAAAAATCTCAAAGTATTAGTGACTAGTTAATTATATGAAAGAGTAAAGCAAAAATGTAAATTAGATTTAGTAACACTTAGTCCGTTCACTAAATTTAGATAACATAATGAGAAGTCACAGTTTCTTATAAATTTGTAATATTTTGGCCTAATAAATTGCAAACTAACTTCACTTAAGGTATCTTTAGGAGAAATCAGCAGGTCGTACAATACTAAATGAGAATATCTTTTGCATTCATCACAAGGTTCTGACTCTTAAAGGTATATATTATGATCCGATCTCTGATTTTGATAATTCTAAGCTGGTTATCAGCTAAACTAGATGACCGGGGAAGATATGACGATATAGAAAGTTGTTTTCCAAAATGCTAAATAAGTATACACTAAAGTCTGTGTGTTGAAGATAACCTTGTGTAAATGAACACTTTACTGACTTATTACAACCATCCCGCACTTAGATATGACTTATGATGAAACTTGGGGATATCATTTGGCTTGTCTTCAGAAGCCTGAATTAATAAAGTTTTCTCAATCGTAGATTTTAAATTTATGAGTCTATTGTTTGTTGAGTTTTCCTGAAATCATAATCCAATCCAATTTAGACAATCATTGAAAACCTGGGAGCATTTGATGGCCATTTCGTTCAAGTGTAGGAATCAAATCCAAACGTTTTGGTGCCACGCGTGAACGCTTAACCTCTAAATCACTGAGCCAGCATCTAATAGTGTAGAAGTTAGACTGAACAGTCTATACAACCCTATATTGATAATTATCATCTGCTCACTGATGATTCGTTCTGAGAAGAAATTTCCGAAGTTCTAGCGAGAAGTCACAACCAGTGTATTTCAACTGTGTCGAGCATGAAAGAGTTCCCAACCAAAGACAACAGAAAATGGTTGAGTAGAACCATATGGTTAGACTTGTTCACCATTAGATACCAGTTCAGTGATCTAGAGCTCAAGCGTCAGTCAGTCAGTCAGCTACAACGTAGGACCAGGCACATATGTGCATCGGTCCAGGTCGCCATACCTCATTAGCACAGCAAGATGAACAGCGGATTCATAGGAGTGGTTAGGTCAAAGGTGGTAATATATAGGAGAAAGATTGCAATAAGGATATAGTATAGGAAGAAAGAATTAGTTCGTAGAAAGAAAGATATGAAGTGATTTTAATCTCTTAGTTTAAGGGAAGACAAGGAGTGTATACGCCGACGCCATTGTGATCGATTCTGAGCCATGTCACCAAGAGTCTCCAACCATTGGTTACGATAGTCACGCGGACCCCAACCAAGTAGTCTGCATCTACCAACATGGCTCAGACTAGAAGTTAATGTCTTCAAGCACTGATGCCACGTTTTGACTTGCCCCCCTAACTTTCTTACAACCATCCCCAACACCAGATAGTATTGTGCATCTTGGTAATCGGGTTCAGGCATACGCAACACGTGGTTCAACCATCTCAGTCGATGAATATTCACAATCTCATCAACTGATTTACCATCATTCCCTAATACCCTGCGTCTAACCTCACTAATACTTACCCTGTGATCCCAGCAGATGCCAGCAATATTTCTAAGGCATCTGTGGTCAAATACTAGTAGCTTACGGGTGTCTTCTACTCTTAAAGGCCATGTTTCGCTGCCGTAAATTAAAACAGAACGAACTGCCGCGCAGTATACTCGTCCTTTTATTGATAGACGGATATCTCGCCTTCGCCATAGGTGACGCAAGTTGGCAAAAGCCAAGCGAGCTTTTCGAATCCGTGCTGAGATTTCGTCAGACACCAACCCATTAGGGCTGATCAGACTTCCAAGATAAGTGAAGTTATCAACGCGTTCGACTACTTCACTCCCTATCCTTAGTTCGGGTGTTGACGCAGACCAGTCCTGAAGCAACAACTTGCATTTAGAGGGAGAGAAGCGCATCCCAAACATTCTGGCATTGTTGCTTAGTGCTACCAGAAGACTCTGCATTTTATCAGCGTTTTCACCAAACAGGACTATGTCATCTGCGTATGAATACAGTGGTCTTGAGTGCTGTTAGAGGTATGAGGGCGGTTATCACTTCCCGGTTGCCCACACCGTGGAAGGGTTGTTCTGGAGGTACCTGAAAAGGAAATTGTATTAGAGGTGGTCTTAGTGACCTGAGAGCGTGACCGCAGTGCCCAAGGGACAGCTGCTTGAGGTCGGTCACACACGACCTTGTTATGGGTAATTTTTGTGTTAGCTCCGTACTTGTTGAGACCTTACCGCCGGAGACGGATATCCGTGGGATAAGGCGAGGTGTGCATTTTTAGGGTCGGCCTTTTCTAACCCCACCCCTCCTTGTGGGAAGGCAGCATCGCTGTCATGCTGGTTGTCTGAAGGAAACACCTTACTGCTGTCACACCTCTGTACAGTCAGCAGTACGACTTCGCCTTCGGACCTTGAGTTTGTTGCTTTTAGTCTTACCGCTCTTCAACCGACCTGTCTGACATGGTAGGACCTTGAGGAACGGTTGTTCCAGCCAGTATAGCTCGGTTGCTTCATCACGATAGGCAAGCTCAAGCGTTCACTCGTGAAATCGAAAGTCCGAGTTGCGATTCACAATTGTAGGGTTGCGGTTTCACATTCCTGAGTATTTCTATACAAAGAAGAAACGACTCCAAGTTTCCAGTGGTTGTCTAACTGAAACCGGTTCATAGTTTCAGTAAAACTATACTACTCTGTTTAATGATAAGTGTATTCAATTCAATCATCTTTAATTCAATAAGTCACGATAGTTTTCATTATATTTACATAAAAATTCAGTAAAGTAAACTAAGTAATACCAAAACTCACTTAAATAAATATTCATATCCACCACAAAGTTTTCTACATTGACATGTAATTACAGTTCCATGAATTGCTGTGCAATTTTGACTGTTGAAATTTTTCATTACCATATTTTCAATAGTTAAACCAGGTGCCCATGGCAAAATAACCGCCCTAGTATGACAGTCAGAAGTTCCATTATTAAGATCAGGTTCATAACCAACAATTGTACTGTTCTGTTAGATTGAATATTCAAAAATATATAGTAAGTAAGAATATAATTTTTAAATGAAAGTTTAGGAGCTATTGAAAGGTTATTTTATTACATATATTTAGTTAATTAGACTTACATCTACAAAACATAACTAATTCTCGACTAGTAGAGACCTATATGTATTTTTTTATTACAGGAAGGTAATTTCATAAAAAGTAAATAACTAATACATGGTTTCATCTTTCTTACTTAAAAAATGTTCATTGAATAAGTTGTAGACCAAAAACGTTGATAGAAAAGCATATTCTTATATTAATGACATCCGGCTTAATTTATCATACTTACCCTATACAAAGGACCCGTTGTCGGATCATATAAATTTCCATTCATAAGACGTTTTCCTTCTATTGCTGTCTCGTCATTATTCACTAATAACATATCTTCAAATTGTACACCACCACAATTAACACACTCTGGTCCTTTATTATTATTCCATGCAGTAAGTTTGCGGAATACAGCCTTATCCCATTTCGTTGTTCCACAACTGAAATAATAAATATTTAATTTAAAAAATGTCATTGCTTTATTCGTGAATAATTTAACAAAGAAGCTTAACCAATAAGCATAGATGGATAGTGACTAGCAGTGGAATATAGGATTGCGTTTCGTTCTATTTGGGACGCGTTAGCTGAATGTGCCTGCATCCCACAGTTGATGTTCACTTCACAACTCTAAACCAGTACCGTTCGCTTCAAAGGCCATCACGTTATCCACTAAGCTACTAAGTACAGATAGCCACTGGCTTTTACAATAGGCTGGCGTCGAATTCATTTTTGTACTGTTTGTCTGCATCTTTTCACTGACGAGTCCCAAAATAGGACGAAACGTGCGCCCTCGATTCCACTGATAGCCACCATCTAACTTTGCTTATAATGCTTGTAACCTAAGGCAGTATATAGGCAATCCACACAGCATGCACATATGGCAATCGCAGTCCTAAACATCAATGTGAAGATTCAAGCAACCAATATAAAAGTCTAAACTAATTTTTATTAGAACTCATAAACCACTGTGTCAATGACCTTGTGATTTTTCATTTTAAAATATCGAAGTACAGAGAGTTAATTCATCTACTTAGATTGAAGTGTTAATCACTCAATTGCATACTGGTTCATTTACTCGACTTTCAGTAGAATTTTCATTTTTTTGACGTTTAGTGGTTGTATCAGTCTTATTTAGTCATCGCTGGTAGAGTGGGGGTACATAATGATATGGCAAAGGACAGGTAGTATTTAGATGTATAGTACAGAAGAACGACGCATATATTGCAATTCGGCAGGAGATTGTTAAGATTGGAAGTCCTCATAACCAAAACGATTAGAAATTATTGCATCAAGTTATTGTGAATTCTTTTATGATAAATCCCAAAATACATTATTGAATTTCGTGGGTAAACAGTTACTTTAATACATCCTCACATATTTTTGTTTATATGTAATATGTATACGGCTAGCAACAAACACCAGGACGCTTGTTTCATCCCGTTCTTGACTTATCAGCTAGACATACATACATTAGCGTTGATTTTCACATTCGAACTCGAACTCAATGCTTTTCGTACCAAATACCGACGTGCTATCTACTGAACTACTGAGTCAGTGTATCTATTAATTTGTTCAACGGGTACGAAAACACAAACAATGGTTCGTGATTTCTAGTTGTTGTTATTCAAGATAGCAGCTGATCACTTACCATTGTTATACATGCATCATGAACAGATCGAAGCATTTAATACTAGTATTCAGGTAAATCCAAATGACCAGTCCCAAATAGGACGAAACGAACTTTCTGAACAACACTACTAACCACATAACATATATATTTAATTTAGTGGCTAAGGTTTATGACTAGACAATTCATTCAGGATGCACATAAAGCGACAGAGACTGATCAGTTGCAATCTTAAAATCTTAACAGTGGAAAATTTCAGACCCTTGCTAGAAATACTATGTGATAATAAAGACTTCTGAACTGATAGAACGTAAAGCATCATAACTAATCTCCTAACTCATTCGTGATTTTCTGTAATTATTAAAAAATTGTTTTAAATAAATATCAAGATTTCGAATTGACTTAACACATAGTTTAATATGATTCATACTTTGGTTTTCAAGTATATTCAGTGAGACTAAAATTTATGGACAACGTTTGAGTGACGTTAAAGTGACCTTTAGAGTGTCCACCTAATAACTAGGACCAAATGAGGATTATAAACCAGTGTGAGGAATTAGAATTATGATTTACAGTTGATGGTTAGGGTTAGGAATTAGATTTAGGGTTTTCATCACGAACTGATATCAGCTATATTGCCAAAACTCTATCCAAATGTATGAGTGAATTTTGAGCCCACATCCGAGACCTGTTATCTTATAACTGTTTGGTCTGTCCATAAATTATAGTCTCGCCGTCATTTTGAATATTACAAAATAAAACTATAAAGAATTTTTACGATTTATTGTATCACTTACGTTCCAGTTTTTGTTGGGAAAAAACTCTCATGAATCCATAATGCAAACCATCCATTACTATGCGCTGTATTATTTTCAAATATTCCTAAAGGAATTTTACGTGGACAAATGCTTGTGGTGGTTGATGGTCCACTTGGATTTTCTAACATACGATACCTGACAGATATTTGGCAACAAAAATTAGATATATCACATTATTGACTATGATTTAATAATATAATTACTTTTCGGCAGCTCCACCTGCAGCCCTCCTAGGGCTACTACCGGTCCCGTGCCCTGACATAGGAGAAAGGTTGGGCATGGGGTTAGTGACCCCATCCCGTAGAAAATTAACTCGTTAACCAGAAAAAATAACTTAAGCCATTTAAGTAGGTAAGTTAATAGATACATGGGAATACTCTTGTTGAGATTAAGAATAATTCAGATGACATTAATTTTTTCTTTGTAATTCGACCCACTAAAGATACTTATTAATTGAAGAATGAATTTTAAACAATAATATTTGTGAATTGAAACTTGTATTTTAAAAGATTTGCCTAATTTTGACACAGTACTTAATTTATTTCCAGTAATTGTTAATACTCTCATATAACAGTTGTGCATTGAGTACACGTAGTGATTTACTCATTCAGTAATACTTTGAAAGGTTTAAATTCTATCCGACTATGTAATTAACAGTATGATTAACCTATTGAAGCTATATGTTATTTTGAGTCTTGTATCCTTGTTGCATTTGTTATTTTTTATAAGCGTAGAATATGTGCAGAGAAATTCCGTATTTTGTTTTCAAGATCTAAAATATGACCCAATAGTTAGGAATGAATCATCTGACTGTTCATTTGATCGGTGATAATCAGTCATTCGCTAAATAATAGTATACTAAGACATGGAGAAATATTTTTTATTACTTTCATTGTAGTCAATGTGACTACAGTTGATGATAGGACCTTCATTTCTATAATAAAACATTCAAGTTAATATATATTACATTTCTCAGAAGAAATGATGTAGTGCATCTTTAGAAGCCTACTTGAATAGGACAATATATTAATATTTTAAGTTAGAAATTTGGTTTCAAAGGAAAGCTTTACTACGGAAAAATTAGAACAAAAATAAGCTAAAAAGGAAGTGTCTGCCTTCCAATATCTAGTTATGAATATTGTGTTGAGCATTCTGTAAGTTTTATAGGTAATACATCTGGGAAATATTCATTTATCGACTGGTGTTCACTAGTGGTTGTTATCAGACAGAGTATTGATTGGATAACATTTAAACTCATTTGTCTACGAATGAGTCTGTTTCTGATCTAAATGATATGATATTCACTTAAGAATACAAGGATTGACTAATACTCGTTACGTATAATCAATTTACGTTTAGTCTGTAAGCAGGTAGACTGAAAGAAGAATACAGAAAGTATCTTCATGCTTTATTGATCATATCACGCATAATGTTTATCTCCAAGGCTCGAAAACCTACCTAAGCTGGATTATTTACCACCTATTTGATATGTAGACATAAGATATAATAGTAAAAATAATCAGTAAACAGCATATTCCTCTTCAACTAAGATTTTTAAAGTTCATCGTATTTAAGAAGCTCAACCCCAACTTCTATGCCTCAAGATATTACTGATTCACCTTCAAATGAAGTACATTTACTAAGTTCCAAATGATTATAACTATTATTCTGCATAAATAAATTTTGTTAAACATTAATAAAAGCTTTCGATCCATTTACCCATAAATGTTTGCTTAAAATTTCATTTTTATCTAAACTTATGAAAAGAAATTCGTTTGATTTCAAATATCATCTGTCATTAAGTTCTCATAGTAAAAATACAATCATTGTTTTAATCAACAATGACTTTTAACTTTGTTACATTACTAAGCTAAGTTTTTTATTTGAATTTACTTGAACGTATAGTGGAAATCATTGTTCTACAAAAGAAATACTGAACATTATTTGTAACAAACTTACAATGATTAGTTACTATAATTATTTCAATTAACACAAAATGTCCATTGAAATCATAAACTAATCAGTTGTCTAAAGGTTAAGGGTTCGCGTGCGAGATCAAAGGCCATGGGTTCGAATCCAGGGTGAGGGTATCATGGGTGCACACTGCTGGGGAATCCCACAATAGGACGAAACGGTCGTCCAGTCCTTCCAGGTTCCCAATGGCAGTCTAACATCAATCGGTTCATGATCTCAATCAAAAACTTAATAATCTCCACAACCCTATACTGATAATTACCATGTGCTCACTAGTGACTAGCTTCGTGAGGGAATTCTCGGAGTTCTAATGAGAAGCCGTGACCAATGGAGCTAATCTGTGTTGGATAAAGACAGGTATCTATCTAGGTATAATCTGAGTTGGATAATCATTCAAAACTTGAAAACATTTCATAATTGTCTCGTCCTAGTTCAGGACTCTTCAGTCAATAATCTACACAAATAACATATTAATAAAAACGATCATTTAAAATTACCAAAATCCAAAATGTGTTCCACTTGCAGCAACATTATGTTGTACTGTATTATTTGGTTGTGTAATCCAAAATGCCGCTGGTACTACATCATCATTTAATAGACTACTGGTACGTTTAACATGTACAAATAGATTATATTGAATTAAATTTCCATGTTCAATACCATCTTCTAAGAAAAATGCACCACCCATTACATCATAAACTACATTATTTTCTATCAATACTTCATGTGTATTATGAATATTAATAGCACGATTAAAAGTTTTATGTATAGAACAACCACGTACATAAGACCTGGAAATGAAACAATTAATTTGTATAATTAATTATATACTGAAATAAAGTGTACACATTAAATTAAACAGAAAAAATAGTTGGGGAGTATTTTGACGATATTAACGGTTTTTATCTTGTCTTTAATGATTAATAGAACACTTGGATGAATTAGATGGTACAAAGAAACATTTGTGATCATGAGGTTCATTTCAAAATGTCATCAGAGTAAACGTTCATGAACAGAAATCCTAGTGACTATACTAGATTTGGAATTTAAACTATAAATCATGCGCAAAATATCCACTCAAGATGGTTATGACAACAATATATATATATATTGATTTAGTTAATGATAAAACAAAATATATGGAATGTTCAATGAATAAGCAAAGGTTATTCTCTGCTACCCACTGTTATAATTTCACCGATATTCTTTCGTTTGTGTCATGAAATCTTAAGATTTTTAGTTCGACAGCAGACGAACTTTAAATTTGAAACTAAATTACAATGCAATGAATATATACGAAGTCATCCTATTAAAAGTAATTAAAACTATAGAAAGATACTTAATAGTCCATTTTTAATAGTTGTATGAATATTCCCATTGATGTTTAGAACTGCAGTTGATCAGTCACTTTTAGTACATATATATCCTGTACAAAATCCCTCCATTTTGCTATTAAGTCCTAAGGCTTGTTTAAGCATAGATAGATGAGCATTTCTTTCTATTTAGGGCTCATCGGTTGTATATACCCGCATTCCATTTTTGATATTCGTTTCATCATTCAACTCGGTGTATGAGAAACTTGTTAACAATCCTTGATCATATCACCATCATTTTTTGTTTGGTCTTTTTGTGTATTAGATATATTACTTATTTGTATTCAGTAATCTATTTTGTTGTTAATCATTTTTGAAAACATACCTCTTAAGGTCTCTTTACATGAATTTACGGCATGTAATCATCTAATAATTGCCATTGCGTTCGCTTAGCAATCTTAATAGTTCTATTCTATCTCATGTATATTCACTGAACATTTGAGATCAAAGGTACTGGATTCGAATCCTGAAGTGAAAATCAACATTGGATTCGGGTACATTCAACTGATGCAACACCAATTCTGAATCCCAATGCTAGTCACTATTCAACTCTCTTTAAAAGTGTATTACTTTTGCCATACACTTTTCTATTAAAAGTAAATATTGAAGATAAATCCTTAGCTGTAATTCGGAAGTTTGTGTGTAGCTCAATAGTTTACGCTGAATCCTCAAATAAATTTAATAATATTATAATTTGAAAGTACTATTCTATGTAGTAAGTAGCATTAACTTTATAAGTAGTAATGTTTTATCCAATCGAATTAACCTATTTTTTATAAATAATAAAACGTATAATGAATTTACCCATTCATTAAGCCATTTAAATGAAAATGTATAGGATATCGACCAAGACGATAGGCTTGACCCATGAAATAAAATTCAGTATGTGATATATAAACTTTAACTGCACCACTATCTACGAATGGACCACCAATATGTACATGTCCTCCATATTCATTTGCACCCAATTGTTCATCTGGACTACCTATTATACATGTATGAGTTGCAAATTGATCTAAAATATAAAAGAAGAAATATTTAGAATGATTTTTAGAAAGAATATCAACATGTTAACCGTTTAACAGATTCAAGTCACTAGCTTACTGAAATAGTAGACTTAAAGAGATAATGAATCAAATTTAATGAGTAAGTAACTTCATAATTTGGTCCTACAATCTGTTTTCAAAGATAGAAACCTTTAATTAGAGATGATTTTTAAAAGTATTAAACTCCATTTATTTGTTACTATTTGAACTGGAGTGTCATTAGAAGTCAAAAATCAATGAACATTTTTATTAGGATGATTTTGGGCATTTTATAATGAACATGAAACGTTTAGATCACTTAGTCAAAATCATAACACAAGTCATGTATTAATTAATATGATAGGACTCCACCAATTATCATCGACTAATGCTAAGCCGGACAATTGTGATTGTACAACTAGTCTCTATGTTAAAACGACATTTAATTTCAAATGATCTCATCAATTGAAATGAAATACATCATTGATTAGTTCATTTTCAGTTTTACAATATTAAACAGACTCTTTCTAACATTAGTATTTGATATAGCTTATTTACGGGAAATCTAGCCAACAGACAAATACACTGCATAGGGTATAAATAAATTTGCCTTAAATTCTCATTAGTTTAACAGACATGATCCCATGGTAATCGCTTGTCTATAGAAGTGTATTCGGTCAATATTAAGATGAGTTAATCTTAAATGATGTAAAACAGACTTTTGTACAAATTTATCGAAATAATCTTGTATAAACTACTAATGTGTTGTTGTGTAGAATCTATGAAGCATGTTTTATCCTACTTGGGATTCGTCAGCTAGATATTAATGTTCCATTCGGGACTCGAACGCATGACATAAAAATTCAGAATTAAGTAATTATATCGAAACAATCCATAGAAATTAAGCTATTCTAAGGGAATTTCAGAATATGTAAATTCGTATAGATTATACAGTAAACCAAAACTTTTAACATTACAAAATAAAAACAGCCACATCATATACATATTTTATAAGAATCAATCAATCCAACAACAAAAAATCATACCTGTACTAAAATCACTTGGACATTTTGGTACACTTGATGAGACAACTGGTTCTTCTGTTCCACGTATTAAAATATTTCTACTTAATAAACCTACTTCAGCAGCGAAATTTCCAATAACACCATTTGAATAAATTTTTTTCACTGATAACTTTTTATAAGCTAATGGTGAAACCAACGTTATTGTAAGATTATCTTCTGACATTTCTAAACAAAAAGGTATATAAAAAGAAGTGAATGATGGATCTTTCTTCCACTGAACTAATGAGTTTCGTAAAGGTTCTTCGAGAAAAAGTTAAAAGCTTGGTTGGGCTTACAAATATAACTGCTACATATTTTTACTAATTGTCAGTAATAGTAAATTCTCTTGTTCTGTTTGTCGCCCAATTGTCAGCTCATAGAAATTCCCTTTACACAAAACCTCCGTTCAAAATACATTCAAAAGAGTTATCATCAAACGAATGTTTAATCAATACTCAACCAAAATATGTGAACTAAATCAAACTATGTAGCCATTTAGGGACTACCTCTGGGTAACCAGAGAATAACTACCCAAGTCTCATATTCTCCATTTTTCATCTTATTCTATCAATAATAGGAATATTTTTTGAGTTGAACGCTTAACCTTTAAACTGTTGAGCTGGTATGCGATGTCATGAATTGGTCAAAGTTAAACATACATAGCAATGGATTCCTGCTCAGTGGTCTGAAATTGTTTTTTAATGTAAAGTAAAAATCATCAGATATCGTAGGATAACGTTGTTATATCTCATTATTTTGTCTGTACAGAATTCTTCACATTCACAATCGTTTTACAGGTAAATTTTAGTTTTACATACATAGGTTGAGAAAAAACATTTGGGAATAAATATTTATGAATACTTCCTATCGGCAGATGACCTTGGTTTATATAGGAGAAGGCATAAGTGACGAGATTCAGAATTTAACCAATATAGGATTTTCTTTGAATGATCTTTATTATTGCATACAATAGAAATGTCATCAAGAATTGATAAGACGCTTTGCATCAGAATATTAATAAATGAACGCAAAGTGTGTGTGTGTGGGGGGGGGGGAAGGGGTAATATCATTACAATAATCGATAATTCGGTGCCAACCATGTATTTTTATACTTACAATGTTTCCATACAAACTTCTTAGTCGACTTTTCTAACATCGTGGAATTGGAACTGTTTCACCTGTTTCTGTCGTTAACTACACTAAGCATTTTTTTAGTATAATCGATAAAATATGAACACAATGACTCATATCTGAATTTCGTATTTGCTAATACCTCAGAATTTCACAGATCCCTTGATGGAAATCACGAAAAGCCGACAATAGCACATTAACCGCTTGAAACTTTTCGAATTTCGATAAGCTTTTATTGACTTATAATCGGATCATAATCAAAGTTGATGTTAAGCATTCAACTGATTTCCAATACTTGATTCTTAATCTGATCACTATTCTACAGTAGCAAGTATTAAAATTAAATACAATGAATACAGTCGTCTAAAACTAGAGTACTTCAATATTGAATTTCTTTTCTTTGTATGGATACTTCCTAGCTGAGAAATTTCAAAGTATCTTTTAGGTTCTAATCAATAATCTGATCTAGTGAGCAGTTATCATTATATCCATCTACCAATCAACATTTTATTCACTAGTTCAGAGAATTACAAATCTAGTGTTTTCACAAAATTCCATATTAAGATTACACTATGATGATGATGATGATTAATGTAAAAACAAACCTGAAATACAATTAAGTTATGAGTTAATTACACTACTGCTTGTGGTATGAGATTTAAGTAATAAAGAAGTTTTATAAAAACTTTTCGGGTTAATTATGATAATAATTAAAAAAAAACATTCTTCATTAAATCAAATAATGAAGAATTCAATGAAAAAGTTACTAAATAATAATTCATCAAGTTACCTTGAATGATATGTTCTTCAGATTCATTATGTGATGATTTTCCTCCAGTAGACGTAATAATAATATGTTCTCCAGGTTGCCAGTCAACTGGATGTTCTAGTATTAGTTTATTTGTACCAGGTTCAGCTGTTTCTGCTAATCGTGTCCATGTAATAATTCTTGGTTTACCTAAAATATGAAAAGAGAAACATTGATATATATAATTTTATTTTAATTAAATAGAAATTGTTTTAAAATAAAACCGTACATGTACTTCTCTGAATAAATTATATAGAATATATATGAAGCTGAATTATATTATCGGTTAATAATCTCTATGATACTTAATCTTTCAGCCTAGTTAATCATCATATATGTTTATCATTGTAATCGTATTACATCAACATGCATATTATAGTGACTATTTCAAGACAATCTAAACAGGATGAACATATGACAATAAATACTGATTAAAATTTTATTCGGGATATTAACAACTACCTGATTGAAAACCATACTAATAACAATGTAAATATTGTATATGGATTTAACTTATAAGTAGTTACCTGGACTCAATAGCTTGGTGGATAATTCAATGACATTTGAAGTGAAAAGTACTGGTTTTTGGTTGTCATTTGAACATTAACACTAGGATGCAGACACAGTTAGTTGATGATTCCCAAGTAGGACGAAACGCAAGTCTTGAATTTGATCGCAAGCCATAATTTATCTATTCTGAACGTAAATTCATCTAAGGGGCTCACTATATGTCACTAATTATATGTTCTTAGTGTACGCTCATTCTAACGTTCTTAGTTGAAATTATTTTCAGGCAAGGAAAGTGATATGACGGGATTAAACGAGCAAAATTTGATCCGTGTGAAGATCGATAACTATGACATCGCAACTAAATATTATGGTAATTTATTGATCAATCCATATTACCTACAATTCAGTTCAATTAATACAAATCTGACTATACAGTCATTACATAAAATGTAGTGTATTTATACATCATAATGATTTATTTTAGGATTCAAATAAATCTTTATCACTATTCTTTGTTCTTCACTAGACGTTGTTGGGGTGAAGGTTTCAATATCAACCATAAGCCAGTTAAGTGTTCAGCAGAAACAGTCAGTGATAAATATAACAGTTCTTTGAAAAATGGGATACCATTATATGTACATGAGTACATGTTCCCTTCAATCTTTAACCTAACTAGAACAAAGTAATCACTTCCCACTGATATTATGGAATCTTATTCATGTTATAGTTAACGAGTGCGTTAAACATACAGAACTAGTTTATAGAATCCCAATGTTCTGGGTTTTAACTTGAATAAGACATCCTTTTCATAAAGGAAGTCAGGAATAATATAAACTGGAAAAACGATATAGTATATTGAATGGTTTATAGATATTGTTGAAATTAATAGTTCCTATAATGAACTGATCATAGCTAAGCAACCACTGAAAGCCAAGAAGCACTGGAGAGCTATTTCGTTCTAATAAGTAACCTCTTATCAAGGAGAATCTATGACCTCATCGATGATCAAACTCAGAGCCTGCAGATCTTTCAGCAGCCACTGAGCTGGTATCCGATAATTCACTTCAACTAATTCATAATATCGCGCTACCAATGTATTGGTGATATATGTCTCATTTCCGACGTGGTTGGACTACGCTCGTCATGACTTCTCACTAGAGCCCAGTAGTGTACCTCTAGAAAGTATTCATTAGCGAGTACACCATTACTATTTTTTTATACCAGTCGTAGAGATTACTGAATCTTATTATTTACATCATGAACTGATCCTGATTAAACTAAGTTAAGACCGAAAAATGTGATGCATTTACGTTATACGTTTTAAAAATCTGGTCACATATATACTTGTCAAGATATTTTAATAGTTGAAATCATGAGTCAATCGAAGCTAGACCAGCATGGAAAACCTGGAAGCACTAAACGGCTGTTTCGTCTCAGTATGGGACTCCTCGGCAGTGCGCATCTACGGTCCCATCCCCCGCGAGATTCGAATTGTAAATGAAAATTGATTAATTTAGAATAAATTAAGGTAATTACATTAGAGTTTAAATGAATATAGAGTAATAAGTGTAAATAAAGGAGAGAGAAGAATTAACACCCTATGGAAAGATTGGGAAATGATCATATTAACCTAGGCAATAAAATGACTTAAGGGTTACCAAGTCAAACTCAAGATTACGATAAACTATTTCCGTACACATAAAGCAAGTTTGAATTTACTAGTACTCAAGGCTTCTATAAACCTGAGGATTTGTCCTTGATAATTTCTATAAAATGTTTTAAAAGCTCTAATGATGTCGATTCTATGCCCTGTTTCAATTATGTGCCTTGGTAGGGTAAATAGCTTGACAAGTATGTATGTGACCAGATTGTTCCAACTGTAGGACGTCTTCTCATTGTTCTATCGAAATTTATAAAAGGGATTAATTACTTTAAATTATTTAAGATCAGTCTATGGTGTGAACTATGCTTCAAAAAATATGATACAGATTAGTAAACAGAAGAACAATGAATAGATATTCATTTTATAGAAAATTTCATTAGTATCTCGAGTTGGTTAGTGTTAGTTAAGTATTCTGTAGATGTAATACTGACTTTGTAATAAACGTAAACACAGGTGGGGGACATCCAATTGCACCTTAATACTAAATTACAGAATATCTTGGTGAAATATAAGAGCTATACATTAAATACTCCATTTCCAAATTTCCATCATTTGCCCTTCATATTCTGTGTGATTTTTCCGATTCACAATTCCTCCCTAATTCCATTTCTGTTTTCGTCAAGTTGACATTCATAGCATTCTGCTGCCAGGGTTTCTAATCCCCATTGATGTTATATATTACTTATATCTGTTGATGTAAGTAGCATACACCACAACTTACTAGGATTTCATCTACAGTTCTATTAAAATGCACATTAAATAATATCCCTTGTTTTAAAAATGTGCAATATTTTTAACTTGGTTATTTACTATGTTTAGAAATTAACATTCCTAATTGTAGGACTTTATTAAAATAAACTATTTTCAGATAACAAAACATTACTGTAATAGCTAATAAAGAGAAACGTTAATGTGACTAACCATGTATACTGATTGTACCATTACGTAGCGCTAAAACTTTAGCACCGTACAAAGGTAGTTCTTTTTCTCGTACATGTCCATGTAATGTTATCGTAGCCTGTTTAGTGTAGGGTTCTTCTGGTGATCCAATCTAATAATAATAATAGTAATAATAATATCATCTAATATACATTATATTTTCAGTTATCTAAATATGACTTGTATCTTAAAACCATCAAAACGAATCAAAATATTCCCAACAAATTATATTTCTAACTATGGCAATTGAAATTCAAAACGGGTATTCGCATCTATCAGTGAGTTATAATTTCAAGCAGAAATCAATCAGCTTAACTCGTAATGTAGTTAACGAGAACACAAGTGGGTTCAATCGAGTGTATTTGAATACAAAATTACAGAATCTCTTAGTAAAATCTGAGAACCATACATTAGATACTTCATTTATAAAATGTCAATCAGTTGTCTCAAATTTGACTGTTTCGTTTTGCAAATATCAGTCAATCGTCTCAGACTTCATTGTTCTTTCGTTTCCACAGCAATCATTCTTTGTTCTCATTCTCTTTTCTTTGATCTTCTTAACCTTCTGCCACCAGACATCTCACTTTCGATTGATGATATATACTACTTATATCTGTTGACATCAGCAGCACACACCACAGTAACACTTAAGTATTAGTTAGAATTTGAATAAATATCAGTCAGTTTGTTTGTCTACTAAATTTTTAAATGTGTTCTACTGAATAGTGAAAACATGTATTGTTTCCATGGGAGTTTCTTGGTAAATTAAAGAAAGACTCTTTATTTTAAAGTTAAATACTCTTGTAATTTTTTATGGTTTTATATTTTAGGATAATTTGTTACTAATAAACCAAACTTTTCAATGGTTTTCTGATGTCCATGTACCTGTCTATGGACCTGATTTATTTCAAACTCTAAAAGAGATATATGGACATAAATGATTACTATCCTCCGAAAGTAAAGAAGTTGACTGTTTAGAATAAACAATTTGATGCCTATATTATTTGAAATGGAATATAATAAAATGCACTAAAGTACATTATTGATTATGTTTTCTCTACGACATTGTATTTCCTCTCTCTCTCTCTCTCTCTCTCTCTCTATCTATCTATCTATCTTCAGTACCACTGTTAATGCATTTTAGGAAATACATAAATAATCCTACAAATATTTCATTGTTATACACTAAAAGAACTTACTAGAAATTTTCCATTGTTTAATATTAATATATATTTTGAATTTAATTGTATATTTTTTGTTGGATCAAAGAACAATGTACCACCATTAATAAGTAGCATTGATAAAACTGGTGTATCTACATCTAACATGATATTTTGATTTGCATTAATAACAACAAAATCATTTTCAACAGGAATTGGTTGATTATTCCAAGTGAATTGACTTGACCAACGATCCACATAGTAAAATGTGAAATCCTTTTATTAGATAATATTAAAGAAAGAGGCAGTAGAAAAAAGGAAAAATATATATATACTTCAGTATTTTATAATAAATTAGTGATTAAATGTTACTTATTAAACTAATATATTTATCATTATGCGTTTGTGAATATTATTGAATTTTATTGAGGTCACGAACTGATCTTATTTTGGCAACCGTTAAAAACCTGGAAGTACTGGATAGCCGTTTCATGTGTGGACGCGTAATTTTTAGATTATTGAGCCTGCATTCAATGGTATACTAATTTAACTTTGATCAATCCATAATTTTGTATGACTGTCTTATTTTGTCTTCAATCGGTGTCTTTCTCACATCCGACACGATTGAACTACACTAGTCACGACTTCACACTAAGACTGAAATTTCCTCTAAAACTCAATCACAACCAAGCACATAGTGCTTCTCAGTATGGATTTGTAGAAATAATTGAATTTGACTAAAGTCAAAGGTCCTGAGTTCTAGTGGGAGCATACTTCTGAGGGGTCGCATACAAGGACGAAACGGCCATCTAATGTTTCTAGGTTTTCAGTGGTGGTCCAACACCGATCAATTCATGATTTCAATTAAAACTGAACGATCTCCACAGCCCTATACTGACGAACGAATTTATTTGATTAGCTTTCTTAGATCCATGTTTGATACCCTTAAGAAATATTCATCTATGCCACTTTCATATGAGACAAGATAAGACTAATGTACAGAGCCAAAATTCAGTGGCTGGTACTAAAGCCCTAATCAGATTGTAAAACTGTATGATTCTCGTTTAATTTCGTTGGTAATCTACTGAATGATTGTCATTTATTTCCAAAACTATGAGACACAACTTTAAGACTGAGAAACCACTAGAAACGAAATTATGATGAAATAAGCAATGGTGTAGTACTCCATCATTCTCAAAGTTTACGAAATCTTCAAGAGACCAACAAAATCCTTTAAAATATAACTAAATTATACGACAGGAAATAATCATTCATATGACCAGTTTTTTGTTCAACGATTTGGCCTTACTTTCTAATGAAGGACTATATATGAAGTTCTTGGTCAACGTTCAAGAAGACTTTTTCAGTAAAATCATGAATGTTTCCATTATAATTATTTCGATGTGTAATCAAGATTAGAAATGGTCGAAATTGTGTGCATAAAAAATTGATGATGATATTTCACATCATAACTTCAATTTAACTAGACAGATATTAGTGACCGGAAAACAATGAACACCTGCCTCGTCATCATATGTAATTGAGAACATCTATGCCTCATGACTACATAATAACATTTAAGTTATTGAGTAGGCACCCTGTGGGTCATATTTTTAAATTCAGTCAACTTATGGTACCTCTTGATCGTCATTCATTACCGTTGTCCATTACATGGTTGAACTTATAACGTTCATAGTGCTCAAATTGAACAATCTCCATCCATCTCACCATCAAACAATTAAACAAACGGTCAGCTAGTATACTGTTATGAAATTTTAAAACCACTGAGTTCTTATTCTATTTCGATTACTTGTAGACATGTTGGATATCGAAAATTGAGCTGAATCTTCATTGAAATTTTAGTACAATACTACTGTCAGTATAAATCATAACACAACAATTCATCATGTTTTTTTCTTAAGATTTTTTAACATCAATAACAAACAATATACTTACTCCAGATGCTTTGCCATTATTTTCAACGGTCACTTCAACGGGTACTTTTGCGCTTCCGTTATGTTCACCAGTTTGACATACAATAACAGTATTATTCAGTGATATTAATTGACAGTCAATACCGCCAACATTAACCGTAGTCGATTCACTAAAACAAAATAAAAAATAAAAAGGATAAACAACAATGAAACAATCGTAGTTTAAATTTATTATCTTCACCTGCTAAATGAATCAGTGAACAATGTTTCATAATTTTTCCTACTTTATACTTGTCAAACGTGTCACCCAATAATATTAATAATTTTAAAAATGGTCTAGAGGTGCATGTTACTTATGTTCGCAGATATAAGTAGTATGTATTACCAGTTCGAAGTGGAATGTTTGTGAGCAGAAGGTTGAGAAGACTGAAACGAGGGAAGAGAGAATTATTATAAAGCAATCAAGGTAACAAAAAGAATGAATGAACAATGAAGCTTCTAATAGATAACTCAAAGATGTGCGAATTTGATGTGTGATTTTCTTAGTTTACATTTTAACCGATCCCTATGTTTTTTAACATTTATGGTCATTCCCTCAAAATTTATCGTTACAACTGATAAGAAGAAACCATAGTCCTTTTTATGTAAGCTATAGAAGATTCTTCTCTTTTACTCAAAAATAAAGATCATAATAATGACAAGTATTGTTGTTTCCACAGGTGAATAGACTATGAATTAAAAGTATGGCGTAATCTAAATATCCGTGAATGACAATTTTGAAGGATAAGTTCAACTATCTACTGATTGAGATGAATTAATAGTACACTCATTAAATATTAATTCAATACATATACTTTATATTTATCTTCTCGCTATTCACATAATTCGTCACTTTGATGAAAAATAAAACACAATAAAATGGAAAGACATTTTTTGAATAGAGTTCAGTAATACCTTAACTGATAAACGAATGTAGTGACTCTAATTGATTGATTGTGGCCTCAACCAGTAACAAATCCTGCTTCCTTCTATATGAGCAAAGAAGTCGGACATTCACTTGCAATCTAGACTATGGTGAACAAGAATACAGGTGTGGATGACTAGACTTATTTGAATAAAAAGATTACAGAATCTCCTGACAAAATCTGAGAATCGTACAAGCAATACTTCATTTGCAAAATATCCATAGATTGTCTCAAACCTTCTTGTTCCTTCGTCTCCATGCCAATCACTCTCTGTTCGCATTCTCTTCTCTTCTATTTTCTCAACCCTCTGCCTCCAGGCATTCCAATTTCGATTGGTGATACATGCTACTTATATTTGTCAACATCAATAGCACACACCCCAGTATTTTAAGTCAGTATACAATATGACTACCTATATAAATATATATATGGTCAAATGTTTTCTCTAGCTAGAAAATATATATGTATATATACTCAATTGATTGGTCACTTATGAATACATAAAATTGTTCAGTGATCTCATCTGCCTAGTGCTGAAAACATGCTGCCTTGAGAGCAATAACTTCATCGATTAAAGCGCGATTGACATGTGAAATTGATCGTCTGTACCATGGTTATCGATAGTTAACTAATCGATATCAAATATTAATAAGTTCAATTTATACAAATCTAACTGCAAATCTATCATGTAGAAAACAATGTATTCATACATCATATCGATTTAATTCCGGGGATCAAATAAGTCCATTATCACTAGTCTTCGTTCTTTTTTCACTATGCGTCGTGGGAAACGGTATTTCCAGTACAAAACACAAGTCAATTAACTAATTCTATGGACATAATAGGTTTTGTACAGAATATTATATTTTATGGTAAAAAATTGTTAATATTTATCATCGTTACAATACGTTGAATAAAAAAACCCCGGTTTTTCAAATCAATTAACTTACTCAAACAAAGTACCAATTATGGTAAGGATTGTACCTCCACCAGTGCCTCCAATTAATGGATCTACACTGATTATTCTTGGTAAAAGATCCACATCATATTTGAATGCTCCAATTAATTTTTTTTGTAATACATTATCAATAGTAGGAACTGTCACTGTAACATCACACATCTTTATGTTCAGTGTAGCTAAGGCATACAAAAAAAGTATAGTTAGTAGTTTTTCTTAGTAAAAACAAATCTAAAAGAATGCTTGATTGTTCTCAGAAGGTATACTGTTAGATATACGAACTACTAGGGATGACATTCATATAAATGATTAAATAACTAAATAAAACCTTTTTTAAAAAGTTATTTTTTCAAATTAAAAAAAAACTGTACTACTTAATTCACTTACATAATTTAGGCGTAATACACTTAAGTGCAAGTGAACTCCCACCAACTATTGGACAGTCTTGATCACATATTGTAACAGTACTTCGTTCAACATCCATTCCTATCCCTTGAATCTCCACTAATTGACCCCCTTCTGTTCCGCCTAAGTAAAAAAAATGAATAATGCTTTCATTATGAATAAGTGATATACTTTAAATAAATAAATTTTTACTTTTAATTTTTAAAATACATATATCTGATTTGTAGGTTGCATTTATGACAAATTGATTTCAGTTAGAGAACACCATTGAAAACCAAGAAGCATTGAACAGCTGTTTTATCCTATTATATGCTTATTTAGTGACCTCACCAGGGATCAAACTTATGTTCCATAGGTCTCCAGCGACAAACGCTTAATCGTTAGAACTACTGAATTCTATCCCAAGCAGAAATGTGGATGCACATAGTGGAGGAATTTTATACTCGGGAAGAAAGATATCCGGTGAACTCCGAATAATGATGATAAGTCAAATGAGATCAATCTGTGATGAATATAATCAATTAATCAAATTAATCTACGAATAACCCCTTCAAATAATATATCACTGAATTGTCACAAACATTCATACTTTTATTCATCAATGATGAAGTATTTTACAAACCGTTTTACACTTGACAAATTTTCGTCATTAGTACATGTATAAATCCATTATAGTTCAAATAAATCAAATGATTATATATTTCAAAAAAACCTATTACACAATCATAGCTTATGATATTTAAGTTCATGATGCATTTAATGCATTGTTATGATTATTAGTACGGTGTAAATACAGAAGAAAAAAGAGACATATATATGGAAATTTAATGGCTGAATTCATGAGTCATTTGAAGGTAGATAACCATGGAAAACCTGGAAGCATCTGACGGCCGTTTCGTCCTACTGTGCGACTCGTCAACATTGCGCATCCACGATACCGCCTCGAGAGATTCGAACCTAGGACTTATCGGCCTCGCGCTCAAATGCTTAACCTCTAGATCACTGGATCAGCATCCAACGGTGTTAATGTTTAACTTTAACGAATCCACGAAAATGTGCCACCGTCAACCATTGCCTTCAGTGAATTACTATCTCACAAAAGACACGGTTGTACTCCACCGGTCACGTCGTCTCACTAGAACTCCATGAAATACCTCTTGAAGCCTGTCACTAATGAGCATATGATGATTATGATCAGAGAAGGGTTTTGTGGATATTATAGTAATTTAATAGTTGAATTCATGAGTCAATTGAAGCTAGCTATGAAATAAAGTAATAAAAATAGTTGATAGTTTAAAGTTTAATTTAATTTTAATTTTCTACATGTGAATGATTCTCTAGAAACTAGTGTGATATCTTATTATGCTTTTTTTAATAGAAAAGTATCTATTTTTCTTGGTAGTTAACTGCATTGTTCACTCTCTATGATACAGCTAACATTTATAATTAGTTTGAAGAGTCCAAACAAATTACAGATTAGCACAATAGTTGAATTAGAAGCTTTTCAGTATTTTAAAGGTAGATTAGTCTAGTTAAATTGCGGTATGCTACTTAAGCAGATAGATCTAAGTAGTATTGATGTGAGCAGAGAAACAAAGACGATATGACAAACAACTGAAGCTATTTTTAGGGACGTTATTTCACATAATTCAAAGCTTGTGAAACACCAACATTTATTTGTGTCCCTAGTTTATTCTAAAAACCATAAGCTTTCGTTTGATATACGATTCTTAAGTTATTGTAATTTAAACGCAGGCTTTGCTGCTCTATTTTTCTACCCTAATACCCAGTTTTGAACATAATTGTATTTTCCTAATTGTTGGTGAGTTGTGGTGCGTCTCAACCGAATTGAAGTGTGATCAAAGTTGGAATCAGAGTAGGGAATAAACTGATTTATGTTCCAGTTAACTCGTCTTCTCTCTTTCATGTGCTTGTCAATCGGTCAAATAGTAGGATAGTTTCTGTCCCTTTACACAAGACAATTAGTCTTACTTAGAACTCATGCGTTTCTAGCCTCAAGATTAAACTATTTGGCCTACCGTGTTAATGCCTTAATCCAGATTGAGACAAGTTATCTTCAGTATGTTAGTGGGTAGACAGACCAAGGACCTAAGAAGTATACATAAATAATTGAAAAGATTCCTAATGACGGAAAAAAAACATGAAGAGGAGATGAAACAACAGAAACAGTTCAAGCAGCAACAGGAATGGAGAAATGATGAGTTTGATTGTGACATTTTGAGGAACACGTGCAGATAGTGTATTCCTATTTTATAAATGCGATGTATAGTTTTGCTTGCTTCACGTTACAAAATAAATGAATTCCCCAATTCATTATAATTATTCCAATGTTAAATTGTATTTACTCATTCTTAATTCATTTCCACACAAAAAATCACTTATGAATATATCTACAACAACTGTCAAGCAACATCAAAGTCAGAATCTTCAATTCGGACGTTTAGATAGTTCTACTGTATAGAACTGAAACTTGGAGAACTACCACAACCATCATCAAAAACGTACAAGTATTTATAAACAATTGTCTACTCAAAACACTCAATGTCCATTGACCGGATATCATCAGAAACAGCTTATTGTGAGAGAGAACAAACCATCTTCCATCTGAATAGGTAATGAGGAAACGATATTGGAGGTCGATAGGACATATATTTCGGAAATCATCAAAAATGCATCACGAGGCAAGCGCCAAATTGGAATGCTGAATGTAAACGGAAAATAGGAAGACGATAGAACAGTTGACTGTTCCGGGCATTGGATGCAGACATCTTAACAATGACTATCGACTGGAGAGAACTGGCAAAGACTGTCCATGACAGATTTGGATGGAGTGTGGTGTTGAGTAGCTTATGCTCCTCCATAAGATGTAACAGGCGTAAGTAAGTATATACATTTTAACAAGAAATCTTATCGGAAAATCGAATTAAATTCATAACAGTTTTTTTTTACAAAACTAACCTGAATTAGGACTAATTGAATGCAAACTAAAATTAATATTAATATTATTTTCTGATAAAGCATAACCATAAACTGGTGTATCAACAATAAGTTGATATATTCCACTTGGTAAATTCACTATATAACATTGAATATAATCATTTTGTATAGTTACTATAGTACATAATGTTTGATTTAATTTAACTTCAGTCATTTTCATTTGTGTATTATTATCTCCATTAAGCATACTACCATTTATGTTTAATTGAGTAATTAATGTACCATTATTATTATTTATTGAATTCATTGTAATATTTATTACTTTTGGTGTTTTCATATTAACATATGTATATTCATTTGTTATGAATAAACCATTAGATAAATTAATGGATACTTTATAATTATTTAATTGTATATAATTTAATTGTTCCGGTGTACGACAATAAATTTCATTCACTGTTCTATTCTTCTCATTTATAATTTGACATTCTTTTAAATTAATTAAAATTTTAATTGTTGGATCATTTAAACCATTTCCATTTAATTTTATAGTTGTACCACCGGCAAAACTTCCTTCTAATGGATAAATTGTATAAAATGTAATTTGACTTTTTATTGTTAAATTAGTTTCATATTTTGAATAACCGCGTATTTCATGAAATAAATTCAATGTTACATAACCAGATGATAATGAATTCATTAATTGACATGATAATTTATTAATAGAAATTGATTCTGTATCGATTATACAAGGTGTATTATCAAGAGTAATTTGTAGATTTGTATAATTTTCATTGGATAATAATAAATTACTTCCATAAATGGTAAGAGTTTGATTAATATTGATTATTTCACGTGGTTCAATATTTTTTATAATTGGTGTTGCTGTTATATCATATGAATATAAACAATCACTATGAGTAGTATGTTGAGTATCTATCCAATCATTTTGATTTCTTGATTTTATTTGAACTTGTATAGTAACATTTAAATTTGATTCAATTGTTGTATTATCCGGTATTGGTACTAAACATTTGATATAACCTGATGTAACTTCTATAATTGAACATTCTTTTTCATTATTAAATGTAATTTTATTGAAATTTTTATAAATAGGATCAAATCCAGAACCATATACAATTAATTGTCCACCACCATAAATACTACCTTTACCATATGTTTTATCACAATTAATTCCAGGCCAAAAAAATGCATATTGTTCAAATTCATTTGTAGAAACATGTAAAAGTGCAAATCCAAGATGATTATGTGAAATACATGGTTTTAAGGGTTGTCCAGTTAATAGACCAGCTGAAATAACTTGTTCTTCACTTAAATCACATTCAATAGATTCTGAATCATTAATATCTTGAACAGGTTGTGTACAGTCAGCCCCGCCAACATTGATCATTAACTGATCCACACAATTAGCTAATACAGGAGAAGAAACTGTAATCTTACTTCCAGCATAAATGTTAAATGGACTGAATGAAGATACTATTGGTGTTGCACAACCTCGATAAACAAATCCATGCTTTGTAAGTAACTCGGATGGTTTTGTTAATATCTGACAAGTGAAACCACCTTCACAGGTTGTCAATGAATCCCAGTATAGAGTATCTGTACAAAAGAATGTACTGTACAGAATATAATACATCATGATATGTAAAATAATCTCCAAAAAAGATGCCTATATTTTAAAATTCAATGCATTTAATGTGTCCTAGTAGTAATCTTGAGTGATTAATTTTACCACATTGAACGATAACTGGTGAGACTATGATTTATGGATGGATTTTGGGTGACGCTTAAATGATCTGGAGAAAATTCCCTGATCTATTAGAATCTAAAGAGGGTTATACAGTAGTGTGAGAAATCAGAATCAGGATTTAAAGTTAGAAGTTGAGGTTAGAAATCATCGTTAGTGTTTTCATAACGAACTGACATCAGCAAAAAGATAAAAATGTTATTTAGACATATGAATAAATGAATTCTGTACTCAAAACCAAGTCTCGCTATTTTAAACCTGATTGGTCGGTCCATAAATTTATAATCTTACCTAATACAGTCTATTAAAGAGGTCAAGGGAGCGACATACATACTATATAGAACAGTAACCAAGGCACAGAAAAAAAATTCAAGAAAAACTCTATATTGTTTATGAAAAAAAATGAAAGACTGTGACTAGTGAACAAACAATACCATCGGGTTCCGATATACCGAGACTATACGGACTTTCAGAAGTTCATGAGAAGAATGCCAACTTATGTTCTATACTTGATATGAATAACTCTATATATCATTTGATTGCTAAATGATTAGCTGAAATTTTAAAACCCGTCCGAAATGACACCAATAGATACAACTCTATTTATTTGATTTCCTCGACTCAATTAAAAATATCAATGTAAATGGTAGGAAGATGGTCTCATCACCCAATTCGATTCACACTCGAAGCAGAAGCGAACAAGGAATTTGATTTTCTTGATGTTCAGTTGTAAAGGTCAGATGATTTTTTACAGTGATCTGTGTATAAAAACCGACCTGAAATGGTCTGTATCCGAAGTTCCATAACTGGATCACATTGAGTAGAAAGAGAAACTTAATTCACCCTTTATCCTCAAGGAATGGGAGAATATGCTCTAATGATACAATAGATGTTGAACTACTTCAACTTCGACAGATACTCATAAAAAAATGGTTATCTACTTAAATTTGTTGACAGAAACTTAGTGCCAAGACATCATCGAGAAAAAGCACCGATAGTTCAAAAAAACTTTTTATGGATATCAAATTTAAAAGAGATGTAGTGGCATTGAACAATAACCGCACAATCCACAAAGCTGAACACGAGACTACTCAGAAAATAGATATTCAATATTTAACGCGAATAAATACCTAACGATGGAGAAGGCGCGAAGAATGAATTGAATGGACTTGAGTTGATCGAGTGGCATGGCTCGGCCATGCAGGCGTGGTCTCTGCTGAATGTTACCTTATATCTTCTATTCATATTAAATATATTGTTCTTTCTCTAGCCTAACCTTGTTCTACAGCATGTATTGGTAATTGATATAATACAGTGAGTTGGCGTAGTCGATGGTGTGACTTCCACGTAAGATCTTATAGATTAGGCAGTTATATCATGACAAATCTACAAATTTAGGATTAGATCTATTATTAGAGCAGTACTAATATTATAGTAGACCATAGTTCTACAGAGACACGGCTGCCAAATTCTTGAATAAACCGATTTCAAAATCCCTGAGTAAAACCTGTTCATTTAAGCTCTGTATTGTCTTCTCAAAACGGCCTACTATTCATGGATGTGTTAAGGATAAACTTCCACTTCCGGCCACATCGATGTGCATCTATAAATTTATTTACTCCTGTGGGGCAGGTTACATTGGTCGCGCAAAGCGATCACTTTCCAGACACGTCTCAGAATATTCCCGGCATGGCTTTTAAAAGGAGAATGCAAAACTATCATTAGTTCAATACAGAAGCATCTAAACAACTCTGGACACGTCGCTCCAATGGAGTCTTACTTAAAAATAAACTACACAATCGATGGAACTGGACTGAAGAGAGGCTGAATCAAAAATGTATGCACTGATGATGGGTTGGTGATCCACCAATTCAAGCCTGAACTCTGGGTATAAAAATGACACGGTCAACTTTTCACACTTCCTTAGCCTTAATCCCCTTCTACAGTGCATTTTGGTCTTGTTTTGTTTCATCACTGTTTTGCAAATTTACACCGTAATCAGTTAGTACCATTATTTAACTATTTTTCATGATTATTCAACTGCAACTTCATTTGTAGATCTTCTAGGGTTATGGCCGGTCCTATACCCGGGTAGAGTACGCATGGGCACGTGGTCAGTAACCCTAGTCCGTAGACGACCTTGCTAAAAACACACGCTAACCAGAAAAAACAGTTTAAACCACTTAAAAGCTGCCCTTTCAGTTCAATGATCTCCATTAAAAAGAAGTGTGTCTCCTAAAAGTGAAAACCGAGATTTTTAGGAAATGAGGAGATACAACTTGGAAGTGATCGTAATAAGTGAAACCCATTGGACCCAAGCTAGATAGGAAATATTAGATTCAGGAAAGATGCTGTAGTGTTCTTTTCATGGGAAAGAAAATGCTTCGCGCACACAGGGAGTTTCTATGGTGCCGTCCAAAGAAGCACGAAAAGCACTTATAGGATGAAAATCTCATGGATCCAGGATCACCCAAGTATTATTCAAAACAAAGGAAGAGAAGATCACAATGAGTGTTATCCAGTGCTGTGCGCCCAACAATTATAGTAATGAAGACGATAAAGATAAGTTTTATGAGAAGCAGTAATCGACCGTAGAGAAGTGTCCGGGAAAGGACCAGATCATCCTGATGGAAGAGCTAAACGCTAAAGTCGGAATGGACAACATCGGATATGGGACGACATGAACTGAGAGAAGGGAACGAGAACGGAGATAGATTTGCAAATTTATGTGCATTCAACGAAATGTTAGTAGGTGGCACTATATTCTCTTACAAACGCTGAAACATTCATTCCAATGAAGATTAGTGTCAGACAAGACTGCTTATTCTCACCCCTTCTCTTTCATCTGGTAGTTGACTGGATTATGAAGACCTCTACATATCATGAGGAAGCACGGAATACAATGGACAACGTGAATGCAGCTAAACGATTTGGACTTCTATCATATCATACCAACAAATGCGAGTGAAAACAGATAGTGTATCGTTAGCCTCTACAGCAGTAGGCCTCAACATACAAAGGAAAAAAAGCAACATCCTGAAATACAACACAACGAACACCATTACAATCACACTTGGTGGAGAAACTCTCGAAGAGGTGGAGTCTTACACATACCAGAGCAGCATCATCGATGAACATGGAGGATCTGATGCAGACAGGAAGGGAAGAATTGACAAAGCAAGGACAAGGTTCATACAAGTGAAGGACATATGGAACCCAACATATGGAATTATCAACCGAAATCAGAGTCATTATCTTCAATTCGAACGTCGAGATAGTTCTACTGTATAGAACTGAAACTTTGAGAACTACCACAACCATCATCAAAAACGTACAAGTATTTATAAACAATTGTCTACTCAAAACACTCAATGTCCATTGACCGGATATCATCAGAAACAGCCTCAGTCAGTCAGTAACAACGTAGAACTTCGTGTGTATGTACATCAGTTCGAGTTGCCGCACCACATTAGCACAGAGATGAATTTGTCGATTCAAATCCCGTAGTGGTAGTGGCGGTAAGAGTATAAGCAGTAACCGGCAATATCAGGGTTTGAAGGTGTTATTTAAAGAGTATAATACAGTGAAATAAATTTGGAAACAGAAAAAAAGAAACAAGGAGGATTCAGGAGATTAGAATTTTGAAGAACACAAAGAGTGGATGCACCTGCGCCATTGCAAACGATTTTGAACCATGTCATTCAGGGTCCCCAACCAGGCAGTCTACACCTACCAACATGGCTCAGTCCACTTGTTAGTGACTTCATGGGCTTGTGCCATGTTTTGATATGGCCGCCCATAGCTTTCTTCCAACTTACTCCTATACCATTGAGCATCGCAAGTCGAGGCAGTCGGTGGTTGGGCATGCGTAACATGTGTCCCAGCCACCTCAACTGACGATGTTTCACTACTTCTTCAATTGATTCGCCATCCTGACCTAGTACCCGTTTCCTAACAACTGCGTTACTTACTCGATGGTCCCAGGATATACGAGCAATGTTTCGAAGACCACAAGGGCTGATGAGACTTCCAAGATAAGTGAAGCGGTCGACACGCTCAACTATTTCACTCCCTATCATTAGTTCGGGTTTTAATGCAACCCAATCCTGAAGCAACATTTTGCATTTCGAAAAGGGAGAATCGCATCCCGAACATGCTTGCATTGTTGCTTATAGTGGTCAGAAGACTCTGCACCAGTGTGTGTTTGAGTAGAGAACCTTTACAAAGTTAATATACTTCTTAGGTACTCCTTTCAGTGAAAAGCACTGCCATAGAGCCTCACGATCAACATAGTCGAATGCTACCTTAAGGTCGAGAAATACTATTGTGAGAGAGAACAAACCATCTTCCATCTGAATAGGTAATTAGGAAAAGACATTGGAAGTGGATAGGATATATATTTCGGAAATAATCAAAACTGCATCACGAGGTAAGCGCCAAATTGGAATGCTGAGTGTAAACGGAAAATAGGAAGACGATAGAACAGTTAACTGTCCCGGGAATTGAAAGCAGACATCTTAACAATGACTATCGACTGGAGAGAACTGGCAAGGATTGTCCATGATAGAGTTGGATGGAGTATGGTGTTGTGTGGCTTATGCTCCTCCACGAGGTGTAACAGATGTAGGTAAATAAGTAAGTATGATTCAACTAAAATTTCGAAATTTACGTTTCTCGTTTCTTTTCATATCCATCAAGTGGACAATTATCTTTTATAATTCTAACCCGTAAATTATTTCCACCCTCCTATTCTACTTTGATGCCTTATTGTCACGCAAGCTCTATTTGTTATTTGAAATCTCGGACCACTTTATGATGCGATTTCATTTATCTTTCTATAGACCTATATTTACCAAACAAATGTACAGCCTAAGCAAATAATCTCATCGAAAAGTAAATTTTCTCTTTATTTTGATTCAGCCGATTATTTTAATTATCTGAATATACAATGTATAATCATACATAGTCAAAGACGGTCAAAATGATGGTAGATGTTTAATACTATTATTAATGAGTTAGTTTATCGATCACAGCTTACAATACAATCATCTCAATGTTACAAAACAGTTATGAAACAATAATTTCATACCTGGAATATTTGTATGAATAGCTGTTGAATAATTTGTTTCCACGATCACTTCAGTCATACAATCATCAAATGCTTTCACTTCTATAATACCCGTCATTAAAAATTCATCAGATGATGTATAATAATAAGTTCCAGGTTGTGTAAAATTAAATCTGTATACACCTAAATGTGGAATAATACAGAAAGTGTTGTATTTAAATGAAGGAAAAAAAGAGAAAATTGTCAAAGATGATCAACATTACTCAATTGTTATTAGTTAAAATCTTATGACGAAGTAATTATATTAAGGCAATCTGCACAGGATGTATAGAAAAGAATTATCAAATATCTGTCCTATTTATCAACAATTTAAACACTTACTAGTAATGTCGTGAACAACAAATGCATTAAATTAGCAGGTGATTATCTAGACACAGTAAGTCAGTGACTTTTTTTAAGTGAAATGCATTGAGTTCAATTTTTTCAATGTAAACATCAATACTGGAACACAGACAAATCCAGTTGACCTGTTCTAAACAGAACAAGAACCTCATCCTGAATTCCATAATCCATCTATTCTAAAATTTATATTATTATTAAATTCACTTGGTATTGTTTACTTGAATCTTCCCATTGAGGTTTAAGACTGAAATTGATCAGTCTCTTATTAGCATATGTGCATACTGTGCATATTACCTCGATATTGCATTATAAGCATTATAAGCAAAGATGGATAGTGGCTAACAGTGGAATCCAGGACGTGTGTTTCGTCCTATTCGGGACTAGTCAGCTGGATGTACTTACATCTCAGAGTTGATGTTCACTCTTATTATTATTATTATTACGAGTTTTAAACAGAATGTATAGAGAATTGTTATATTATGAGTGTTTCTATATTAACTCAACCATATGCACTAACTTATCCACAAAATGTGCAAGTATAATGAGTATTCAGAAGAAAATATCTGGAAAGTTGACAAGAAATACAATTTGACATAAAAAAAATGGTTCTCAAAGCACTGTTATGAAAAAGATTACCATATTTAATTTGACCATTAATTCCACAACGTAAGACTAGGCACGTATGCGCATCGGTCCAAGTTGCCATACCTCATTAGCATAACAAGATGAACACCGGATTCATAGAAGTAGTTAATTCTTTGGTGGTAATATATAAAAGAAAGATTGCATATAAGGACACAGTACAGGAATAGACTGAGTATACGCTAACTGAGAGTGATTTTATCTTAATTGAAAAGATATTAGTGTTTTAAATGTTTATGATTGTCTACAATAATACTAAGTTGATCAGATACATAAAATTTTTAATTTTTGCTATTCGAATGCGTGTCATTGTTTTATGTCGATCGTTGAGCAATTTTCTAGATATTCAATATGGTTGTCAAATAATTTTTAAAGCATTATTGTATTAGTTTTTAATTTAATGAGTAAATATTATATAACCAACTAATTTCTAAGAATAATTGTTTCATTTTTCCGAACTATCATTGTGATGAAGCCTATTCTACGTTAGTGGATAAATGGCCAAACAAAAAACTGCCACATATTTTAATACTTGAGTGTACTCTTTAAATAGATTAGTATTGATGATTGATTGATTATCGGGTAGTGACCAATGCTGTGCATGTCAAGTCCTCCTTGGTACTAATCAAATTCAAGATGTATTATGGACATTAGACTAAGTGACTTAGCATTGCGTACACTATGTTGAGATATAATATGGTGGTTGGAGGTAGTTGGTGGGAAACCTTGGATCTAGGTTTTGTGTGTTTGATACTTATCAGAAATATATGTCTGTATTCTTGAGGGAACTGATGCTCTATGGCAGATTCGGTCTCTTGACTCACAGCTTCGCCGTCAGAGAAGTTACCTCTGGACGCGATATCGCGTTACTTAGATTGGTTGGCAAATTATAACTTCGTCGATAAAAAACAGTCATCACTAAGAAAGATTTGATATAGATTGCAGTGGTCAGCGTTCAGTAATCATCAACTGCATAAATTAGTCAGTCCAATAGAAGGTTAGTTACAGCCTGGATAGGCCAGTGATAACGCCTGAGTATGCAAAGTTGGGTGATACGAGAATGAATCTGTCAAGAAGTATCAGTTTCCGCAAAATTACATGTATATCTTGCTGATGAGTGCCAAACATCACAAAATCTGGGTTTAGAGTTTCTTGTCAACTACCTCCAACCCATTAGATCGGTATTGGCTTGTTTGATTAATCACTAAATTTGATTCGAACATTGATTAAAACTACAAGAATTTGAAATGACATGACGTTAGTAAGAAAATCTCATTCTCATAGCAAGTGAATAACAATAGAAGCTTCTGAAATTTGTTGTCATCTCTATTGTTATAGGTCAGAGTGAAGAATATAATAGTCAAAAACCATTTTTGATAGAATTAAGTAACCAACTATTTCAGTTTCTTAGAAATAAAAAAATTTGTGGAAAATTAACTTTTAAGATTTTAAGATAGTGGGGTTAGGTGTGTACCTCATGTAGTGAATATTAGCTATATCACGTTCTATTAGACAGATTTTTCAGAGATGAAACTCTCAATTTTTATTTAAACATCCTGAGCTTCAGAAAGAAGTGCGTTAAAATTTATAGAAAAACAATGAAACAACGAAGACATCTCTTTCTGGATAATTCATTGTAAATATTGTACACCTGAGAATGTGTAATTTCTCGCACATTTATGAAAACAATTTCATAGTAAGTGATTAATAGATTGTCCTGTTGACTGGAAGTTTGTTTGATTAATATGAAAATTTGTACCATCACAATCTGATCATTTAGTTTGATGATCAGTTTTTCTAACGGCGTCTGTGATCCAATTCACATTTATCATCATTCGCATTAGTTGGTAATATAACAGCCGAATCAGCTGTTAACATCCACCCGCCATTTGTTACTCCAATTCCATTGGTTAAATTCTATAATAATAACTCATTCTCATTGGGTAGTCCCAGTAGGAGGTTTATAAACACTCATCTCAGTTCACTCATCTATTTACAATAATTAATTCTCGAACTAACCAACTTGGATTAATAATTAATTAAAACAAGTAATGGCATTTAGATTCTATGTTAACTGTTTGATAATGTCAATGTGATTTAACAACAATGTATGAGGTTCAAAACATGTTGATGCTGAACTCTAGTTCAAACACATTCAACAGTTCATTGTGTGTAGAGCGAGAATTAAAGTCATTTTATGTGGAATGTCAACAAAGTTCGAGATGTAAAACCGAAATGGAGCAGAATAACTTCTCAGTGGTGAACACACCCTACATGCGAACCAATCCGATGAGATGGGAGACGTTCACTCTTTATAGTTACTAGTTTGCATGAAAACAAATTAACCTAATCAACAACAAGTGAAAACTACCACTTTTTAACCGAGTTATAAAGCACATGTCCGTTACCTACAGCATCCAACTTAGGAATAGTTAGATGATTCGCGACAGATCGAAGGTCCTGTGTTTAGGTCTCGTGAGTGGGATGCGCACTGTTCAGGACTCACATGGCCTAACATTGGTGAGTTCATGATTTCTCTGAAACGGTAAAGAGAATGCCCACGTTCCAACAAAGAAAACGTTCCTTCGGACAATGGTATTTTCTGAAACTGTACAGTCGTAATGACACATCATTTTACCACGTGTACTCTATAATCAAACATAACATTCACCTGTACGGTGCTATGAACTTCATCACACATTTAATATACAGTTCTCATAAGTGATAATTATGCAGCAGAATAGAGGGTACATAAATCAATTGATTTAATTCACTTAATTATATTACCATTTTGTGTTGGTTCACCACTATGAAATCCAGAGCCGGATGGAGTTAAATCTTCAAGGCCAGATATTTCAGCTATCATTAAAGGATTTACACGAGTACTTGTATTCCAAATCCACACCACACTATCACCTTGAATTATTGTTAGTGCCTTCGGTTGCCATTCATAGCCTAAACCACGTACTACAAATTTTTAAAACGAAAATGGACAGTTTTAAGTGATCACATTGTTTAATTTGTCTTTACTAGTAAATAATTTCAAGTTATTTAAAATACATTTATCATATGGAATATGTATGTTTATCCTAAGGCCGTTGACGATAAATCCACATAACCCGCTTGTTAATCTATCGACAGTCCGCGTACATTTTTACATAAACTAAGCCTCCAATTAGATGATCAGGAAGCTAGACAAACAGTTGTAATTTTCTCTATCCTTGAACCCATAATTCACGTAATTACCTGAATAAAACACGAGAATGGAAAGTAGAAGTTTATTCGTCACATGAATAAAAAGTATCCAACATGATTATAATTTATGGATTAGCCAATCAGATTTAAGACAACGGGTCTTGGAGTTGAGCGTAAGATTCATTCATCCATATGTCTAAATAATATTTTTGTCTTTTAGCGGATGTCGGTTCGTGATGAAAACACTAACCATGACTTCTAACCATAACAGGTTAATAAATTTTCCAAAGGTTATCTTGGTGCCATTCAAGGTTTGCCCTTGCATTATAGTCTCAACTCACTTATTCAAATACTAAATCTGAATCATAGAAGTCATAAAGTTGCATTGATTTTCATTATACTGATCAGTTGGTTTCAAGTACTTTTAACAAGAATTTTGTTACATACAAACAACACGAATAACTTCCGTTACTAATGTCAATATATGTTATTTCAGAATTCCATGGACACCTTAAATTTGAGAAAAAAATTATGCGTATAAATAACCATTCAAAGTATATCATGCATGTCCACATGGACGAACTTATATGCGCTTCTACTTGTTACATATAGACAGGAAAATCAGTAAAAGACATATGTAAATGGTTTATTCAAAATACGTTTTATGGTATTACCCGTTTTTCAAAAGCCACATGAATACTGTTAAATATCACTAGCTTTTCTCCATTCTTCATCAACAATAGTACCGTTGTATAAACTCTACCTTTGCAACAGACACATACTAAAATCGTGACATGTAAATAGAGATATGTTTATTCTGTTTAGACATCAATTATCTACAAGAGGAAAGTGATATGACGGGGAAATTACAACTTATTCACACTATCTTCCCACGATGATACTAGACACAAGTATGAAGTAATCCGACTGGTAAGAATAGTATAATTTAACATTACATAATAGAGAGAATAATCACTAAATAAATCATGATACAAGATTTTCTAAATTTAGATACTCTAAGTTCAATCAACGACTAAGAGACAGATTAGAGACTGGAACAATAGTTTATCCATATAAATTTCGTACAATCAACACAGCGTAAAATCATAGTAAAGTCGAAGTGAATCATAAAATAATCTCTTATACTCACTATAGCCAATGGTCAGACATATATTGCTTTCTTCGATATATATCATAAACAGATTAGATTTAAACAATTATTCAGTTGAAATTTATCATCTAACAGTATTTTACCTGAATCAATTCCATTGTCGAGAATATAATGGGTTTTAACCATGGATGTGGTTTTGCATTGTATTGTTGTCGAATTTTTAGACAGTATTTCACATTCAGCACGAGGTCGATCATTACATAGTTGATTTTCGACAGTAATTGGTTTCATAAAAACTTTCACATCGTCATTGAAACCTTCACCGACTATGTTTACAATTTGTCCACCAACAAAACTACCAATTTGTGGCCTTATATCAGCTATTTCAAATTTATAAGTCACTGAAAAACTGAAATATACGAACAAAATGTAAATATTTAAACAGTGGTAGCTAAGTGAACAGTCAACATAGTGAAATAAATATTACTTTTTTAATTGATATCATGAATCGATCAATGTTAGATCACCACTGAAAACCTGGAAGCGCTGGATGGCTGACTCATCGTGGTATGGGACTCATCAGCAGTGCGTATCCACGATCTCGCACACAGCACTCAAACCTAGGAACTTTGGTTTCCCGGGCGAACTTAACTTGTAGACCACTGAGCCGTTCTCCAACGGTGTTAATGTCTAACTCCAACCAATCCACGAAATTGCGCGACTGTCCACCATTGTCTTCAGTGAGCAACTGCCTCACAACATACACAGTTGAACCCTACTGGCCACGGCTTCTCACAAGAACTCCAGGAAATTCATCTTGAAGCTAGCCATTGGTGAGCACAAGTTGGACATCAACACTGGTGGATGCCGGCTCACTGGTCTACAGGTTAAAAGTTCACGCTCGGGACTAAAGGTCCTGGGTTCGAGAACCGCGTGCAGGACCGTGGATGCGCACTACTGAGGAGTCCCATACTAGAACAAAACAACAAGGTCAATTGCAAAATTTACACAGTTGTAAAAATAGGTAGTCAAAATGTTTAAGTAGATCACTATACTTACTCAGATTTTATTAAAACATTAGATGAACCATATAATGAGATTGTTTTTTCACCATTTACTTTTTGTGCAGGTGCCAGTATGATTATTTGTGTTTCATTAACAAATGTAAAGTTTTCCACTTTTACTCCACCAACAAAAATCAACATTGTAGGAGTGAACCGAAGACCATTTATAATAATTTGTGTAGTACCTATTAAATGAAATAATGTACAAAGTAAATTTTTAATGGATTGTGTACATTGTGAAATAGTAATAACATATGAATAGACATTACTGAATTGACAGATATTACTAATAAACCACTAGAATTGATGCTGTGATCTTTATTTTTTTTAAAAACTTGGCATTACAATCATTTTCTACAGCTTTCACTGGTAAACATGTAGTTTTTAATTTAGTTGTATCACTACAAGTTCCCTTTTCGTGTTGTCTCCATTAGAATCTGAGTAATAATATGCAGATAGTGGAAGAACAGAGAGTAGAGTATATGTATGGATTTTTAAAAATCTTTTAAAGAATCTATAGAATTTTGAGTTGTGTTTACAAATCAGAATTGGGGTTTTCATCATGAACCGACAACAGTTCTAATACAAAGCCTTTCCATCCTTCTGTTTACAAAATAAAAGAACTTATGATTGGGACTTAAAGTAAGAGTAGGAAGGGAAGAACATTATTTTGTTGATTAGATACTCTTTACTATGTATTGAATCACATTGAGCGTTTTAATGCCAGATCAGTCTTAATGAAAGGTACGTCCTGTCATTTAGCTCAAGCACCTTAAACTAACACTTTGATTGCATAATAGATATTTTCATTGATTCCGAGCATTCTAAGAATCAATGATTGTCCATTTTCATCTAGCTAATAATAACGTACAATTTATTTACCTATACAACACTTGAAATTTCGCGTTATCTTTTTCCAGTTATCTTAGTTCTGATTGGTTGGCTCATGGCCATCGGGATACTATACTTTTACTAGAATAGTTTGTTTTTTCAACAGCTAAGCATAAATTGCGCAAGTGTGTAATAAAATAGGAGTAGCTAAAATTTTTCAAAAATATTTTCTTCAGCTAGTTAGTTAATCACAAATTAAGTGAAGTTCACTTTGATCGAGCTTGTGTAAAGAGCTTATGTGAATTTATGGAACATGATGAATTTATACAAGTTGATTTCAGCTGTTATTCTTGTTCTATTAAAATAAAATAAAAATATTTTGGGTATGATTCTTACCCGTAAATGTATGAATTTTGATCAGTCATTTTTGGCATATTGCCTCCATGTTGTAATAAATTTACAAGTATTTATGTATAGATAGTGTAAGATTTAAATAATTACAAATAGATAATCAAATTAATTTCTGTTGCCAGAGCTAGTGGTTGTTTATACTCAGTTGCTCAGTATATAACGCTTTAAGTATTGAAAAAAAAGTACCGGATTTCAATTATAAAGTAAACATCAACATTGGTACATCCTGCTGATGAAACCCAGATAGGATTAAACGCCCGCTGTGAACGTAATTGATGGTCACTATCCATCTATACTCAAATACACTTTAAATAATGTTCCATATATCAATCTGATTGAAGTTTACCATTGCGAACATTTATCTTCATAGCTTGTTTATACCATCCAGTTGATTATAACTTAATTGTATGTTATTACGATACAAATAAATCGTTTGAGAATATTTTAATTGAAGTTTAATTAAATTATTTTACATTTTTATGACCAGGAAAAATATGAGGTAACTGAAATTATAATTATACTTTATAATAATACCTATGAAAATACCAGAAGAGATGAAAAGCACTTACGATCCCCTCCCATAATTTATGGGCTTGCGTAATAAGCATTATTGCTAAGGGATATATTGTTATACCTAGAACTTATGCTCTTTTTATACCAACGTTAGAACCTTCCAAATCTCAAGTTAGAAGACAGAAGACGAGTGTAAGGAATGTTATTCCTAAAAGTGTTAAATGTGGTACAAAACTCTCAGGTACTTCTAGTTTTTAGTTAAAACAAAATCATCATTGCATTCATCCAGTCCGCATACAGTGGTTCTTAGCATTCATCCAATAGAGAAGTACACATACAGATCAAATCCTTAATTACAACGGCAACAACCCAAGAGCTCACAAAATCAACTGCGTACACACATTGTTCAAGAGGGCGAGGACACACTGCAACACACTGGCAGCACGAAAAAATGAAGAGAGATACCTGAAGGACATATTTCAAAAGAACGGCTACCCAATCAACTTCATCAAAAAGCACCAACGGCACACAGCATCAGAACCCAAATCAAGCACAAAAATCAACAAAAGGATCACCCTACCGTACATACAAGGAATATCAGAAACCACAACGAGACTGCTGAAAACCTTCGGGATAGGTGTGGCACACAAACCAACAAAATCATTACAATCAATCTTATGCAAACCAAAAGATGAAATAACAAAGGAAAACAAATCAAACATCATCTACAAAATAAATTGTACCAACTGCGACAAACACTACATCGGGCAAAGCGGACGCCCCCTCCACCTACGCCTACATGAACATCAATTAGCAGTCAAACGCCATGATATCTCTTCACTTATATCAATACACGTGGATAACTACGGACATTCATTCGATTGGGAAAATGTAGAAATCTTAGACAGAGGAAACTCCAAAAACACTAGAGAATTTTTAGAAGCTTGGCACTCAGGTCAATCAGCAATCAACAAACATATTGAAATCAATCCAATTTATCAATCAATCAGGAAAATCATGCATAAATATAGGAACAAAAATCAAACCAATGGGAGACACAACCAAAACAAAGAAGTAAACAATGATAAATTTAAGGTCAACAAGAACCAATCAACATCGAGGTGCACAGAACAAGCTGTGAAACACATATTGAGAAATTCGAACACTTCACTTCTATCTGAAGTTTGTGCTGATGATGTCGTTCAGAAGAACGATGAAAGCTCCACGACCAAACCATCCAGCTCAGAGAACAAAACACTACCAAAATCATCCACCTGAGCTACAAATCTTCTCCACCATCTCAAAATCAGAGAAGTACACGTCGAGATTCAGGAATGTTCTTCCGAAAGATGATTGAATGGAATGTCTTAGGCTCTTTCTGAGCTACTTAGAGCTTCCTTGAGTTCACCTGGAGGCTGTCCTCACATATAAATTTCGTAGGATAAGAAGAGTCACTTCTGACTGAATGACTACCTATGCTGCTACTATATTTAGTACGGTTTCAGAAGCTTCCAAAGGCCCAAGGCCATCTGAACTACTATAAATACCCTCCATTTTCAGTACATAAACTAACCTTAGTGTAGAGCGTTCTTTTCACACTTCGCGCCTTTTCTCTCCTGTTCAAGTTGCTGTGTAGATTTAGCCTGGGGTTATTAGAAGCGTTTAGGAAATCTATTCTAACGTTCAGCCCAAAGACTTATCACCTGCATGTAATTTTTGTTTTGGCTTATAAACTACTGTTTTGTGTTTTAACCTTCTAAAATTATTGTTAGTTTATGTTAACAGATGACAGTTAACCAGTCCTTCACTGAATGGAAGTGAATTATACGTTTGCACTCAGATACTTACAGTTTTACCTTTCATGTCAGTCACTGGTCGACACATGTATATTCTGAGTCAGCCAAACAATATGTTATTCCTATTCTTACTCGTTCCATTTAGTCAAGTTTAAAATTATACATCACGTAATAACTTAATACCACTGCTAGTCATAATAAGATTCATCAAAATGCTTTTTTTCTAAAAACCTACCGGAAACTGAAGCGATTTGTGTTTGTTCAACAGATGTAATAACTGGTCCGTTGGCTTGTATTGCAGTAAAATCTTCTGTTTTGGAAATCGTACTACTGTGTTGTTGAATTTTTACTAGTTTTTGACCAGAAAGTTCCTGAAATAATATAATAAATCATTTAAAATATTGTCTACATTAAATTCACATTAGATTAATTATATTTTTTGGCTTGGGAACCGAGTATCATTTTATCAATAAACACGGTTTCTTGTAATGTAGCCATAACGTTCAGGTGTCTCCAAAACTGATTATTGTCGGTGATTTTAACATGATAAATATGAGTGAAAACATTGACGCACAAATAGGAGGGTGAAAAAAGTTGTCAATCAGACATTTTACTATCATATCGATGACCAAAACCTCAACAAGGTATACATTATTGTACAACATCTCATTCCGTTAACCATTACACGTCTAGGTATATGGAGTAATCAGACAATACATTCGAGGGTTGTGGAGTATGCGGCTTAACGATTACAGAATCAGCACCACATACTCGAGTAATTCAGCAAGTAGAAAACTATGTTTTACGATAGCAAAACGTACCATTGAAATAACTCATAGGTTCGACCCTTCGAGAACTTATATAGGCATTGTCAGTAACAATTCCTAAGGTTTATATAAGTGATAACCATAAAAAATTCAAATCTTCCTTGTACGGATACAAAATCAGTTCTAACCCTGAATCTGTCTAGGTAACCGTGAGTGCATTTTCTTGCTTAGAGTGGATTGATAATTCCACATTTTTTCTGTATTGTAACATCCTTAATTTTAATATTTTCAGCTAACATCTCATACGTATTTAATCTACTGTATCCTTCATGCACAAAAGCCTTGACAAGTACATGTGTGATCAGACTGTGTGAAATATATTACACTACAGTTCCCAAATCAACTCCGTTTTCTCATTACATTTTCTCGATTTATGAAGGGGGTCAAGTGACTTAACATACAATTATTTGTTGCAAATCTGGATTATAATGGTCATTCACTCGCCAGTTTTGGTGATAATCATAACCATTGGAATCCAATCATGTTTAGATAGGTTGCCAAATACTGTTAATGTTAACTGTCAGGATAATTCATGGATTATTATTACTATTTATATTCTTATTGTTTAATAACTAAGCAATTAGATCACTATATATGTATTCCTGTTTTCATATGCATTCGGTTGGCCTATTTACTACTCTTATACGATTTATTATTTTTAATCTGTTTATGTATAATTACTAGTTTTTACTTCATGGTCTTTTGCGGTCTGTACATAACCCATGTCTATTTGAAATATAAGTGTGGTAGAAACTAGTTGCTGACATTTGGACTCAAGGGAAGGGCAGAATGAGAAGCTAGGGAATAATGGGTCAACAGAAACTTATCTGTTATATGAATACTGTTTGTTCTGGTTAGATGTATAATTGACCAACTCAGAGGCATAAAGCCGTGGAGTAAATAGTGGATGCGAAACAGAACAAATTAGAGTCTGGATTCTGATTTTGGTCAGCGGTTACAAGACCTAATACCATTGACGATAATCGATAACGGTTACGTATAATCGCCATTTGTCTTAAATTATAACGCGTATATTCAGGAATCTGGAGTCAGTCAAATGTTCTCCTTACCACAAAATTTGAACTGTTCGTTGGTTTTTGAACTATTCTTTAGGTCAAATCAATCCATCTTTGAATATCTCCTAATTTTTATGTCATTTAGACGTCTGGTGACTCAGTTGACATTTAAGTGATATTCAAATTTATTCTTAACGTGACGATCTTGAAATAACTACACATAACTGAAAACACCTAGTCTGGTGTCTGCATGATTGATGATAACGAAAATCGCTGTTCTTTTTTAATTGAAGTGTTTATATGATATTATCATTTCTGGTAATTTTCTTCATTTAAATGTAGTAATGACTGTAAGTATGTCACTTACAGCTTAAGAATACTCATGAAAATGTCTGTAGATCCCGAAAACCGTATTGTCATTAATCAATAAATTTACACCAAGTTAGTTTCCAAGATTTCAATATCTTAATCACACGACAATATATCGCTCAATGTTAGTTGATGATGGTTGTGAAAATTTTGTTCGGAATAATTCTGTGAAAACACATTCAAATGTTGCTTTTTAGTAGAGTACGACTATGAAACGTGACGGATCGGATGAACTTTTGGATCAAGTAAACAATGTCTGTATCTCCAAGTCATTCGAAGTGCCATTACGACACACTTTCCTGTTATTGACTATCAGTGAGTGTGTCTATGTGATTAATCTCATCATTTGTACTTTATTTCGATAATAAGCAAAACGATTATTATGTCGTGATCCAATTTGGTTGCTAAGTACTTAATCATAGTAATACACTAGTATACAAGTCTTACATTTCGAATTTTGTTGACATTCCACATAAAATGACTTTAATTCTCGCTCTACACACAATGAACTGTTGAATGTGTTTGAACTAGAGTTCAGCATCAACATGTTTTGAACCTCATACATTGTTGTTAAATCACATTGACATTATCAAACAGTTAACATAGAATCTAAATGCCATTACTTGTTTTAATTAATTATTAATCCAAGTTGGTTAGTTCGAGAATTAATTATTGTAAATAGATGAGTGAACTGAGATGAGTGTTTATAAACCTCCTACTGGGACTACCCAATGAGAATGAGTTATTATTATGGAATTTAACCAATGGAATTGGAGTAACAAATGGTGGGTGGATATTGGTGAAGTAGTGACAATATAATTGGTCTAGATCACATAGAATTTGAATATAAGTTTTCTTGTGTATTCAAGTAAAGCATGATGAGGATCTAATTAGACACAATAATGTTAGCTCATATATGTTGTTCTAATTTTCATTACTGAAATTTTAACTTTATTTGCAATCCCTTGAATTCTCTGTTATTTATAGACTGATTAGGATTTGATCAGTCTCAGTTGGTACATGAGGGTATTTTCTTGATATAATTCTTACGACATAAGTTTTCGTAGGATAGAATGTTAACACTAGGATAATCCAAACCATTAAAAGTTAGAATAAAATTCGTACTCACTGCACAAGTTAATGGACTTCTGAACTAAATAGCTAAGTGTATCACGCATTGGGCGTTTGCAAGCTAGAGGTAGTGGTGTCAGATCTTGGGGTGGACATCAACTCTGAAATGTAAATATTATCATGCCGATGAATTCTAAATAGATTGAAATGCGTGTCCTGAATTTCACTACCAGCCACGTCCCATCTGTTCCATTCAAAATTACTGTTTCCAAACACCTTTAATTCGAGACTTAGAATCACTGTATACAATTCTGAGGTATTTTTTATACGTGAACTAGCTGAAATCACAAAATATACAGATCAGGTATTACAACTTGGAAACACAGAGGGATGGTGACTAGCACTGGAATCCAGGATGCGCATTTCGTCTCATTTGGGACATGTTAGCTGAGTGTGCCTGAATCTCAGATTAAATGTTCACTTCGGGACTTGAATCAAATGCCATTCGCCTCAAACGCTCTCGCGTTATCTACTTGGCTATTGTGTCCAGATAGCTATTAATCTATGCAATGGGATGAGGTGTAATTCATTTAAATTCAATTCAAACAATTAGTACATAATTAATTATAGCTTACAGATATAGGCAGTAAACAGTTTATTTCAGTTGTTGTCATATTTATTATTTTACATGGTATATCATCAAAATATGCTGATGAATGATTTGGAAGAAAACGTGATCCAGTTATTCTTAGATATTCTTTTCCTAGTAGATAAATAAATAAGAGACAACATTTTAAGTTTTGGGAAGAGAAAATTATCATTCATGTTAAACAATAAGAACCATATTAAACAGAAAGTGTTAATATATTACATACACGAATATATTGGTGTATATTTCAAACAGTTTGAAAATTCAAATGAAATACCCAACATTTATGAATGTATTTTTACTGATGTTTATGTCTCACTACAATCTTCAAAGAAATTACTAGTTATCCATCAGAATAGTGACTAATATCATGACTAATATCAATCGTATATATATGAAAATTTTATTTTTGTAAAAGTACTAATTCCGTGAGGAAATGAGCACCAGTTCCCTCAAGATTACAGGTACACCTTGCTGACGAGTGCCAGGTAGCACGAAACCCGGGTCCAGGGTTTTCTGTTGACTACCGCCAACCACCATCTGAAATGTGAACACAGTTAACCATGACGTAATAAAAAAGGTTATAATACTAGATTACGTAATATGAATAATAACAATAGATTTAGTGAATATACTACGATGATTAAAATGTTTTTATCATAATAATTAAAGGTCATAGAGGTGTAAAAAATAATAAATAAGGTGATATGATTCTAACAACATAGATCTAGGTTTGCCGACTGAACACTTGAAAGAACTATTATTACGCTGTACTTTTAATGTCCAGTTTAGTTTCAATAATGAAATATATAGACAAAGGGATGTGATCGCAATGGAGTCTCTATTAGGTGCACTTTTAGCAGACTGTTTCATGGCCAAAGTAGAAAACGACCAACTCCGTTTAATGATCAATCGATTCCAACTATACGTCAGATACACGGACGACACGTTTGTCGTTTGTGACAATAATATTGATTTAGATGATATTCTACACACTTTTAACTCATGACACCCTTCCATAGACTTCATGTTAGAAATGGAACGAGACCAATCAATCCCTTTTCTCGATGTACGTCTGATGTGAAACAGTAATGGTTCTTTAAAAAGATCCATCTTTAAAAAAACAAACAAGGAATGGCCAGCTAACCAACTACTATAGCTGGGCTACGTTAAGTAGGAAGAGAAACCTTATCCATTCTTTATGCTATCGAATACATCAGATATGCAGTACGGAATGTATTAACGAAGAACTCGCATTCCTCAAGAAAACCTTGACGGAAAGTAGTTACCGAGAACGGTTCATAGAAAAGAATATGAATAGAAATATTTGCTACAAGAACTCTACTTGTTCCGTTCCGAAGAAAACCTTTATATAAGTCTGGAATTTAAAGGTGATCGAACATCAGACGTAATCAAAAATTGTCTAACAACAACTATTAGTAGAACATTTAACGCGGCTAAACTGCGAATAACTTTCACTAGTATGAACTTATTTTCTGTATCCATAAAAGATAAGCTTCCACGTCTGGTCGCCTCCATGTGCATCTACCAGTTCACCTGCTCTTGTGGAGCAAGGTACATTGGCCGTAGCCAGCGCTCGCTTTCAACTCGGATACGGGAACATATCCCAGCTTGGTTCTATAAGGGTGAAAGGAAAGCAGTTAGCGGTTCTATACTTGAACACCTAATCGACTATAACCATTCTACACATCCACAAATTGATTTTAAAGTTGTTTATATGATTCGTTCAAATCCACCCAGATTTCTTCATATCCAACTCTTAAAAATAGCCGAAGCTCTTACCATCCAGGAGCTTAAACCAGAACTATGCGTACAAAAGAAGTACGTCTTATCGTTATCGTTACCTTGGCCTCAATTATTTTTATTATTATTATTTATTATTATTATTATTATTACTGCATTCCCCTCTTTACTTATGTCTTATATTCTCATTGTTTTATTGGTAAATACTCATCATATCACCTTATTTATTATTTTTTACACCTCTATGACCTTTAATTATTATGATAAAAACATTTTAATCATCGTAGTATATTCACTAAATCTATTGTTATTATTCATATTACGTAATCTAGTATTATAACCTTTTTTATTACGTCATGGTTAACTGTGTTCACAATTCCTCACGGAATTAGTACTTTTACATAAAACAAAAAAATTTTCATATATATATACGATTGTACAGCTTGATAATAAATTCGTTGAAAAAAGATCCCTTCGCTGAACTTCGTGTTTCAATCTTAATGTTTAAATGGGAATTATCTGTCAATATCATATTTGTCTAATCTTTTTAATGGTGATCAAATTCCACCGACTAAGCTGCAATGTTGTCACTTCTAGGTGAACTTGGTGATGCGTTTACTATGTTGAAATGTTAAAGGTAGTCAATAGAAAGTACTAGTTCTCTTAAAAATACAAGTATGTCTTAATGACTAATACCAAATAACAAAATATACCTAGGCCAAACAAGCCTTCTTGTAGACTACCTTTAATTATACAATATATTCTGAGTATTTCAGATTTAGCAAAATATTTTCTTATTTACTAATATTTTAGAATCTAACTAAATATGAGTTCTTACAGGAGTATTACCACTTGACCTTAAGTTATTTGATATGAATAAAACACATAATCGAAACATCGACAAAGTTATACTTCGATAATGAGAAGACGAAGGTTACCAGAATTATGTGATATATTTGCGCATTACACTTCGAACAATCTATTATGTCCCGACAAGAATAATGAATGGTAACTTTGGGGATCTATTGATGGACCAATACCAAACGTATATTTCTATTGTATAATTATTCAGTAACTAAACTATGCATATTCATATTCCTCTTATTATAAGCTTTATTTTAACCTATAAACTGTTATTATACGTTTTACCAATCTTAAGTTAAACCCAGTATATTAATTACTACCTCCCTCATTCACAGCCACATATTTGATTGGTATAGAAACGTAGTATGTTTGAAATATAATGATTCATATTGCAGAGGCTGAGATTGGTGTTCTGGACTTAACTGGCTGGGCTAGACGGAAAGCAGGATCAATCAGGACTCTAGGCTGCTCGCACGTGTTTTACGCGTCCTTGGTCCTATCGATAATCCGCTGCTTCTGATTGGCGGCTTTGGGCTATAACGCAATCTGATCATACATAGTATAATTGATAAGACATTTTGTATATGAAAACTAAAAGGTCAACTAGACAGATTAGAGGTAAGTCATAACAAAGAAAAATGAAGTACACAAAAACAATGTGATAACCACTCTGAATAATAAATCAGTATTACCAGAGTAGGTGAAGGGTTAGAACAAATTGTTTTTGAACATATAAAAGAGGCTTCAGTTTCCGTATAGCCAAAGCTTCAATAAACCTTGAAGGCTTTTGTAAATCACTACAAATGCTGACTTGATATCAACCTTAATACGGTGTCAACCAAATGTTTCGCAATGGAGGAAGATGTCTGTCTATCATGTGATCTTCTTTTACCGTTGGAATTCATTTGTTTCAGTAGAAATTTCGGTATGTGTTCGGCCACACTTACTTGGAGGTCACGATTGCTCCTCCCTATGTACTTGTTTCCGCACATACATGTAAACTGACAGATACAATGTGATGTAACACAATTGCTTATGTGCTGTTTGGGTTCTTGGTGAAACATAGACCTTCAAGTTGGGCTGAATAAAATGTCCTATGGATGGCTAATTTAGGTCTCCGTTTCAACATGAGACTATTTGAGTCAACTTTAAGTAGTAACGTAATGTAAACTCGCTTTTTGTGTGTCAGAAGTGCCATAGGTTTAATGGTATTGCAACATTTCCAGCAGTCTATAAACTTCAGTGTTTAGTGCAAAATGTTATTCGGTCGACTAGAAAAACTATTGTCTTGACTGTTAAAAATGAAGCTAATCAATTGTTTTAAATGCATTAAGTAACCTATGACTGAGTAAACAGCTGACAAATTCTTCCTATTTAATATAGTTTATATTTAGATACTACTATGATGCTGGTTTCCTCTACCAATCTGAATGTAACGTGAATGAAAATCATGAATTAATTACGCGTTCCTAGGTGAAGTATGACCGATTTAGAAATAATTCTCGTCATGAACTGGCATTATAGTGAACGAGAACTCTGGTGGGGACAACCGAATGCATTTTAATAAAAAAATTACAGAACATCTTAGTAAAATTTGAGAACCATATAGTAAGTACTTCATTTCCACACCAATCATTCTCTGTCCTCGTTCTCTTACCTTCAATCTTCTCAAACTTTTGCAGCCAGGTATTCCACTTTCGATTGATGATGCATACTACTTATATCTATCGATATCAGTAGCACACACCATTGCATCAACTAACTAATGATTAACTTTGAGACAATTTTAATAAAGTTAAAGTGAGAAGCTTTGATAGGCGAACTGAACTTTTCTCATTTAATTCCTACTTATTATTAGTGTTTAATCATCATGTAACCGCTTTTTTCCAGCCCTTTAGTCTCTTGTTGTAGAATGTTCTTTCACATGAGATGTATAATTTATTTAGCTTGTTAGATCTATTTACATCTTTGCTTTACTTTGCTAACCTGTGATCATAGCAACTTCCAATTGAAATCTGTCATGTCGGTAATTTAATTTAATTTTGTAATTATGATTTTCTAATATTCCAAGTTGTACTCAGCTGATGTAAATCAAACAAAAGAAAATGAAATCATGTTATTCAGATAAAATCTTTGTTCTTGTACCCTTCAAGATGTTAAAGATATATATATATATATATATATATATATATATATATATATATATATATATATATATATATATATATATATATGAAAATATTGATTAGGACTTACCATCGTCGAAAATTCCAGTCTGTACAATATCTTTAATTTCACTACCTTCCGTGCCTAATTCAATGTTTATTGGACCGTTTATAAATCCTTTGTCAATTAAACGTAATCGACCCGTAAGTAATCCAGATGGAATAACATTAAAATCTTGATTAAAAAAGTATAAATTTGTTGTAGTAGTAAGAAATGGTTGTTGTTTTAATACAAGTTCTTCATTGAACATAAGAAATAATTCATAAGAGTTTGGTGAGTTGGCAATAAAATCTGTTCCATTTAAAATCAACGTCAGATTATTATTAGCTAAAACAAAATTAGATAATAAGGTTAGTGAATAAAAGTTTATCTACAATAAATATGAGTAAATGAACTGGACTATTGATAATATGTAGTTGTCTTTAAAAGAGTAAACTCTGTAGATTATGTTTTATTTAACGGTATGTTATCAGTTGCAATATTTGTGTAGAAATTAATACAGCACGGATATAACATATATTGCACTTTAATCTGCCTTTTCAATGGGTCATTTAGAACTGAAACTATCATTTAAGTCAATTAGCTGGGCGTTCGTGTGTGCGACTGAGAGTCTTGGGTTCAATTTCCGAGTTCAGGACCGTAGATATACACTATCAAGGAGCCCCATAATCGAGCTAAGCCTTCGTTCAGTGCTTTCAGGTTTGCAATGATGATCTAAAATTGATTGATCCATGATATCAATAAAAAAATCATTATAGTCTATCTGAAATCCCGTAGGCTGGAGGAAACTAATTTGTTAAGAAGAGATATGTTATGCAAAATGATCTATTCATTAACTTCAAATGTACGCACATAAAATGAAAATAGAATGTTCCATACAATCGAAAGAAAAAAACCGAGGAAATAGTCTTACTTACTTATTTGTACTATTGAATTGGTTACAACAGGGCTTGATAAATCAACAAACTGGTGATCACATGACGATTTACAGTAGGCTGGGAAATTATCAATGTATAATCTAATCTACAAAAATGAAACAAGTCAACTTGTTAAATGTGGATGCAAAAATCCTTGTCAACGTTTACATTATCCCTTAATATAGTATGTATTGCCACAGTTATCGATCTTGTTTTAGTAAACAGATTCGGTTATACGTTTGAGAATTTTTCGCTTTCCGTATAACATCAAAATGCTTATGAATAATTTGGATGGCAGGAAGGAAATCTAACTTAGATAAGTTTATGTAAATTACAATAAGAGATTTGCATAGAGAAGCTCGAAAATATAAATAGTATGCGGGTGGTGTTGATGAACTAGTCCATTTGAAAGTCCTCTCTGAAAATTTCAAATTTTAAGCCCAAGGAGTCAAGATTAAGCGTTAAGCGTGGAAATTTTTCATAATCATCCATTTATACTTTTTGTGAACTGCAATATATACATATTTATAGTATGACATTTTATACACTTTTCTAAGTCGTATATCGCATTCACTTCTGAGCATCAAGGGCTTCTTTACCCAGCTTTAACTGAATACACTGAGTAATGTTTAATACGTTTCTATTTATAAACATATTCAGATGTAATACAGTATCCGATAGTTCTTCTATCTTCAAAGGTTTTAATATAAATATCCTAGGAAGTTACTGTTTAAAACACATGGATTGAATATACGGAATACTTTAAATGTAAGTAATCTTATCATCATGTTATGAAGATATATTATTCGTTATTAAAATCATCTATCCATTGTTACAGATTGAAAGTGCTTAGATGGAGTTTAAGTAATTTGTTCGAGTAACAATGTTAAGCCGGTGACACGATAGCGATTACACAGAAATAATACATAACATATTTCGTAGATAAACAATAATCTTGATAATGAAAATATTGGTTATCGGTCCTATTCACTTCTACATTATCTAAAGATTTCTCTGTGTAAGTTACAGAAAACAAAATTGTTAAAATGAGACGCAAAAAGTATTTAAAGTAGAGATTTTGGTAAGTCTAAAAACTTATTTTGCAAATGGTGAATGAAGTTCATTTTGACCAGAAGAAAAGGAAACACAGAAGTTCATTGGCGCATTCTTACTTTTACTACTTGGTGATATGACAGTTAGAAGTGGATTCTAAGCGATTGCTTTGTGAAATCCATTTTTACTTCGCGTGTGTTTTAAATAAACCGACAAATAACTCATAGTTAAAATACTTTTAACGAATACTTTGTATATAAGTAACCATTTTAATTCCTAAATGCTTATTTATTCAAGTGTTCAGTCGCTTAATGTTTTTGAAATTTGTCCAGTGTAAATCAAAGACTGGGTTTTGGATTTTAGTCATTCCAGTATTCTAGAATTATTGGTCATATTTCTATCGTATAATTATTAGACATTTGAATAATTGTATCATTATATTTTCTTAACTGTATTCTTTCGTTTGGCACATATATTATTTCAATGGTTAAGATTTTGAGTCAGTTGAAGCTAGGCCACCATGGAAAACATTGAAATTAATCTAATATCCGCAAAACCCATCTGATAATAATCAACATATACTCACTGGTGACTGGCTTCAAGAGGTATATCCTGGAGTTCTAGTGAGAAGTAGTGACCAGTGGAGTTCAACCAGGTCTGTTGTGAGATAGTAACCCACTGAAGACAATGATGGATGTGTCGCTCAATTTCGTGGATTAGTTGAAGTTAGACATTAACACCGTTGGATGCCGGCTTACTCAGTGGTTTAGTGCTTATGTGCTCGCGCGCCAAACCAGTAGGTCCTGGGTTCGAATCGCGCAGGGGGCGAGGTCGTGGATGCGCGCTGCTGAGGAGTCCCACAGTGGGACGAAACGGCCATCCAGGGCTTCCAGGTTTTCCATAGTGATCTAGCTTCAACTGACTCATGATCTTAACCATTGAAATTACCATAATACCCACAATCCCATCTGATATTAATCAACGTATATTATTGTTGCATGTTTTACCCTTCTCAATTTTATAATATACCCTTGTGGGCCAGGGTAATTTTACATTGGTTTTCAAGAGAACCAGACACCATCCAGACTTTCACATAAAAACCCAAACAGTACAGCTCAATCCCGTTTAGCAAGGGAACCAGACACCGTAAAGGCTTTAACTCTACAATCTGAATAGTACAGCTCAATCCTGTGGCGCAACCACACAGTTACCAAGCCCCCTGGTGGACTGCTATATACTGTTGTATGAGTTGACTCATCCAATAGCACGACAACATAATAAAGGTTTGTCTAATTTCTAGTCATGTCTTTTGATTGTACAGTGGATCAGAGGTCGCTTGAGGACCCATAAGCGTAGTAATCTCGCTGACCACTGAAATATTGGTCATACATTTATAGAGCGAATTAATCAATAATCGGACTAGACCATACAACTATTAACATAGTACAATGAGAAGACGGAGTTGATCTGAAAAATGTGATGTATTTGCCCTATACATTTCGAACAATCTGGTCACACATATACCTGTTAGGGCATTTTATATGAAATTAATAAAGGTCAATAAAATGAAAGTTCAAGTAAAAAAGTAACAAAGGGGAGAGAAAGAATAAGAAATTGTCGCGTTATCCTAGGCCATAAAATAACTTAAGGATTACCAAGGTAAATTCAAGGTTACGACAAAGTGTTTTTGTACACATAAGGGGGGTTTACATTTACGAATAGCCAATGTTTCAATAAACTTGACAATTTCGATACAACGTTCTAAAAGCTATATTAATGTCGATTTTGTGCCCTGTTTCAATTATGTTTCGCTATCGATGAACCTGGTTTTCTACCTCCCACGTTGATCGGATCATTTGACAAACATTGATTTTGAAGCCATCTAGGCATACGTTCAATGACCCTTGATTGCATTGTTCGATTACTCTTCCGTATGTCATCATCACATTTACCAGATCAACTCCGTCTTCTCATCGTTTTATCGAAATTTATAAAAGGCACTAATTGCTTTACATTACCATAGTAACAATCCGATCAGACATCCCCAAATACAAAGGAAGGTCCTGTTCTATTCGAAGATGTAACAATTACACCATCATTTCATGCATAAATACAATATTGTTTTAAGACAAACCAAAGGAAATTAAAATTAGTAGGTTGAGTAATGACGAACATCTTTTTGGAATGCTATCAAACTATATCCTGAGTGTTAATTTAGGGAAATATATTCTGACAGTTCATGGGTTGTAATATCGGAACTGAAACAAAAAACTATTCTCTTCTCCAAACGCTATCACTGAAAAAAATATGACAGATAGAATCTGTTAACGTAAAAAGTAACTGAAACAGTAGAAGCGTAAAAGCCACTAAAAATAATACAAAACTACGATATCTATGTAGCATGTAATACATAGATACTAACCTGTGGAACAGAGTGTTTTGTTGCTACCATGTCCCCTGATATCGGACACATAACTAATTCTCCAATAGCAGACTTACGTATAGTAATCTGCGGTGAATCACCAATTAGTCTTGTTTCATTCATCACCTATATAAACAAATAAGTATCCAATAAATAATGCAGTGTCTAATAAACTTTCGATTAACTTTTTGTTATATTTTCAAACTAGGTAGATTTTGATTTTAAAATGATGGTAATTCTTCCATAAGTTTGAGAATCAAATGCCTATTTTATTCAATTCATAGTTGACTTTTAAACTGTCATGACCCTAAAAAAAACCCATACTCCGAACCAAAATGAAAAGGCAGTTATTCAAATGATACTTTCTTTGCAATTTGAGTTTAAATACAACTTTCTAAGTCTACAAACTATTTTAACACTCTAGAGACCTCTGAAGGAAGAAATTATGCATTTAAGGATTATAGAGTTCAATCAAGTAGACTGAAAAAGAATATTGAACAGTTAATTTCCAGAATTAAGTTTAATTTATCAATAGTATTGATTGATGAAAAATATTGACCAGTGTGGGCAGTCTGGCGTTCTTATTGGCCCATTTTCTGCCTAGCTCTGGCCTTTTGAGACCAGAACGCCAATATCAGATTCCAGTATACCAATCATTCATTTCTGACATACTTGGTTTATATACAAGCAAACCAGACCACATCACAGCATAAAATAAAAAAATAACATTTGTACAGGATTTAGCCAAAAATGGCTGTGAATGTGATAGACTGCAATTAATAAACTAGGCATAACTTAAGAATGGTAAATCGTATCATAATAGACTATTGGTCAATATAAAGCTTACGATAATATGAACATGAATACATATCGTTTAGTTACTTAATAGTTATACAATAAGAATGTACCTATAATATTAGTCCATTAATAACTCTCCGAAGTTACCCATAATTTAATTTTCGCTAGAATATAACAGTCATGTATTATTAAAATAAACTAATATACTTACTCAATACATAATAATAATACTTCATACTGATAAAATAAAATGTCAAAAATTATTTCTAATTTCTTACTGATATTTCAGGTTGATCACCAGGTAAACTTTCAAGCCAAAAATTATATTGAAAACTTCTACACCATCCATATCTACTAACACGTACAGTACCCATTAATGGATGTAAATTTAACAATCTTTCGATGACACTTGGCTCCATGTACTTTGCTGGTATACCTATAAAATGAAACAGAATATTTAATTTACTTTTAATCAACCAAAATACATGTTGACATATATTATTCACGAAGTCAGAAGACAACTGACAAAGACGACCAGATACAAACAAGACCATTAGAACGAGCTGATATAATATGATGATTGTGGATTAACTGAAAAAAATCCACTTCTACATGTATTAAGCTCTGAAGATGTTGTTCAGAATGACAATTAAAGCTTTACAGTTAAGCAATTTACCTTATTTAACATAACACTGCCAAAATGCTTAAAGATAAATTCATCCATTTACGGTCAAAATGTGAGCTTGGACAAAAAGAAATAACAATATTCTAATTATGTCGATATATTAATTATTAATAGTATCCATATCCTCATTGTATAAATAACAAGTGACTAGATTTCTAAGCTAATATATATTCCGTTCATCGTAAGCTTTAGTTTAATTCAACAACGATTATTAGTATGAGGTTGTGGAGATTATTATGTTTTTGATTGAAATCATCAACCGGTTGGTGTTAGGCCACCATTGAAAACCTGGAAGAACTCGAACGCCGTTTCTTGTACTCACTAGTAACTAGTTTCGTGAGGGAATTCTCGGAGCTCTACTGAGAAGCCGTGACCAGTGGAGCTAATCCGTTTCGGGTAGAGACAGGTATCTACTTCAGTACAATGGAAGATGGTCGAACAATTCCATGGATTGGTTGAGGTTAAACACTAACACTGTTGGATGCCAGCCGGCTCAGTGATGTAGAGGTTAAGCATTCGTGCTCGTGACCGAATGCCTTGGGTTCGAACTTCGTGGGTGGTGTCGTGGATGCGCACTCTTGCGGAATCTGTTAATAGGACGAAACGGCCGTTTAGTGCTTCCAGGTTCTCAATGGTGTTCTAACATCAATCTGTTCATGATCTCAATCATTAATGATTATTAAACTGATTGATATTCGTTATTTACTGCCTATCAACTTTTCACACATTGTCTTATTCACAGTCACTTTTGGTTTGTTCGTGTATAATTGTGATTTTCCCTTTTATGCTGTAGTGTGATCCGGTGTGTTTGCATATTATGTATTAAAAGTTGACCGTTGATTTCTTTTCGGACTCGGGGTAAATGAATAAAGGACACATTGTAGATAGTGGACCATTAGATGGTCAGCATGCACAGGCTCAAGGTTAACTGTGAGGGTCAATGGTCAAGTCTAGGACATTAGACAACAGATGAGGCATAGCCAACATTGTAATCAGTAATTTTATTGGTGACTTCAACACGTGATATCGATAAGTCATAAGTTATATCAGAAAAATTTTACTCACGTGAAGTAGGTACTCCTTTAAAGGATAAGATGAAATTTCCGTCAATAGGTGGTGAGGCTGATTGTATTAGTGTTATTGAACTTTGAATATTTACTGGCCATCTTTCATCCCGAAGTATTACTGTTCTATTAATAGTTTTATTGTCATTTGGCATCTTAATATTTGAGATAATGGAAAATATGAATTGTTATATCTCATATAACAAATTTCTCTATATTATTAAAAATACATTATCAATGAGAATGTAATTGTGAGATGCTTACATTAATCATAAGTTTGAAACAATTAAATGAAGCGCAGCAATATAATGTAAAATTAAACTTACATTCACACCAGTTAAACCAAACAGTTCAAAATTGGTTCTACATGATTTTGTTATTATTTCAATTGTGAACACACCAAATGTTGACAAATTCTTTGTTATTTTAATATCACTGAATATATCTTTCGGAAATCGTGGCCACGTAACAACGTCTGATAAATATTATGAAGGGAAAAGTTTAAAGTAAACGATTATTCGATCTATTTGATGTTTCAGTGTTTCGTTTTACTAATCAATGAACATATCATACTGGGATTATTGAGTTAATTTTTTGAGACGAATCGACTTGATTATCAGGATAAATTTGAACACGAATAATGGCAGAATAGATTACAATAATAATAATAGAGGCGAAAATGAATAAAGTAACATCTTTTGAATTAAGGGTTTTGGTTAATTGCTTCCCCTCCGCCTCGTTTACCAAAATACTTCAATTCGGATTATGTAACATGACACTGGGTACGAATCCCCAAAGCATCATGGTTTTATTTCAAGTTTTAGGCTGAAAGTAGTTTATATATGTCCATAGATACAAGGGATTCATTCAATTGTAGTAGATGGGTACAACAAAATGCATATTAATAAAAAAATTACAGAATCTCCTAGAAAAATCTGACAACCATATAGTAAAAACTTCATTTCCAAAATATCAATCAATTGTGTCAGACTTTGGTGTTCCTTCATTTCCACACCAATCATTCTCTGTTCTCGTTCACTTATCTTCAATCTTCCCAACTTTTTGCAGCCAGGTATTCCACTTTTGATTGGTGATGCATACTACTTATACCTATCGACATCAGTAGCACACACCGCACAATGAGTTCGGATTTTTCATTTCATAAACTTGAATTGTTTCATTCACATAAATTAGACTATTTGTTTCAATGTAATGAAATATAGATTTTCTGAGTTCAATTCTCAGTGTAACAAAACATACGAAATATGAAAATATCTATTTATCCGGCAAGCCTAAAATAAAACGAAACACAGCGTGAATTCCACTACTAATCACAATCCATATTTGTATAGCTTGAAACCTAAGTCCAGGGTTTCCTGTTAACTACCTCCAACTACCATCTTATCTCAACGTAATGCACGCAATGTTGCGTCATCTAGACTAGTGGCCACATTGCGACTTGGTCGACAGGATTGAAACTGCACTAAGAAGAACCTGACATGTATGACATTGATCACCACCTAGTGAGCAATCAATTGTAAGTTTTACACTGTCCTTACTTGTATTCACTATAAATAATATTCGATTACTGAATTTATTTTTAAATACATATACTAGACATAATTTCAAATGATATGAATAAACCAATCATAGATTTCGACAAGTGATGGAGAATATTTATAACTCAGGTGGATAATTCTCATGGTGTTACATTCTGTGAGTTAGCATGTTTCATCGTGAAGCTTTTGTTGATTTTAAGAACAATATTATCAGAGAGTACAATAGTCAATGAGAATTCAAAGACACATAAACCTAACATAATATATAAAGACAATCACAAAAAAGAATAAGTAACAGAACGAAGTGATTTAGAGTTTCAATTAAAGTAGACAATAATGATGTTATGGATAACTAAAGCAGAAGCTTTAAAATTAAACAATCCATCTCAAAAAAATGTCACACTAACAAAACTATCAATAAATAGTAAACAATTCTTTCATATAACAATGTTATAGTTTACCGTCTGGATTATCGGAAATTGGTTTTGTTCCCATGTATACTGTATCTAAGAACAAAGTATATTCCAATTCGTAAAATTTCTTTCTTGGTGGTATAGAAAAAGATTCAAGTTGAAAAATTGTTGCATTTATATTGCGTGGATCTGTACGAAGTAATTGTAGTACATTAATACATTTGAATTTCCAACTGGATGGAATAAAATAGAAACAGAACAAAACATACCATCTTAGATCATGACTAACTAATTACAGTAATTTGAAATGCATTTCTTCGTAGTTGGTCATTATTAGAAAATGATGAATGAAGTTCTGAAGAAATTGACTTTTCAATTGAGAATTAAAGTTTGATCATTCATTCAATGGTAATCAATTAAGCAAATGAGTTTGCATAAAACTGAGGAAATTTTTTCAGCTAGTCACTAAATAATTAGGAATTTTTCATCCCCTAATTCTTTATATTATATGAACAATATAAATGGAGTTTACTAGTGACTACTTTTAGATGGTTAATATTTGAAAATTAAGTCAATTAAACTATCGAACTTATTACAAATTTGAATTGGATAGAGTCTCGTGACAATGGAGTATGCCTTTGATTACTTCTTAATGACCACTAAGATCACATTCAAAGTCTATCAAATTTAGTATTTCGTATAAAGATTAGAGAAACAGTTATTCATAGATAAGTTTATGCAAGATAAATTGTGTCTTTACATAGTCTGACCTTCACATCTCATGAGGAAGCATGGAATATAATGGACAACATAGATGCAACTAAACGGTTTGGAATTCCCAGATGACTTAAGTCTTCTGTTACATACACACCAACAAATGTAAGTGAAGACAGATAGTGTATCGTCAGCCTCTACAGCAGTAGGCCTCAACATACAAAAGAAAAAAAGCAACATCCTGAAATACAACACAACGAACACCATTACAATCACACTTGGTGGAGAAACTCTCCAAGAGGTGGAATCTTGCACATACTAGAGCAGCATCATCGATGAACATGGAGGATCTGATGCAGACAGGAAGGGAAGAATTGGCAAAGCAAGGACAACGTTCATACAAGTGAAGGACATATGGAACCCAACATATGGAATTATCAACCGAAATCAGAGTCATTATCTTCAATTCGAACGTCGAGATAGTTCTACTGTATAGAACTGAAACTTTGAGAACTACCACAACCATCATCAAAAACGTACAAGTATTTATAAACAATTGTCTACTCAAAACACTCAATGTCCACTGACCAGATATCATCAGAAACAGCTTATTGTGAGAGAGAACAAACCATCTTCCATCTGAATAGGTAATTAGGAAAAGACATTGGAAGTGGATAGGATATATATTTCGGAAATCATCAAAACTGCATCACGAGGTAAGCGCCAAATCGGAATGCTGAGTGTAAACGTAAAATAGGAGGACGATAGAACAGTTGACTGTTTCGGGAATTGGAAGCAGACATTGAAAGAATGACTATCAATTGGAGAGAACTGGCAAGGATTGTCCATGATAGAGTTGGATGGAGAATGCTGATAGGCGACCTATGCTCCTCTACGAAGGGTATCAGGCGTAAGTAAGTAATATAGTGACAATATTTAATGTGATAGGAAACAAAGTTTTAAATGTAAGTTTCATCGTACATGTGGTTTTTTCAAGGATTTACTGAGGTCAATTCAAATAAATGTCTTTCCGGTAACAGTCACTTCTTATATTATTATCTATTTACTCACCCTGAAAATGATAATGGGTATTGATAAAATCAAGTTAATAATCTGATGAAGTAAACTTCTAGAGGATATATAAGTAGTAGGATATTTAAGTCAGTAGGTGATTATTCCATTGATTTATTAACTATTATTTTTCGTGACACTGATAATAAAAATAGTTTCCTGTACTACAGTCTAACTAAATAGTTCTAAAAATCTACTTGATACAAAGAATAAAGTTTTATATCCCAGTTTACTTCACACCACTTGGAAACATTCTTTAACTTCTTTCAACTAAGTAACTGTATTTACTGCTTTCCCATTATTTTGCTGAGTGAAAATGTTTGCTATTGTTAGGGTTTGTAGAAACCATTAAATTGTTTGGTTAATATCACTGGCTGATCTTAGTTAGGAAAGCATTGGAAAGCAGGAAGCGTTGAACTCACCGAGATTGTGAACACACGATCCCACAGTGGATGGAATATAGGATCTTCAAGTTTTGTGATAAAAACATTTCAGAATTAGACCACTTAGTCAGTAGCCAACGATTCATATATTTAACTTCAAATATATTTGTTTATTTGCTTGCTTTTTTGTAAAAGGTCTAGTCAACCAGTTACTCTCGTATTTAGTGAATTCTTTTTTATTTAAACAATTCTTATTATTAACAGAAAGGGGTTTTGTGGATTATTTAGATAATTAACTAGATGATCTACAAATAATACATACATAAGGTATTCTTCTTATAAGCAGTATTTCACTTCTGTTTTACTGAACATCCACTCAGTCAGTAATATTTAAGTTATGAAACTTTCATTTAATTTTAAAAAGTTTTGTTGGGCGAAATTTCGGTTATTTACTTATTCTGAAGAAGTGGCTTACATTAAGTCCCGAAACATTAGAAATACAATTTGTTTACTCATTGGGATAATAACAAGAAACTATGTTTATTATTAACTCATTACCTAATGCTCAATTTATTTTAAACTATCAAGTCCAACTCAGTTGGTATTGTTTTATTTGAATCTTCCCATTGAGGTTTAAGACTGTAATTGATCAGTCGGTTATTGGCATACGTGCATACTGTGTCTATTACCTCGATATTGCGTTAATTCAAGCAAAACAATACCAAGTGAATTTAAATTCACCCCATTTCACAAGCAAGTGGCTATCAGGATAACGCGATGGCATTTGAGGTGAATGGTACTGGGTTCGAGTCCCAGAGTGGACATCAGCTCTGAGATGTAGGTACATCCAGCTGACGAGTCCCAAATTAGACGAGACGCGCGTCCTTGATTCCAGTGTTAGTCACTGTTCATCTTTGCTTATAAAGATTGTGTATCACGTCCAACCTTGGTATTCATACCTATAAACTCATTAGTCATCTTAAAATGTTCAAATGTAGCATTTAATTCAACAAGAAGAAATCAACTTACGAATTTTCATCTTGCTGTGTAAGATCAATTGAATAGGTTAATGTTTGTTTCAATAAACGAGATGTTACACCAATAGCATTGTATAAGAAATTTATACTGTTTCTCGTTTTTCCTTTTATTGCAAAACATAACTAATAATATGTTTGTAAAAAAAGACAAAATTATAAGTGATATACGATGGAATACATTCTAATTAGTATAAATATTTAGCATTGTGAATTAACGTAGCCATTCAGTATAATGATTGATTGTTTTCCGGTTCTTTAAACAATCAAATTCTGGATAGCTGTTTTACTCAGTGATGAAAAATAAGGTAACAGTTACGTAATATCACTAGTTAACTAAAGTTATAAATGTAAGTTGTTAGATGTCCACTTAACCTAAGATGGTGCAATCGCCAGTATTCCTTGCGACTCTTGAGTTTTGAGTGTATTATTGCGAGTTGTTACATAATAGGGCAAAACAGCTAACGAATAATCTCGATTTCAAATCTTTACTGATAAGTAATAGGGGGTGATGCAAACTATATTGAAGAATATTTGTCAGTCTAACAACAAAAAATAATAATTCAGGCTGAATTGAGTTCAATCTTTCTATCTGTACCATAGAAATAAAATGAAAACCAATTATACTTCATGTAACTTGATTCTTTGGTAGATTTCTAGAAACTAAGAACAACGAAATTCGCTGAATGAGACGAACCAATTCTATTTCGTAGCTTTGCATCTCAGCTATAAATAACTTATCTTTATTATTCAAGGAAAACTTGTCTTTTCATTGTCTTTGACTAGCAATGGAATCCAGAAAATTCGTTTTACCCCATTTCGGATTCATCAGGTAGATGAACCTGTATCATGAAGTTGATGTGGATTGTGGAATCCAAACCCAGAAAATTTCCTTTCAAACTCTTAACATGTTACTCTCACTCAGCTACTGAGTCCATTTAACCTAACACTTATACGATGAATTTAATTTCTGACCAAAATTTTAATCATTCATTTCTGTATATTAATAATGGAATATTCTAGATCACTACGCACTGAATTATCATTTCAAATATTTCTGTTTCTTTGAATTTATTAGTTGTTTTAATATCAAACGATCAGTTGTAATCAGATTAGCTGGATATCTGCTGGTTTAACAGAAAATATAATTTCAACTTAGATTATAATAAAGTGTTTATAATGAATAAAATATCAGGATATAATAATATAATATTTCCAACTGATGTTTATCTACCATTATGAACATGATCCATTGTAGAAAAAAAACCCTATAATACTAGCTTGACACAGTATATTTGAATTATCTAAGTTTTTAATATTTTTTTGATTGACATCATGAAACAATCGATGTTAGATTCCATTAAAAACCTGGAAGCACTAAACGGCCGTTTCGTCTTATTGTCAGACTCCGCAGCAGTGCGCATCCACGACACCACTCACGAAGTTCGAACCCAAGGCATTCGGTCAAGAGCACGAATGCTTAACCTCTACATCACTGAGCCGGCTGGCATCCAACAGTGTTAATGTTTAACCTCAACCAATCCATGGAATTGTTCGACCATCTTCCATTGTACTGAAGTAGATACCTGTCTCTACCCGAAACGGATTAGCTCCACTGGTCACGGCTTCTCAGTAGAGCTCCGAGAATTCCCTCACGAAACTAGTTACTAGTGAGTACAAGAAACGGTATTCGAGTTCTTCCAGGTTTTCAATGGTGGCCTAACACCAACCGGTTGATGATTTCAATCACAAACATAATAATCTTCACAGTCACATACTGATAATTTTTATTAACTCTTGGTTCATACTTTTTAATGTCTTAGCTGTAAGTCGATTGGTTCATTTTTGTGTGTATTATTCTCAAAAGGTTGATTGGTCTGTGGGATATTTGCTTTAACGTTTTTTCTTAAAGTAAATAATATTCATACTGCCATTTGAGTAAGGAACCGTAAGAATAATTATAGAATTTCATCATTACAATAATCTAATCAGCTGATAATTTAATTGATAGGAAATCAATACATATTGTGTAGTGAGCTATTGATTGGAAAAGTTTCTGATAACAACTTATTTGTAGTAGCCAAAGTTAAGTATTTCCTTAAATTATAAGAACTCTATTACAACACAAAACACTGTTCCATCAAGAATAATCAACTTACATAAGGATTGGTGTTAACCGAGATAAGTTGAGCAAATTGGTAGGTAAATAAATTTAAAGCAGATTGTCGACCACAAAATGCAACCGTTTCTGTTGTAACAGTATTAAGTGTTGATGTTTCGAAATCATCTAAAACTGCATATTTAAATGTAGGGTTAATCAACTTAGAAGGACACCATGATGAGCCAAGATTGAGATATGCTAGTCGAATCTATAGTAAAAATAATAATGACACGATTAGACATAATGAAACTAATTTTAATATACAAAACTTCATAATCGACTAAATAATATAATATCAGTTAACGAATTTTCACCTAAAAAATTTTGCAAAAATATTGTGGTATTATATTTACTTACTTCATTTTCAGTACTGTCAAGTGTATAGGTCATATATGAGTACATACCGCCATAGGATGGTCTGATTGTCTTTGAAAATCCTGTCATACCTTGTACAGTTTCATTAACCTGTGATTTATTGATTGTTTGTGGAAAGCTTTGTACATCCAACAGTGGCATATCACCTTTATTATAATAATTAATGGATTATAAATCAAATTAGTTTAAATAACAAACATTAAAGTTTGACATACAAGCTTAATCAACTTTATTTTATGTGATTACTGTTATGGGCAATTGGATATCTATATGCCTTATTATCTTTTCATATTTAAGAAAATTAACATTAATAACTATTAGTTAACAATAAAAAGTTGTAATCAAAATGTAAGAAAACTTAGTTCATAACACCGTAGTCATAATCTACAATAAGAACACTTCAAAGACTTATAGGATTATTAACTTGTATTTTTGTAAATTAAAATGAAACTATGGTAGCCTGTAAAGTTTACAGTTTGAAAAGAAAATTACTAATCAATGGTTATCCTTTAAATACTTACCATGAAATTTGAATAGCATACAGTGCAAATTATTGAGAATATTCAAACAATGAATACATATGCACCACATAAGTCACTTGGTTTGAGTGTGGGCTGTGATACTATCCAGGTGCTCACACCAAAGCACGTGCTTTTCTTAGGTGTCCACTCTCCGAACCTTTGTCCTAAAGGTATAATACCCAAGGCAGTGGAGCAATGTTAGGAGATGCAGTCCCGTGGTAGACGGTGATCAACAGTAGGTTCGTGCGCCATTTGTTTCCTTAGAACCCTGGAGCTCACGTGAACCACTGGTTTGGAATCAGGATTTTCCAGCCCCCCCTAGGTAAATTTTCCGCATCCACCAACCCGGGTAAAGCGTTGGACATTCGCTTTTCGTCCTCTGAATTTCGTGAACAATAGCTCCGCCGCGAGAAGGCAATGAGTAGGACTTCCCTGGCAGTGGCCATGTGAGGGCATTCCGTGAGAGAGAGAGAGAGAGTTGACTCTCTCCAACCTCGGCCGTACCAGGGCATTTGGGGGCCATAAGAATGTTTTACTAACCTATATTATGCTTGATGATAATGATCCTTAACATATTTGTATTTTAAACTAACTGTTTTGTATTTATGAAGATTTTGTAAAATTACTTCTAATTTGAAATAGTTAAGTATTTGATTTAACTTGCCCACTTCTTTATGGAATCATTCAAGAGATAGTTTTAAAATCATTTTTCATATTTGAATTACATTTTCTTGATTATGTTCTATTTATTAGTATAGGGTTGTGGAAATTGTTGAATTTAGATTGATATCATGAATGGATCAATGTTAGATCACCACTGAAAATCTGGAAGCACTGAACGGAGGTTTCGTTCGATTTATGATGTAGTATCATGCACTATACATATTGAATAAATAAAAATCATTAATGGTCAGTTCTTATGTTAACTATAAATTGTGTTCGTCTATTCATAAATCAAAATAAATTACTACTGTTCCATTTAATTAGAGTATTTGATGTTAGTTCATTAGATACAGTAGTTGGAAACTTTTAGCTATCAATTACCATTCACTTTGGTGTATTATTCTATATAAATACTTGTTGATACTACTGTGATGTGTCCATTCACTTTCGAAGTAAAAATGCATTTTCAGTATAAGTAATTGTGGAGGTTATAAAATTTTCACAGCAGTGAATAACGATTTTCGGTAATGATCTAGCTAAAAACAATTCATGATCTAAAAACTAGGAAAAGTCTATCACTTTTAAAAATTCGCTGGTGACTAGCTTTAAGATATAAGTCGTGGGGTTCTAGTGAGAGGTCGCGACCCGTGGAGTTCAACCATGTTTGATGAGAGACAGTTATTCACTTCAAGTAGTAAATGTTTACGCGATATTATGCGGGAATTGGTTGAAGTTACACATATACACCATTGAAGACTCGGTAGGTGGTTCAGATAGTAACCATTCACGCGTGATATTGAAGGTTCTGAATTCGATTCCTTGTGGCTCAATCGTGGATGTGCACACCTGAGAATTCCTATTGAAGGACGAGGCATCTATTCAGTGCATACTAATTTTCACTGATGGTCCAGATGAAATCAATTCGTTAATTCAAAAATATCAAAAAAATATCTGTTAATTTACGAATTAATTACTAGTAGTTGTACAGTACATAAAATAACCAATAATCAAAGCCATCATTATTTACATACCAAACTCTTCAGGAAAAGTTATTTGAAGAACCAAATAATCATTAGTTATTTGTACGACTTTTGTTTCCACAGAAGAACCGTTCAATTTTTCACTAATCTCTTGACTAATTAAGTCAACATTTGGATTTTGGACTGGTAAAGGCGCTGTAAACATAATTTTGCATGATACATTAATTACAGAATACATTATTTTACAGTCTTTTAAGTTGAGTGTAATGCTATACTACTGATATTGTAAATAATACGAATCAAATGTGTTCGTTTCAGTGAGTTGTTTACTCAGGTAAGTGATTACCAAAAACATATCAAGTAAAGTTTTGAAGGAATGATTAATTTCTTGGAAGTGTTTGTACAGAATCCAGATTGAATTCTTCAAAGTTTAGAATTTTATTCAATGCTAAATATTGGCAACTAACACATGATCTTACTCTAAGCTTCTGGAGTTGATTTCACTTCATAATGGAAATTTACTTCTATTGAATAGCTTTACACAAACAATCTATAAGTTATTAGTAACTAAATTATCATTTGACCTGCCTTTTGTGAAGCGAGTGAAGAGAATACTGATTAAATAGACAGATAATGATGATTTCAATAAATGAACTGACCAATGAATTTCTGCTTACCAGGCAATTAATAATATTTAATAGTTGAGATCATGAGTTAACTGAAGCTAGACCACTATGGAAAACCTGGAAGCACTAGACCTCCGTATCGTCCTAGTATGGGACTCCTCAGCAGTTCATGATGGTCTAGCTTCCTTTAGCTAATGATCTCAACTATTAAATTACTATAATATCCACAAAACCCCTCTCTAATTAACAATGTGTTTTTATTATATATAGATGGTTTTTAAAACATATCTCCAAGTTGCTTAATTTATGTACTAAAATTAGAAATGAAGAGGACAATTTTTCATATAACTGGATATTGACATCACGTTTCACTCTTTCTCTCTCTCTCTCTCTCTCACTCAAAACAATTATCCTAGATCTGTTACGTCGAACTTCCTAAAAACTAACTTGATAAGAGAATGCACTTGTCATTTTTATATTAATAAACATTGAAATCACATCACTTACATGTACACGAATAAAATAAGCACAGCTTATACTGTGTAGCAGCCGTTGGTATAGTGATTGTTTGGATCTCAGCTATTGGTATAATTGATGAGTTCACTAGAGCTGAATGATCTATGACCTATGAAGTGAAATAAGAAATTACTTATTTATGAATAAACATAGTCATGTAGGGATTGATGAATAAAAAACAATAGTATGACAGTAATTCATTGATAACACTAAATAGAAGTAAGCTTTATCATGAAATAACTGAATTGGGAAATGTAAACCCTTGAATTTCAACCTGGGGATATAATAGTAATGGGTTAACCTATCAAAACCTAAAGGTCCCGAGTCTGATCCCTAGTTTTCCGCTGCTTAGTTATTTTCAACTGGAACGAACTAATTATTTAGTATTTACGGGTTTCTATTAGTTCCTCACATGAAATAGTTCAGTTGGTCATAAAAATTCTAGGACATGGCATATATACACATCTGTTGAAGTTATCACACCATATTTCGAGAGTCATCTTAAACCATCAAGAAAAATGCAAGAGTAGTAGAAGTATTAGTAACAATATTAGTGGTGGTAGAAAATATCATGCACAAACAATACTATTTGAGGAGAAAGGGTGAAATAGAGGAACAGAAATAATAAGATACTTGTAAAATTTAAGATCCAGGGGAAGATACAGATTGAATATTGTTGGGGACGTTAGATCCCCAAAACTTATATTTTGTAATTTTATCTTTGTGGAGCTTGTATGCAGATGTATGCTTGGGCATTTCTTACCACCCTAGCACATAGTCGATTGACAAACTTATCGAGTAAATGTTTAAAAACTTCCATGGCAATATCGGTCATATATATTTTGTATAAATACGCTTGATTTGTGTGCTTGATGAACCTGGTATCTTCTGGTTGTCTGTAGAATACACTTTCTACATCTTACCAAGACTTCTGGATCGAGTTAGCTGAGCCGGGGACAACGGACCAGTATACCTATCGAGTCTCTGAATCCTTGGTTCTTCGTTCCGTTCCGAATAAGACAAATCAGTAGTAGCATTCAAGTGTAACGAACATAACAAATATGTCTACGGTAGTGGTGGATCCCGAGTCATGTCATCGAACGTCTTTAACGAGTGTTATTATGATCGTCCGGATCACAGTTAGGTTATCTGCATCTACTTATGCTACGTTGTCTACAAGTCAGCGACTTCATAGAATGATTATGCACTTTTTTGGGTGTGTCTAACTTTATTTTAACTCTCTAATTACAAGTTATCATTCAGCGTCAGGCGATCAACTTGTTATCTCTAAAAAAATGTCTATGATGAAGTTCAATAAGAATAAGGAGAAACAGAATAAATTCTTTAAAAGAAATCATTTGAAATGATTCAATTAATACATTAAAAATTGAAAAATATTCAATTAATTTAAGGTTTACTTCATACACACAATAATAATCATACAACAATTACATCTATGGTACACATACTTGTTTCTCTGAATTCGCATTTGATTTAATTGATACCAAATAGGATGTTGGTTTGATATTTTGAGTTGTTGGTAATTTAAACTTGTATTTGATAAAGAAGCACATAAACGTACAACAGCTGTTGGTTGAGAAATTATACTTCGAAGTTCAAGTAAGAAAAACTTCAGTGAAATTTGTAAAATAAAAAAACAAAAAAAAAACAATACGACTCTAGACTGCTCGTACGGGTTAGTGCGTCATTGGTCCGGTCGTTCCGTCACTGTTCCCTAATTGGCAGTATCATCACGTCATATATTGATAGTGGCCTAAGGCTACAAAATATAACAGAAACATTCCGTAGGTTACAGTTTAATACAAAATATTTATAATAATATAAATATGTAAAATTCATTTTCCCATAAAAACTCAAATTAAAATAGTTTACATGGATACAATTCGAATCGATTTGTAAATTACCAATTATGTTTCCAGCCATTCACCACAAAGTGAATTGATGATATCATTTAAAGTCTTTTAAAAATTATTTATGTTTAATGTTATTAAAATGAAATAAATTTAATTAGAACTACCATTCATAAATATTTTTCAAAACCCTCCCTTAAAAATATAAAACCATTCAGTTAATTTGTGACCTGAAAATATGTTATTACAAAATATTCAAAGATTGTTGGATTTCATAGTCTACGTATAGAACTGATAAAAGTTAAACAATCACTGATAACCATGAAGTACTAGACACTTGTTTCGTCCAAGTATAGGACTCTTCAATAGTACTCATTCATAACCCCATTGGAGATTGGATTTAGATATGAAAATCATTAGATACTGGCTCACTGATACAAAGGTTAAACGATAGTCGCGGGATTTAAGGCTCCTAGATTTGATTATCACTGGGATAACTCTTGGTTTTTAATAGTCGTCTAACTTGAATTAGTCCTTCACGTTAATTATAGGAAATGTATCCCAAATTGACATAATCGGTTTTACTGTTAGAATAGATATTGTCATACATTTTATTGGATTATTTAAATGGTTCACAATTCTGTCCAAAAAAAGCAACGCTTTCCTAATGTTTGTTCCTAAGGAAATCGAATGTTTTAGATGGTAGTTGGAGGTAGTCAACAGGAAACCCTGGACCCGGGTTTCGTGCTACTTGGCACAAAAGTGACGCACGAGCGCGATTTGGAAGTGCCGGGTTTCGAACCCGGGTCCTCTCGCATGTAAAGCGAGCGCATTACCACTGAGCTGTTGTTTACTGTTGTTTACTACTACTCAAAAAATCATCATCAGTTATTTACCGGAATAAGATTGATGCATAAAAGTTTTTTCATTTCTGTCAACCCGATAAACTGATTCCAAAGTTTTACTTCTGAAGAAGAAACGGGAAGAAATGATGGGAAAAATTAACTTTAAAAAATTACAATACAAATACTTGAATAAACGTTTGTATATACAAATATAGATAACAGTGATTTGATATCATTTTGGAGTTATTCAAATAATCAAATTGTTTATCTCCTGAAAGAATTAATTCTCAGATTTCAAACAAGTAATTTTCTTAATATGTAATCATTAGATTGAATGAATGACCGGATAATTAATAATTGTAGCTATTATTTAATTACATATTGTTCATTTCACATATTATGCACTAACGGCGGGACTATAACTTATGGACGAGCCAGTCAGAAGAGTTTGAGGGATTTCAAGGTCACGGCACCAATTTCAGTACTTGATGCTCACTGTATGATCGGTTCACAGCGGATTTTAGAGAAAATATGATAGCAACTGGGACTACTAAGAAATTCATTTGTTTGTGATTGTGGTAATCAAATGACTTCTGGACTTTGTGCAGACTACCTTAATGGTGTTGTCTTTCAAAGTAATATTTGTTGGAGGAAGAAGTCTGCTAGAATAGTAATTTTTCGCTCGATCCAGATTAAGACTATGGCAAATTATGACAGTTGTTGCGAACTGGATAAAAAAGCACCAATAACACTGGCTGCAGCCGGGTACTACAATATATACAGATGATTGGAGAGCGTACAGATGTTTCCATAGACTTGGTTATGTGCATCGTGTCATTACCCACAAATAGCATTATGTGGACCCAACAACCGAAGTGCACACAAACAATATTGAAGCTATATGGTCGAGGCTGAAATGGTTTTTGTCACCTTATCATGGCTCCAGAGGCCGACTATTATGAAGCCATATGCGTGATTTCCTCTACCGCATGCATTACGATTTTAGAACCTCTGAACCTCTTTCTAACCTTGACAAGTTTTTGAAGCATGTAAAGGAAGTGTGTCCATTTTAATTCTTTGGTTTCATACAGTATATTTTTACCCTATACTAACTTTTTCCTGATGAGCTAATATTTCTCAAGGTCACTAAATATTCGTTCAAAAGTCGTCCATAAATTACAGTCTCGCCATCAAATCTCGTAAATAATATATGCTTTATTGTCGATAAAAGAAGAAAATATATTTACCAGAGAATGAATCTACTATTTAGTGTATTATGTCATTGTGCTGATTATGAATTTCATTTCAATCCTTTTTACAGGAGTGTTTTAAAGGCTGATGTGAACGTACAAATTAAATACAATGGTTGATTGCAACTTTGAGAAAATTTGTATCTAGGGTAAATGCCACTGTTTATTTACAGACCCAAGTAACCGTGAATTACAGAGAAAAATTGATTTAATTGTTTGGGTTCAATCGTTTAACGCATAGTAAGTTGTCCAACAAGGTTTTAATTCGACCACGTAGCGCGATGAATGAGAATTTGGAGTAAAACTTTTCCGGCTAACTGAACCGATGGCCTCAAGTGATGATTTTCAACTTAACCGCTTCCAATTAACGGTTAGAAGCACTTAATTAGTCTGTATATATCATTTTAAGAAAGAGTTACACCATATATAAATAACATATTTGAAATGTAGTTCGTTGAGATTTAGATCCCAAGGTTGTTAAATTTACACTAAATGATGAAAACTCGAAATGCATTAAAAATGTTCTAGCCAAGCTCATCTAACCTAGGTACATACTGTTTCTTTCAATTTATGCTCTTTACAGACTTTAAGACACCATTTACAAACAGACTTTAACTGAATGATATATGCACTACGTCGGGTAAGGCAATTAATTAACGATAGCGGCGGAAGATAGTTTTGCAATATCTAGGGTTGCATGAAGATAAGCACTTAGACCATTGGAAACCGGCTTAAAGATTTAAAGGCTAAATGCTCTCCGGTAGTCCATTAAGTCCTGGGTTCTATCCCCGGAGAGGTCATAGATCCAGACTGCTGTGGAGTTCATACTAGGATGAAACAGCTGTCTAATGATTCCAAGTTTTTCAACAGTTGTCCAACTAGGGTCAGTCCATGAACTAAACCGGAAAATTCAGTAATCTCCACAAACCGTCTATACTAATAATTAATTTAACGTTAAGGTTATTGAGAGTTATCTGAGTAATATAATCATAATTAAAACAAAATACATATAATTTGATACACCTACTTACCTTCCATATGGTGCATCAACTATGAAACTGATGTTCACAGAACCTAAAGTTCGCAAGAAAATGATTATAATATTTATATTCATTATTACCTGTATATGATACACTTCGTTTACACATGATGTAACCTTTGTCTGATGTAGGAGAAAGTAGACCAATACCATAGCTAAAACAGGAGAGAGTGGGAAATAAAGCTGAAATTAGGTAAGAGGAAACAAGCATTATTAATAAGTAATTGATATCTGTCACTTATATCTTGAATAAAGTCACCTAACTAAGAAATTAAACAAACATTCTACTGTAATCGACTTTTAATGTTTACAAACGATCAGTTTTATATCTGATGATCAAAAGTCTTGGATAATTTTTAATCTCTGCTTAACTTATGCACGGGTTATTCTGTGCCATATATGAAACATCTATTAAGATTTCTCTGGTCGCTTTGGAATTTCCAAAGTTATTTATTGCAATAGGATGGTAATAATTTATCAGACGTACTTCAATTTCGATATCACATAAGGAATATAATTATTCAACTGAGATTCTCAGTACTAATTCGTCTGATAAATAGTATTTGTTGGAGGAAATACTTGATACAATATATACTATTAAATCCAAATCACATATTTACATTATATTTCCTTTATTGGTCAGCATAATCGATGAAAAAGAGTTGAAGCAGAACAGTGTGGTTTCATGATATTCTGTAAATTCTGTTCAGTTGCTTACGGTTTTGTTATTATTAAAAAATAACTTTGAATTAGTTGGTCAACTAATAATCAATACAAATGATAAGCAAATTTAGAAAACATGTAGAGATTTAGACTGGAACCATAGTGTAGATAACATGAACTTCACAAGTATGTACTTTTACACGAAACAAGGATACTACTTGGATTATTTGTTAGTAGTACATTTCATGTGAAATAAGTTTTCCAGGAAAATGAAAACAACGATCTAATATAAACTAATCCATTAACAACGTCAGTGAAAAGATTGTTAACTTACTACAAGTCACTGTTTGGTAGCTGAGGTTCACAATTTCCTGGACCATCGTATATCCTTTGTTTCATGGTTAAGAAAGCAAAACATAGTAGAAATATTGCACTAGAGTTAATAATATAAGTTGAATCTGATCAAAACGGTCAGTATTTGTGTGGTTTACTTCATGTAACAGCAGTACATTGTTTCAGTAAAGAAAATTCTAGGGAGGATTTCACCAACAAGTTGGTTGTAGTTCAGATATCTTTCTCTATACTTGTAAGAACCTATTGTTAGCTGACTAAAGTGTTTTTTAGACAGCTGATTGTCATAAATGAATTCTTGAGTGGCTTTAGGCTAAACCACAACAAGAAATCTGAAATCTCTGAACAGCCTTTTTGTCCCAGTATAGGATGACGCAGAAGTGTGCGTTCAGGATCCTGTACGCAAACGTTTAAATTCCTTACCACCGAAGCGGTGTCAGACGGTGTTAATGTCTAAGTTCAATCGATCCTTGATTTTGCGCAACCTTTCATTCATTATCTGAGGCGGATAAATGTATTACACGCAACACGGATTGGATAGCACTGGTCACGGCTTCCCATTAGAACTGCAGGAAACTCACCTTGAAGCTAGCCACTAGTGAGCCCTCAAATGCCTTGGTACGGCCGAGGGTGGGGAGAGTTTGCCATCCCACTCAAGATGCTCTCACATGGCCACGTTCATACTGCCTTGAAAGTCCTATTCACTGCCTTCTCGCAGTGGTGGTATTGTTTACGAAATTGAGAGAACGAAAGGTGAATGTCCGGCACTTTAGCCAGGTTGGTTGATATGGAGGATCCACTTAGGGGAGTTGCAAAACCCTGATTCCAAACCAATGATTCACGTGGGCTCCAGGATTCTAAGGAAACAACTGCCGTATGAACCGATCGTTGATCATCGTTTACCGTGGGACTACATCTCCTAACATTACTCCACCACCTTGTCCATTAGACCTTTAGGTCGAGGGCTTTGGGTGTGGCCACCTACGGTTTGGGCGCCCGGACAGTTCTCTAACCCTCACACAAAGCAAATGATTTGTGTGGCGCATATATATTTTGTACTTCCTTGTATCAATGTTTATGTGGTTAAATAAATAAAATCATGAATATCAGTATGGAGATTTTAGTAGTGTTAAAGAATTCCGAACTAGGACGAAAGCTATCCAGTGCTTACAGGTTTTCAATAGTGGACTAACTTGGATCGATTCCTGAATTCAACCGTGCAATTACTACAATCTCCACAAATTCCCATAGTGCTGATTATGTTTTGTTTTCGCGATAAAGCTATCTTCATTATTTTAAGTATAAAAACAACATTCTTTATTGCTTATCAGCAAAAATGGACAGTGCCTAGAGTTGGAATCCAGGACTCGCGTTTCATTTTATTTGGGACTGGTCAGCTAGATGTGCCTGCATCCCAGAGTTGATACTCACACTGGGACTCGCACCCAGTACCAGTAACTTCAAGCGCCATCGCGTTATCCATTCAGCTACTGAGCCCATTTTTGCTTATAAAGCTTGTAACTTAAGGCAATATCGAGGCAGTCCGCACAGGATGCACATATGGTAACAAGGGACTGATCAATTGCAGTCCTAAACAACAATGAAATGATATAAGCAAACAATGCCAAGTGAATTATTCTTTATTGTTGCTTATAACAAAGTTTACTAATTAATGAAAAGATATTGCAAAACAATGATATTCTACTTGACTAAAGGAAATAGATATCAGCACATATGTGATAAACTCCCCTAAGAATGTCAGTATATCATCAAATATTTATGGCTTTAACAATTAATTTCAAAAAAGGTAGACTGATCTAATGTCCATAACTTCAAACATTTATTTGAACATTAAGTTTGCAAAATATTTTTCTATAAGTAACAATTAAGCTTCATTAATAATTGTCAACATGAAAGTTTAGATAATAAGTAGTTTTAAAAATAGACTAGTAATATGCCAATGTATTAGTTTACATTACAGCACTAAATACTAAGTAATTTCTTTAAAAATATACACAATATGAAAGTATTAATAAATTATATACGATTGAATGATTTCATCTTCAGATGGTGGTTGGAGGTAGTCAAAAACCACCATCCGATCTCAACATAGTGCACGCAATGTTGAGTCACATAGACTGGTGGCCACATTGTAACTTTGGTTGATAGGATTCTATCTGACATCGATCACCACCCAGTGATCAATCAATTGTAAAGATTTCATCTTTACAATGTCTTTTAAAAGATATGAGAAACGGATGACATGATCATTGTTAATTATTATCACAAATAAATTTAAAACATACTTAAAACACATAATTGACTACATTGGTTTATCTAACAAAGTCAAATACAAATATCAATCTATAATGAAATTACCTAATGATACTTTGTGGTCTGCCAACTGTGAAAACATCTAAATTCGAACTAAATCGACTAGTGAAAATTGTTCCATTCAATCCAATAACTGAGCCTAATATAAACATGTATAATATAAATTATATGATAGATAATACATATATTAGAAACTTCAGTTTTATTAACAACTGAGTAAAATAATATTGAGAAAAATTTCAATGTAAAAAGGTATTTACTATCATTATTAGTCAATGAAATTAAATAGACATTAAAGATAGTATGGTGTGTGCTACTGATGTTGACAGATCTAAGTAGTATGTATCATGAATCGAAAATGAAATGCCTGGAGGCAGAAGGTTAAGAAAATCAAAGAGAAGAGGACGAGAACAAAGAATGAATGTCGTGGAAACGAAAGAACAGTCAAGTCTGAGACAATTAATTGATATTTTCTAAATGAAGTATTTACTGCATAGTTCTCAGATTTTACTATGATGTTCTATAATTTTGTATTCGAATACATTCGATTGTCCCCATTTCTGTTCTCGTTCGCTACAATAGACTGTACGAAACAAAATTTCATGATGTTTAAAGATATCTAGATACATAATACATCAATAAAACTATATTTATTGTAAAGTCCGAACATTTTATAAATGAATAAACTGTTAAGGTATACCTATTTGATTTGTAAATACATTACCTGGTGAAGCATAGATAGGTGATACCTTCTCAATAGTAGGAGTTACTGATGATTTAATCTGAAAATTAATAATGGAAAATGAAACATAGTGACAGACAATAAAAACCCAGTTTAAAATGATCATATAAGTTGAGACTTAAAACATTATAGGGAAAAAAATGTTTGATAAATATTCAAAGACATATATTCTAATAAAAGAAACTAATTAAAAAGTTGTACACGACAAATTTCGTTATGAAACAAGATCAGAGAAGAGGTCAAGGTATAGTATATACCCGGATGGCCTACTTGAGCTACCTGTTCTATCCATCTAGATATTTCAACAAGCTTTCTGTTTCCTTATTTGTTTTAACAGATCATGACGTCAATTAATTGCATAACCTATTAAGGTGCGTGTATGAAAAGCTTACGACCATTCGCTGTACAAGTTACAAAAATATACAATCGGAGACATCGTGATGACTGACAATGTGCATTGAAAAGAATGAATATTATTCAGATGTCGACTTCTGAAATACTAATATCGAACTGGCGACTACCCAATATCGATCAAGAAATAAGAAACGGGTACTTGATAAATTATTTTGCGCTGAGAATTCTATATTGTACCAAAAATATAATATTGAATAAAATTAATAAATAAATAAACATATAAAGTATTGCTTAGAGTTACTGAGTAAACTTGGAAATATAACCACGTATACAACTCTTAATAAAACCTAAATATTATCTAGTCACGTATATATTTAAGTAATACCCCATTCATTCAAGTCTAATCTTTTCTGTCTACAACTCTTATGGTCTGTTTTTTTTGTGAGTTTGAACTATGAGCTTCTTTTTGACCTGTTGTTGTATGATTTGTTGAGTTTGATCTTTCTTTCATGGAGTCAGAACTATCATTGGTTAACATATTTCATATTGGTTATCAAGTTACAACTTTAGGATTATTTATGGAAAGTAAGAGAATAGTTCCATTGATAAGTTAAACTAATTTAAATCATTTTTTCAGCACACTTGTAATTTTAACAGTTGAAATCATAAATCGATTGAAGCCAAACCATCATGGAAAACCTGAAAGCACCGAACGGCCGCTTCGTCCTATTGTGCGACTCTTCAGCAGTGCGCATACATGGTGGTCTAGCTTCAATTGATTAATGATCTCAACTATTGAAGTTGCTATAATATCCACAAAAACCCCTTCTGACACTTGTAATTGTTTAGGAAATAAAACACTACAAATTATGTAAATTCTTTCCAACTGTGATTATCCATGTTATACATTGAATAAAGATATCCGAATCTGTTAATAATAATACTAAATTATTGTCTTTGAATGGATATATTAACTAAGCAATACGTTTCTTGTGACCATCAGTTATATAATTTTGAATAGCATGACATTTTGTTATTTATTTTATACGACAAAGTTCGCAGTAGACTGGTTAGACAATAACACCATTGGATGACGGTTCAGTGGTCTAAAGGTTAAGTGTTGGCGCGCGAGCCCGAATGCCCTGGGTTCGAATCCCTTATCGCGGATGCTCACTGCATAGGAGTCCCACAATAGGACAAAACGGCTGTTCGGTGCTCCCAGGTTTTCAATGATGGTATAACATCGGTCGGTTCATGATCTCTATCAAAAACTTGATAATCCCCACAACTTCATACCACCAATTTTGTTCGCTAAGAATCCACCAATATATAGAGTTTCTTTGATTAATTCATAATCTAATTATTGTGAAACTGTTTGTTTAAATTTAAACAAAAGTTCTTTTAAGGTAACAGATTGAATCGTAGATCGTAGACTCATTTATTTTAGTTAACCTAACTTGAGATGTTCTGATAATGAATTTCAGATAACAAATAACATATATTCTCAAGCCGTTGGATGCCGGCTCAGTGGTCTACAGGCTAAGCGTTTACGCGTGAAACTGAAGGACTTTAATTTGATTACCTATAATATGGTCATCGGTTCCTACTGCTAAGAAACCCCATACAAGAACAAAACAGACATCAAGTGCTTAGTGGTTTTCAAAAGTTTTTTAATATATATCGATCCATTATTTCAATGAAATTAAGCAATCTTCACAACTTGATACTGATGGGTTCATTCTAATTACTGAATACAAAATAATAAACTTCATAATCAAAAGAAAACAATACTTAAATATCATAAAAATGAAGACAATTACTAACTGTTAAAGTGCATGTATATCCATAACACATTCTTGCATTTGGTATTAATATTCCGGAAACACTAACCATAACTGTATAAGTATCTTCTGGAAGTTTTCTGTAAATTGAATTTTATACAATGGACATACATTATAATAAATTTCAGTTAGATTGATTAGTTGTACTATAACTTTCATGTAGGTTAGAGTGATAATATTTTGAGCAAAAACTTTTCGTTTAAATTTGCCAAGTTTTAAATAATACTGTAGTGAAGGAGAACTCAAGTTATATACTACTTATTTCGATTTAAGTTACACACACCACAATACTTTTGTCTAGTATATCAAACATTATTCAACACTGAACTACCCATTTAACGGTACCGTTTTGATGTTATTGATTTTCAAATGTCTAAAGACTTCTGAATCATTACAACTGAAAGATATTTTTTGTTTTTTTAAAGTCTATTTACTTGAATTAAGAATAAGTTTCTTCTCTCATTCGTGATAATTTCAAAGAATATTTTTCACTTCAGTTTAATAAGCAAGTAAAAAATATGGTCGATTTCTTTCAAGTAATGTGAGTTATGGTCTTAAGAGCATTGTACAAGACTGCTTCATAGGATTAAGATTTAACTGGTGGAGGATTTATTAATTTTATTGAAGAATTAAGATGTTTTCTTCAGTTATAAACGTCTTATTCAATAGCACTTCATTTAATTAATACATAAGTAGGATCCGTTTAGTATCTTTTGATAAGTTTCCTATTTTCAGTTCACTTGGTTTTCATTTCTTGTTGCGAACGAACAACTCAGGTAGGGAAGACCAATTTACTGTTTAATGCAAAATTACACGCCTTCATAAAATATGAAAACTATACATTAAATACATTATATGTATATCTTCCGTCAGTTTTCCTTTACATGCTTCATGATTCTTTTAATTCTGTTGTTATTAAAAATGATTTTTGTCAACATTCCTGTTCTTTTCAATTTGATCTTCTTAATCTTGTCAGACAATCTGCTTCTGATTGGTGCTATATACTACTTATTTCTGTCAACATAAGTAGCATGCAGTACATTTCTACACCTTTACGAGTAAATCATACCTTTATCTATTTGAGTGAAACATCGAAAAGTTTCACAGACACTTGGATATATATATATATATGTATATATCAGACCTATATTTGACTTTATTGGGAATCCTTGCTTAACTTCTTTTACATATGAGACTTGTGCTGTTCGTACGATATGGTAGAGGTCTACATTTAGCTTGTCGTACACTTCGGAAATTCATTACTATATGTGAAGTTAATAGGGTGAGAAAATGTACGATGTAAATCTACAATGAAGAATATTTTATATTCCAGCATTTATTAGCTTCTTATCTAGTTAATTAATGTAAATGAGTATACATTGTGCTTTGTAATTAACTTAGTTCAACTTTCTGCTTGATGTAACTTTGGAAAATTAGTATACTCTTTACCATTACTGACCCTTAATTTTTGAAATTGATGTCAACTGTCTTGTTTGGAAAGGCGTTGTAAACTATTCAGCTCTGTGAATATTAGTTTACCAGGAGTTACTAAAAACTTTCAGTGAAAACTGTTACCCAAATAGAACAGACTAAGAAAATTAAATTAAACCAGATGGCAAGACATGTCAGAAGTAATACACTAAGATTGTGAAACGTGGCCTTTAGAAAGAGGGTAACTGTATGTTACTATCATTCAATCATAGTTACCTTGTGAGCATTGCTCATATACTACTACTACTACTACTACTATACGGTTCGGAAAATTACCGTAATTAATGGTTGAGAACATACTACAGAATCTGCCAGAATCGCGTGAAGCATTAACTCTGTGTTGTTGCTGAGATATTGCTTAAAGTTTTTCTGTCTTTTTATTTTGTAAATTCATTCTTCTTTTCATATTATAATGTCGCTATCTAATGTTTTCAGCTACAATTGATCCTATTACTACTTTGTCATGATAATCAGGTGTGGCAACTTGGGTCAACATACCTATAAACCGGGTTCTGTGTTGCTTATTTAAAACTAGTTAATTTAGAGGTGAGTCTTTTGTATATATGAAGTTTGTATTTTCCCGCACTTTCATTAAAGTTTTACCCTTAAAAGCAAGTTAGCTAGTGATTCTTTATCGAACGGTAAATGAAATAATATAACCAATAGTTTAAAATAAAGTATCTGAATATAACTAACGGTGAAGAAAATTTAATCATACTGCCTCCTTCTTCAATTAATTCAGCTCTATAAGTTTGCCAGGCATTTTTGAGTAGTACACGATTCCCAGAGTTAGAATTCGATCCAGGTAATACAAATGCACTTTGTTCAAATCCTTTAGTAAATGATGAAAGAGGACATTGAAATATTCACAAAATGTTTTTAGTAGGAATGAACATGCATTTGAGTTTATTGAAAAGATTGGTAAATTAAGATATTTGTAAGAGTGTATATTCTAACAGTATTGGTACTTAGGATTACAATTGATATCTATCTATTTGAATATAGTCTGACTGAGCTATTGACTCAATATTGCACGTGGCTACATGTTGAAAATGTTTAGTAAACTTAAGTCCAAGTGTTTAGAAATAGTGTATCTCGTTCCTTGCTAATTAGATCAGGTTGTCCACAAGTCATTAGAGATTAGTCAAACGGAATTCAAAATATCAATAATCGAAAAACGTATCGTTACGAATAGCAAACATTTTAATATCCATTGGATATATCGAGAACGATCATGAAAGCTAAGATGAACTAGACTATTAGTTAATTTGTAGTTTAGGTAGTGGACACTTACAACTAAACAGATTCAATGCTACAATTTCAAGTTTCAAAGTGAACAAGGAATTGTTGAAATAGTAATTAGTCTTTCAGATGTTTTATCTATTAATCAACCTACAATACATAACAAATATCAGTATTCAAAGTAATTAGTGAATAACTAGTTAACTCTCTTAATTACTAAATTCTCAGAAATGGCATTTCAGAGTTTGATAAGCTTTCTTACTGAACGCTAAATTCGATTCATAAGCTCTTCTAGTAACCCCCAGGCTAAATCTACACAGAAACTTAAACACGACAGAAAAGGCGCGAAATTTTGAAGGAACCCTTTACTCCAAAGGTTCGTTCGTGTACAAAAAATCTAGGGTTTTTATAGTATTTTAGATGGCCTTGGGTTTCCGGAAAATTCCGGAACACTACTAGACATAGTAACAGTATGGGTAACCATCCAATCAAGAACTCGATATGTGACTCTTCACTTTCTATAGGTTTCTGGCAAACCTTCTAGTGAATGCTGATTTGATAAGATGCTTCTCAATGTTTTCAGAGCCTTTTCTGGGTCTTCTCAACAAAGTTAATCACAATTAGTTATATAATTGAATTTAGTAGTCAACTGGAGCCAGACCACCATGAAAACTGTGAGCGGAGGTTTCATCTTAGTATGGGACTCCTCGGCAGTGCACATCCACAATCCCGCATCGCGAGATTCAAACCCAGGACCTGTTGGTTTCGCATGCGAACGCTTAACCTCTAGACCACCGAGCCGGTATCCAACGACGTTAATGTCTAACTTCAACCAATCCATGAAATCGCGCTACCGTTATATATTTACTTATAAGGAGAGTTTTGGAGAAAGTTTTATAGGACATTCAATGTCAACTTAAAAAATGCCAGGTCTCGCTGCTTACTCTATTTTCATACATATTATTGTTATATTGTGTTATATATCATTGAATGGTATATATATAAAATATTTGCGTTTCATTCTAAGGGATTAGGGAAATGACTTAAATAATTTTATGTTACGTAATTTAGGTTCTAAATAAAGAACTGGAAGTCATTGACCAATATGTACTTGATAAATTAGTTCCAGAAAGTTTCATTGATACATGAAAAAAAACACGAATATTTAAGTCAAATGTTCGAAGAATATGAACAATTCATTATAGATTTCGATAATCCAATTTGAAGACGAAGGTTACTGGAATTATGTAATATATTTGCGCAATACATTTCGAACAATCTGATCATACATAATGTACTTGATAAGACATTTTGTATATGAGAACTAAAAGGTCAACTAGACAGATTAAAGGTAAGTCATAACAAAGAAAAATGAAGTACACAAAAACAATGTGATAACCACTATGAATAAAAAATTAGTATTACCAGAGTAGGTGAAGGGTTAGAACAAATTGTTTCTGAACATATTAAGGGGGTTTCAGTTTCAGAACGACAATGAGTATAGTAATGAGTTCATATGTTCATATAATACTAATAAATGATTAGTAAAATTGTTTCATAAAGAAACAATCATTTAATTTCTATCAAGTACTCTTAACTCATTCTATGCATTGTAGGCAAAGATGGATGGTGGCTGGCAGTAGAGTCAAAAACGAGCGTTTCGTCCTATTTGGGACTAGTCAACTGTTTATACCTGCATTCCAGAGTTAATGTTCACTCCAGGATTCGAACCAAATACCGATCGCGTCCTAGATTCCACTGCTAGCGATTATCCATTTTTGCTTATAATACTTGTGACTTAAAACAATATCGAGGCGATCTGAACAGAATGCACATATACCAATAAGACACTGATCAATTTCGGTCCTAAACATTAATGGGAAGATTCAAATAAACAATACGAAAAGAATTTATTCTATGCGTGTTTCACTCCGAAATGAATATTTTATGAAACTTAGTGAATTACTTAAGAAATAATAGAATCGTGTATAAACTAATCAACGACTTACCACATCCAAAAATCATAATAGCTGAACCACCTTCTGTGCTGGCTTCACTAGGAGTTATATAATTAACTGCTGGGCATGATCTTTGCCCATCTGACAGATAAACTATATTATATTGAAAACATACAAAAATTCATTGTAATTGAATAATCAGATAAAACAAGACAACTAATTAATCTTCAGAACCCTTTTAAAACTTGAAAGCCTGTTGGTATATTTAAAAAGATAATTTATTGGTAGTTATTCACATGACACAACTTTGAATAATGATTTATCACTTCCTATCAATTATCTACTACATATGAAGTTAGCATTATGAAGTTGGGGAGATTATTGAATTGGATTGAAATTACGAACAGATCTAATTGAGACAGCCAACTCGGTTCATGATCACGGAAAAATTCAACAATTTGCATATGCACATACTGACACTTATCATGTGCTCACAATGTTCTTGTGAGAAGCTGTGACCAGTGAACATTTAACAATGTCGAATGTGATGAAGGTATCCACGGCGTACATGATACAACAGATTGATTGAAGTTAGACATATACATTATGAGATGTAAACTTAGTGGTCTAGAGGTCAGCTGTTTGCGTGCGAGACCAAAGGTCTTCAGTACGTGAGTGTAAAATGTTAAGGAGTCTCAAAATACTACGTAAAACTGTCTAGTACTTCTTGGTTTTCAGTGCTTATCTAACTTAGATCACTATGTGATCTCAATTAAAATTACTTATAAAATACTCGATACTGTCTTGTAAGATGATTTGGTTATTTATTTAGTGTTTATTATCTTAATAAGTAAATGTTAAGCTTCATGTTTTCATAAAGGTAACACTACACTACTAGAAAACCAAATATAATTTATTGTTGATATTCAATTTATTTAAGTCAATCAACTGAATGCACATATTTTGAAAAGAATGTTTTCCTCAGAAGCTTGTGATTTAAGGCAATATCGAGGCAATCAGTACAGGATGTACATATACCAATGAGAAACGGATCAACTGAAGTCCCAAACATCGATGGGAAGATTCAAGTAAACAATATCAAGTGAATTTAAATTTCACTCCATTGAGCAAGCAAGTGTCTATCAGGACTCAGTAACTAAGTGGAAAACGTGAAGGCGTTCGAGTCCCAGAGTAGACATGAACTATCGAATGTAGATACATTCAGCTGACAAGTCCTGGATTCCACTACCAACCATTATCTGTCTTTGCTTAGAATGCTTGTGACTTAAGACATTATCAATGCAATCTGTACAGAATGCACATATGCCAATAAGAGATTGAACAACTGAAGTCCTAAACATCAATGTGAAGATTAAAACAAACGATACAAATTGAAATTTTACTTAGACATTGTTTATACAATTCTATTTGATCATATTTTTAGTGTAGTAATTACTAAAACACTCTTCCAATTAACTTAAACTAATTTCATAGTGTTACTTATCCGAGAGAAAAAGCAAAACTTAACATAATAATTCACACTGATCAATCAATTCATTCGAAGTATTTAGATTAGTTTTACACTAATGAATAAAACTGTCATTTGAAATTTATTTATTTATTTTCAATGATAAAAATCATGATTGAATAAACACTTTGAGGGATCTATTCGTTTACAAACTATTGATGAGACAAAGACGTATAATGGCTAACAGTGGAATCAAGGACGCGCGTCCTGTCCTATTAAAGACTCTTCAGCTGGATGTACCTGCATCCAAGAGTTGATGTTCATTTCAAGACTCGATTGATGAAATAATTATATTTAATTTTCATTGTTATAGATTAGTGATATAATGACAGACAATTTTGAAGACTATTAGATCATTGAAATTAGATAATCAGTCTAGCGTTGTGGAATTTATCAAGTTTTTGATTGAGATCACGAACCGATCGACGATAGACCACCATTGGAAACCTGGAAGCACTAGACGGCCGTTTCGTCCTATTGTGGGACTCCGCAGAAATGCTCATCCCCGATCCCACTCGCGGGATCCTTTGAAAAATACAACCATTTGCAAGACTATTGTATTTTTTTAAGACAATAATAATGATAATAATTAATAATTCTAGCTATTCACCAACTACTTTACTATGAACCAGACTATAATATTACTAGTGCACTGTTGACTAAATCGAAATACGCAGTACGGGGATTAGAACTTGAGACTTAATAGTTAAAAGTCAAAAACCTTAACTACTGATTCATTTTTCACATATTATAATAATGAAAAGAAATCCATACAAGCTGTAAGTGAACTACCATGATGATTGAGTAATGAAAATGATAAAATACCATTTAAAAGGACATTTTATACAAGTGATTTATATAATATCAGAATGGTGGTTTGTGGAGTTAGTAGTAATTTAATAGTTGAATCCATGAATCGATTTAAACTAGGCCACCATTGAAAACCTGGAAGTACTGGATGGCCGTTCTGTCCTAGTATGGGACTCTTCATTAGTGTACATTCACGATCCCGCATGCAGGACTCGAACCCAGGACCTACAGTTTCGCGCGCGAACGCTCAACTTCTAGACCACCGAGCCGGCATTCAACAGTCTTAATGCCTAATTAGAGTAAGATGGTAGTCCAGTACTTCCAGGTAGTCCAGTTTAAATCGACTCATGAATCCACCTATTAGATCTATACAGCAATTAGTTATCCGAAATTGATCATCATTATTTAAAGTTATGAAAAACATTTGGATTACAACATCTTAGTAAACTAAGTTTTCAATCGAAATATTTTAATTCTTGCTGAAAATACAATTAGAAACCTGTAAATAATAGAAACTTAAAGTAGTGTTGCAAATTCACTGGAAAAAATTACTTATAGTTAGCAATAACACTTACCAAATAAACCGACAAGATAAGCTAAGCACGTCAATTTTCTTCTAGTTATCATTTTTGTATCCGACCCACCACAAGTCTTTGGCTTTATATATATATATATATATATATATATATATATATATATATATATATATATATATATATATATATATATATGAATACTATTTGAGTAATAATAAATGAACATATAAAAAAGAACAATAAGTAACCGGTAGAAACAGTCAACAAGTTAATAAACACATAGATCCCCCCACCGCTCACATACAGCCACACACCCATATAAAAAAACACAGTGAAATATAATTTTTATTCGTTAGTAAAATTTGAACTGTTCAACTTTTATCGTTTATCGAGAATCTATGCCAAAACAAGATATAGAAAAAAATGGTTGATTGTAGAGAGAAAAATGAAAGAAGACAAACAAACAAGAGAACAAATACTTTCATTCATTGTCATGGCAACTTATTTGATGTGTGAACAATCATACAAGTTGTCCTTGACATTTTACATTATTCTTTATTATTTTTTTAAAATGTAGATAATGAATACAATACGTTTTCTGAGATTGTACTATTTATCACTATTGTACTAATGATGCAATGAAATAATAAAATGTACAAAAAAACAGTATTTCATCAGTTAATTATCATTATTCTTTTCAGTATTGTTTATCAGCTTTTAATAAACTGTTTCCGTAATTGTAAATTTTTCTAGTTATATGGGCTAATCACTATCCTATTAATGATGTATACAAGGGATATTAGGTAAATTCTATGTCAAACTGTTATTTGCGGCTGATTGTTTCTTTCTTTTTTTTAAAGAAAATATAAGTTAAGACTGTACAGTAGTGTACATTCGCCGTAGACCATTAGGATTGGAAGCCAACGTAATTTCTTTGGAAAACTGAATTGAAAACCACTAGCTCATATTTTTAATTGTATCACACACTAACAAGTAGATTAAATGACATGAAAAGTTACAAGTAGCTTAGTTTGCCACATTGAGATCGATGTAATTATCACAGATACTATTTGATATTAATCACAATGTTCTGTCAATAAACTGAAGCTGAAAATATGAACAAGTGAATTTGTATGAGATGACTGGACCTTTCCTCATAGCATATAATATAACATTTTCGTATCATTGATTATTTATGGTAATTTAACGGATTGGTTTGGAAGAAAAATGGTTAAGAGTGATGAGAATTTCAGTTTCAACTTACATACACTATATAATGCAAGACTGTGTCGAAGAATAATTCACTAAACTATTTAGTGTAATTGTCAATCAGAGCTTAAAGGGTAAGATCAAAACAGAGATATTCAAGAGATTATATCATACTATATTTATAATTCAACATTAAAGTAATTTTCAGCTTATCATAATTAATATAACTCAATATGGTATCAAGGATTGTAATTCATGTTCCTGCAAGACCTCATTTTAGTTATCACACTGAAAAGAAATTACTGGGAGCTTTTATTTCCTCAAGCTAATTATTCATTTGTGGAGACTGTATGATTTTCATAGTTTAAATCATGTACTAGACCACCAATGAGAGTTTGGAAGTATTGTTCACCTCTTTCTTTCGAATATACGACTCAGCAATTCGCATTCACAACTCCGCATCCTGGAATCGAACCCAGGACCTAAACTTAACTCTCCAGACCAGCGAACCAGAATATAGTGGCATACATACCTAACTTCAGTCAATCGACGATACTGCACAACCATTTTCTATTACATGCGGTAGATAACTGTCTCACACCCGATATCATTGATTTCCGTTGGTCATGGCTTTTCTATGATCTTCATAAATCCAACTGCATTATTAAAAGTCATGTACTCACTAGTGACCAGACTAAAGATCAAACCCTCTGTGTTCTCGTTCGAAGCCGTGATTAGTGTAGTTCAAGTGTATCACATGTAAGAAAGTTATCCACCATAGACAACTTATGATAGTCACCCAATATCCTGGTTTCTAAGTGTAGTCGATTAAAAAATCAGTTCATGATTTAAAACTATGGAAAATATCTTTATCTACTAATGTAGAACTAATACAGTAAGATATAATCATCCCTAATAATTCACTTAGTATCTTTTTTACTTGAAACGGGCGTCCTGGATTACACTGCTAGCCACTATCCATCTTTGCTTATAATGCTTGTAAATTAAGGCAATATCGAGGTAATACGCGCAGTATCCACATATGCTAATAAGAGGCTGATCAGTTGCAGTCCTAAACATCAATGTGAAGGTTCAAGTAAAACAATATCCAGTGAATTAAACTTCACCTCATAGCACAAGCAAGTGGCTATCAGGACTCACTAGCTAAGTAGATAACGCGATGGCGTTTGAAGCGAACATTACTGGGTTCGAGTCCCAGAGTGAACATGAAGTCAAATGCAGGTACATCCAGCTGACTAGTCCCAAATAGAATGAAAGGCGCGTCCTTGATTCCACTGCTAGTAACCATCCATCTTTGCTTATAATCTCTGATAATGTTAAACTTAACATACAAGCATATACCTCCTAACAGTTTACTGAATTGTATAACCCTAAAGTATATATCCCAATGTAATAGTTACAAATCTTGTGATCTTCACTGCCCAAAACGTTTATTATTTTAAAAAAACATTGAAAGGAAATCGAACATTCATTTAGTTTATACATTTTCATACTCTGTTTTCGTTAAACAACTATATAAAAATATCATATATACGTATAACCTTTCTATAACAACGATTCATTGACAGTTTGTCAATCAACTGGTTTTATTTCATTCTAATTTGATTGTGTTTTTTTCTTTTTTTAACCATAAAAAAACATTTACACTATTCATGACTGTGCCAATTTCATAATAAAATTTAATGTACATAATCTTGATGTTTGACTTTTTAAAATAAGAAAGAAAGAAAAAAGAAGAAATTAAACAGTAATTTGAAATCAGCAGTTTGATCAACGTTTTTCAATGAAATTACTATTAATAAAACTTTAGTTAAAACATTAGAACTAATGATGGATGGTGGCTAACAGTGGAGTTCAATATGCGTGTTTCGTTCTACTTGAGATTTGTCAGCTTGGTGTATCTGAATACCAGATTTAGTGTTCACTACGGGATTCGAACTAAGTACTGTTGGCTTGAAACGCCATCACATTATCCACTTAGCTACAGATAGCTACTAGCATGTGCAAGGCGGTGAGGAATTCATTATAAACACTTTAGACCTGAATTTATGCCATTTCTGTTAATTGTAAGCAGACAGCAGTGTTTGAGAAGTTGTCGAAAGGCAAGGACTAATTTTCCCTTTTGTCTAACTTAAGGACTGTTAATTAGGATTTATTTCTGTCGATATTAGTCAATAGTGAAGTATAAAATTGTGTTCATTTGTTTAATCGGTGTACTACGAAGCGGATACAACATTTCACTTTAAACTATACTGTATCCAAGTTAATTTTTTGAATAATATCTAACAAATTAATTTCCTGAACATTTAAAGTAAGTTTTGTGTTAATTGTATTCAGTTAAGTAAGATTCACAAAACTTTCATTGTGTAGTCAAGTTGACCTTTTAAGGGGAAGTAGAGAAATGTATTCATTCAACATAATAATGATCACATATATTTTTCGTACTGTGATGTTTGTCAATATTAAAATCTGTAGATCATAAAGTCTAGTCTTTTAACCGTCTAATCAACAGAGTACAAACAAGTGGATTTTTCGAACAAAAGGGAACAAGAACATAAGTGAGAACAGTCAAATGTATTTGAATACAAAATTATAGAATCTCTTAGTAAAATATGAGAACCATGCAAGAAATAAGTCATTTTCAAAATATCAATCAATTTTCTAAAACTTGACCGTTTCTTTTTACAAATATCAATCAGTTGTCTCAGACATCACTGTTCCTTCATTTCTACAGCAATCATTCTCCGTTCTCATTCTCTTTTCTTTGATCTTCTTAACCTCCTGCCACCAGGCATTTCACTTTCGATTGATGATATATACTACTTCCATCTGTCGACATCAGTAGCACACACCAAGAAAAAAACATTTAAATTAATTTTTGCTCATTCTACATCAAATATTCTGGAAAATTTTATAGAGTAAATAGTTCTTTCTGTTTGATTATTTATTTTGCATATCCATTTATTTCTATGTCGTTCAGTTAACTCAATGAATACTGTGTTCACATTCATTTTTGGATTAATTAACAAAACAAATTTCAGTGTCATTAAATGAATCATGTACAAATCATAAAATAATTATCAGTTTTAAATTATATTAACGCGAAGAAAAGAATTTTTTTCGATTCCTTGTCATTATTCAATATTGGATGACTGAGGACAAGTAACTGGAGTCATTCGATCAATGTGTCATGCTGGCAGGTTTTCATCAATCAATTCAATCTCTAGTCTTTAACTATATAATGATCCGTAGGAATTCAAACTTGCTAGATATATATATATATATATATATATATATATATATATATATATTAAAAGACTAATTCCAGATAAAAACCAAAGAATTAATTTTTATTTTAATAGTTGAGATCATGAGTCATTTGAAGCTAGACCACCATAGCAAACCCGGAAGCACTAGACGACCGTTTCGTTCTATAGTAGGACTCCTCAACAGTGCGCATCAATGATCCCGCCTCGCGAGATTCGAACCCAGAACCTATTGGTGTCGCGCGCGAACGCTTAACCTCTAGACCACTGAGTCAGCATTCAACGGTATTAGTATCTAACATCAACTTATCCACAAAATTGAGCGACACACCAACCATTGTCTTCAGTGAGTTACTATCTCACAACAAACCCGGTCGAACTCCAGGAAATACCGTTTGAAGCCAGGCACTAGTCAGAATGTGTTGATTAGTATCAGAAGGGGTTTTGTGGATATTATAGTAATTTTAACAGTTGAGAGTATAAGTTAATTGAAGCTAGACCACCATGAAAGCACTGGACGACCATTTCGTTCTATTGTGGGACTCCTCAACAGTGCATATCCACGATACCGCCTCGCGAAATTCCAACTCAGGAC